CTCAAACACAAAACAAAACACCCATCCATCCCCCTCCCCTAGTGACCATGCAAACACCTCCATTTCGTCACATCACATCACATCGCATAGGTAGGTGGCTATCACATCGGGGTATCAAGCTCTCGCCACGCCCCGTGGCGTTGCAGCGTACATGAGTCGCGGGGTGTTACCCTGTCGCCGTTCGCTGGTTCCTCGGTGCGAATAGCTGCACCACGCCTACCTATGACGATGGGAAGGAACGTGGCGAGAGAGGTGCAGGGCAGGGCAGGAGTGTGCACAGTGCGAAGGATCCTACAGACTACATGCGGTGTTGCGATGCGTGAATGTACAGGTATTATCGTGTGGTGTTGCGCGTGACTTTTACGAGATAGTGAGGAGAGAAGAGAAGGACGAGTGACGTAGGTAGTTCGCGAGTATCTCTTCGCACGTGTGCCTAGGTAGTTATGCAGTGGCAGTTATGATCTCCATATGAAACGCGCACGCGCACGTGCATGTGGGAAAGAAGTTTGACGTTCCCAGCTTCTAAGGAATCAGGAAGCTTTTTTCCCTTTGAAACGGGGGGAGAAGAAAGAAAAAACATCAGAGGTTGCATGTCTTGGTATAGGGTGTGTGAATTCTTATGCTTTTTGCTTGTGCGATTGCTTGTTATGCTTTTGCGAGATCCACAATAAGTCCCCTGAGAACTGGAGAAACTACATGGTTTCTATTCCCTTTTCTTTTCTCTATGGTTCATGGATTTTTCTTGAATGGAACGATTAAAGTGATGAATTCACACGCAGCACAAGCAACTTCATTCTACTATACCAAATCCTCCCTCTATCCATGATCCCATAAACCCCCGACCATTCATATCAACCCTTTACGCAGAATTTTCCTTCTCCAGCTCTCTCCAACCAACCCCAGCATTATGTACTCGTAGCTATGCATATCAACCCCACAAAAAAAGCGACATGCAGCACTGCGGGTCCACCACCACCTCCCAATACACAGCGAATGATAGGAAGTGTTGGGGAAAGTGAGGCGCGGGTCGTGTGCTTGGCTGATGCTTAGATTGTGTGGTTGCGGGTTTGATGGGTGCTTGTGTTGAAAGGATAAGGGGAGGTTGTGGTGGGTTTGATAGTTGGGGAGATAAATTGGTGGTGAAGAAACGCGATTAAACAACGAGTATCAACGACGGTTGTATGGTACGGCAAATTGTAATCAAAGTGTACTTTATGGACTTGTATAGTAGAGGAAAATATGTAGATATTAATATCACAAAGTGTGCGTTGTTGAGCGGGAATAACGATATTTTCTCTTCTTCATGATGGTGTACATGAAGGGATACACTGCATACACTACATACACTTTACATACAAATGACCAAACCAGCCAACCAACAACCCAAACATCCAACCCATAACTCTTCTTAAAAGCGAAGCCTCTTCAAGCCACGCGCTGCGAATCCTATGCACATGCTTGTCTCCTCCCCTCCCCTCAATAACCTCACCTTCCATCCACCCTACATACGACCAACATAACCCACGCGCAAAGGATCTCCCCAAGAAGGCGACTAAGCAAGCCGAATCCCGACCACTTAGCCGCCTCTCTCTCGCCTTACGAAAAGGAATAAAGTACGATGACGTTAATGGCGCCGCACAGTCAGCAGCGGCCCGGATTGGCCTATCTGCAGCACTGCACTGCGCGAGGCGAAACGATGCGAAAAGAGGGAAGAGGGTTCAATTGCTATTTGCTAATGCGACTGATAGGGTAGGATGGGGCTAGTGTGGATGGGGTTTGGCCGGGGGAGTGCCGCGATCGGAGGGGGGGACGGTTTCCGAGGTTCTTTCCGAAGGGGAACTATGTGTGCATGATTTGAGTGAAGTCGAGAGGGCTTGTTCTGTTGATTAGGTAGGTGGTTGAGGCTATTTTTGAATTCATGATAATGGAAAGGTAGAGGCGTAAAGGCGAAGGGATTTTCTTTTTCGTTGATGATGACAATGCCTGATTGTCAATACTGTGTACGTATCACAGCACATTTCAAGATGTCAATAATACATAATTATTATCTGATAGTTCCTCGCCTCGTACGAACAGCGTAACGGAAAGGGACCCCGTGGGATGGATTCCGAAAACGGCAATCCGAGCGCCCTGGGGCCAATCAGGAGAGTCCATGACCGAGCATACAGGAAAGACTTTTTGCTACGAGGACTTTGGATGAAAGATACTCCAGGATGAGGCTGACGACTCCGTGCTCCTACTAGTAATTGACCAAACACACAGTGTTGTTGTATGTTATGTGTAATCGCTCAAGTAAAATACAGTAATTCAATGATCCCTCTACGGAGTACAATCTATCCTCCACGCTCAGACCGGTACAAACCGCGATGCCCTGGTTGGTCGGATTCAGGTACGAGGTACGCGGAGGGTCTTTGCTCAACCATTTCGCATCTTCTTCTTGCTGCAGCACCGATAAGCGACGACTCAAGTACGGAGTATACGACGGCGGTAGACTGTAAAGTAGGACGAGCCCACTCCACTTACTCGTTACTGTTTCGCAAGTCCCAGGTCCAAGTCCAAGTCCAAGTCCAAGTTCGAATCCATCTAGCTCACCGCGCGCAAAGCAGGGCAAGGCAGAGAGCAAGGCAAGCCGCAAGTATCAAGTAACAGGCTGTACTCGCCGCGCCGGCTCCCATACTACCCGCCGCCAGGGCCATAGTCGCCATACTACAAGCGTACTTAGTTACGAGCAGGGGTTAACTATTATACTTACTTTGCACTGAATAGGAACACTAACTACACATCGTATCTCAAGCGCGGCCGTGAGTGGATTTGTTGTGGGCTTTTTACTCAAGAACGTTGCGCTGTTCATTACTAGACACCTACCAAGTTAGTGGAGTGGTCAATTGTCGGTCCTGGGGGATTTGCGGATTCTCTTCTTTGGGGAAGCAATTGTTTTTCATGGAGAAGACAAGTCCGAGGAGAGAAGGCTCAACGTCGGTCGGACTGTCAATCTCTTCTCCATATTACTGAGTCCTGACCATCTTCCTCTCTCCACGCTCGTCAATGTTTCCCAGCACAGATGCAATCGTTCAACATTTCCGTTGGCTCTGCGGATAGCTGCAGAAATCGGGACTTCATCTCCGAAGCCGCCTGTGAACCAAAATAAAAAAAGGGATCGCCCCGAGCTGCAAGCCGAGATGAGATGAGACAGCTAGTGACCTGTTACCAACCGCGCCAACAACAACATCCTGAACCTGCAACGTCGTAATAGCACCAATTTTTTCCTGCCTCATCTTCGGCCGACCCTGCCTGTCTTCCCTGTTTGCCATGTTGCCTCCCATGCCTGCGCGATGGAGAAACAATAATCCCAGGCCAACAACGGTCAAGTCAGTCTCATCATCATCACCAGCCTCCCCACCGCATCATCTCCGCTAGTCAGGCAAGACTCAGGAGCAATACAGACAAACATCAGACTTTCATTTCCTGTGGCGGAGAACAGACGATCCTATTCCCACTGCGGGCCAATTATTGAATCTCGAACTCCTGAAGCTATCCACAAGTTAGATACGTCTACATGCATCATTTACAGGCATCCAAGAACAATCGCATCCCATCCCATGGTCCATCCCATCGAACCAACGCGTCTGCCAGAAAGGGATACGGCTGGCGGGGACGTTTAATATTGCCAATTCCACAACCTCGTAAACAAAGTCCACCCCGTCATTCAATAACAAACAATAACAACAACAAATAACATCATAACATCATAACAACATGATGATCACGATTACCTCCTAATCTCCTTTTCGGCCAACTAACAGTACTGTTTCTCCTTACCATCTCTCCTTTCTAATAGGAAAAGCTTGGGTCGACTCGATTTGGATGCAGCGTGGAAATCACCCTCAGATCTGCAGATCCCCGGCGATTATGAATACCGCCTCTCGTGTTGTCTCTCGGCCTTACAATGGCAAATTTGCCTTTATAGAATTAGATCCTCGCGCGCCTCGTTCACTCAATCTTGTCAACGTCTTTATTTGCATTTACACTATTGCCGTATATGGCGGCGCATGACTGATCCGCATATACGTTGCCATCTTCTGTTCGATATGTCCCGCTCGCCGTCCGAAACAATTCCTCCCAAGACGTCTTTGCGCCTTCTTGGCAATTTCACATCTCATTCAAGCAAATAGCGTGTTGCTTCTTACAGAAAGCTTGGTGCAAATCCCGACTCGCGGCGCCTAATCTTGACATAGATGCTCCTTTGTGACACAAGATCTAACGCCGACATTAACTTACATTCCTTGCGGCTATTCATGTGCATGCGGCACCAATGTCTGGGGCGTCGATGGGAAGACCCAAGCAATCCAGGTTGCGCTGCCTCCGCCTGTGCAGGTGATTGATTTCCGGTGCGACATGAGTGGATGGCTTTCACAAACATCCCGTTGCCTTCGCCTGCAGGCCTCGAACTGAGGGACTGTGACAGGCGGTTCCACCAAAACAATGGAAAAACCTCCGAAGTTTCAACTGTCGTTTGCTGCTCAAACGTCGTCTCGAGTCGAACCCCTACCATGATACCTGTACAACGTACCTCCCTGATCCCATCACATCTTCGACCGTGATATCAACGGGATACCCTTTCCTGTTCGTCCTGCCAAAGCTGGGGCCGCCCCGTCGACTCCATTATTGTGTCCATTTCGTACCTTCTTGGCGAACCTTGACTTGGCCATTTGCGCGTCCTTCTGATACAGATCTGCAGAGGCGCCCTTGCGCATTCAATTGATTTATCGCCAGATTGCGTACAGTGCAACCCCTTTCCGCCGAGTACTACAGACAAGTCTTGTCTACTCAAGATGTCTTGTCTTGTCAAGGGGGTTCAAGGGGTTTGTCGATGTGGTTGCGGCGCGCAATGCGCATCAAATGTGTCGGAACATTTTCGTCGATCACCCGCCTCCACCTCCGCATTGTGAGAGAACCCTTCTGGAAACCAGATCGCATCGGCAGTTGGGCATCCAGTTTCACAGCATCAGCAACACTCTCGCTCTCTCCGTCTCCAAGGAATGTAACTAATCAAACGCTCCAGCACATAGATTGTGTCTACGTGTAACGTTCTGGCGGCGCGGCGCGGTATTTTCCCCTCCGCTGGTTTGCCAAGTGAGACATTTCCATCACTTGTCTTGGCTCCCTCCGATAACAAAGCGGAAGGACAAGAGAGGGAGGTAGCGGTCCAAGAACTTTGTCAATATTGATCATCCGCGCTTTCTTTGGGTGGATGGCGGGATGGTGCCATATTGCCTCCACGCTGCAATCTGGGTAGACTCGTCCTAGCCCGTAGGCACGCCGATGATAATGAAAACGTGCATGCGTGAATAATCATCAGAAAGACAAGAGATGGGAAAAAAAAGGAATCCTTCGGAGCTACTAAAAAATCCATCTACTAACAATTAGACCCGGGAGGCCCCCCAAGACGGAGCAAAGGAATGTAAGGCGACGCAACGACAAGAGGGAGGAAGGAAAAAAAAACGACAAGCCAGACCAGACCCGACCAGACCAACCCCAACTCCCTCCCAAGCCTTCCTGGTACCACGGTCTGGAGTGCACCCTTTCCCTCTCACCATCGCATCCACCGTTCGGTCTGCTCAACAACTGCTGCTGCCACCCAGCTAGACATGCATTCAACTAACTCCAGACCTGCCCATTCTCCCATCCGACTCCAGCCTTCCCCTTCCCCACGTAGTTCAAATCGTTGACATATACCGCACTTCCGACTGGGCACATTTCGTGCATGCATGCACGCCCGCCCGCCTTAGCAAATCTACCGCTCTTGCATGGTTCGTTCCATCCAGTAGGCGGACCCCGAGCGCGCCCGTTGGGGGGAAAGAAAAATGGCCAGAGAAAAAAGAAAAGCAAACGGCGCCACAGCGCCGCCTCCACCTCCGCCTCCGCGGCCTAGCTCAATGTCAGCGCAACGCAGTGCAGCTCAGGTCAGGTCAGTAAATAAACATTCAGAGGACTGTCACTCTGGGCTGGGTGTGCGTGCATGTATGGGGGCGTATCGTACGGTCTGGATGATGCGTAGGAAATCGCTCGTTCGGATTCGTTTGTGGAGGTCATTCGATGCTTGGCTGGCTGCTGGGAGTGGTCGTGGGTGTGAATTTCTTGCCTTTTTGTGTGATGTACTGTGAGCTTTTGATTTTGGTAGGTATGGTAGATACGAATGCTTATTCCAACGGGTAGATTAGAATTGATTAGTTCAAGATAAAAGTTGTTAAGATCAAATAATTCAAAATCGATTGTTTCAAATTCAGAGATGTCGAATTCAATCATGTCGAAATAATACCAACGCCAATATCAATGTCGAAATCAAAACCAACATCGTCCCTCTACCATTAGAAATTGAAGATAAAATGTCCTGCTACGTTCTCTATTCATCAACTTACTTATATCTTGTTCTTCAAACTGAATTGTACTATCTTAAGTGTACATACCCATCAAAACCTTGATATCTATCAAAGTTTTCGTAACTATCATCTACCTCCAAAGAAAAATAATGACGAAATGACGAACGCTCAGAAACCCAAGTGCAGACGTAAGATATAAGCACACATCGTAATCTTTGTACATCCCTCGTAGATATCAAGCAATCAAAAAGGACAATTCACGCAGAGCGAAGGTTCGGGTTTCGAACCAGTTCAGATACACAGAATATGATTACGTCAAACTACCAAACACACATTTTCACACACCAATGCCACTCTATAAACAAGGAATATACAATTATTATATCTCGAACTAGGAGATGTGATGTTTTACCGTTTACCTTTGACTGTTTGTACTTAAGATGGATAAAGTGCAATGTAATGTAGACTCACCTATGTATCGAGAAATTTCACATTGTATGAGTCTGGGTATCTACGACATATCTCTAGCAGTAAGGTGTGTGTAATAAGAACCCTTTGATTATTTCACCTGGATTGATTACATCTACGCAAATGTTCCAGCTGCAAATTTCTTGGGAATTTAAAAGGGTGACGAAGTGATATAACAAAGGGGTGTAAGTGTGGACAAAACTACAAATACCTTTCTCTCTCTATTATATTCGGAGTTTGAGATATATGTATCTAAGATTAATTGTTTGGACTTCTGTGATAGTATATGTAGCTTTGTTATGTGACGATGTCACTTTCTCCTTTCACGGCTCTTCGACATCGTAAGTGCAACCTCCACCAAAACACCACAATAAGTAATGAGAAATCAGCACCATATACCCCGTCGTACGTAATTTCTGACAAGATATCTCCACCGGAGACTATACTACCTTCAAAGTCAGTCCCCGGGTTAGATATTCCGTCACCCTGCCTTGAACCGATATTCTGTTTCTTCAACGATGGGAAGCCATGTCTAGTTATGCATTCATTCTTCCTCTTCCTCTCCTTTGAATTCAATCTTGCTATTTCTGTTCCTTCATTAGTGGAGTGATTTACTACGATTTACCTGTTATTTGTTTGAAAGTGGATTTACAGCCTCACTCCAGATCACTCGAAAACAATAGACGTGGGATAGTGGCTAGAACAGAAGAGTGCCATTACGATACCTCAAGTTATCACAGTGAAGTCTGCACACATCCTCATTTGATCTCCCACACGCTTCTACTTTCCATGTCTTCTTCTCTCAATCCAATATAAGCCTCGAAGAATGGTGCCATATCATATCGTGACATTACAGACGCTGTAATCGCAAACGTCAAGCCCTCCTCCCTATCCCTCATCACCCTTCCTTTCTTGAATGCAAAGAATTGCTATCGAAAATAAAAGAAACCGTGACCGTGTGACACACACATACACATACCACTAGGAGTATGTAATGTCTATGGCAATAGCCATCCACCCCTTCCCCTATGATGGATGGAGAGACAGCGGCATACATATATCTCAACATCTCCTCCCATGGCCCAGTTCCGATACCCCCGAGCCAACCCTATCATCCAAACCCCCCAAAAGTCACTAACATCTCAACGGGAGCGACCAAACCCACAGACTAGCCAAAAAAAAATGATACAACTACCATGAACAGAAAGCATCAATCTTAACACTCCTGTTCAGTTCTTTGGTTGGGAAATGGAACGTACTCGATTCACACTTCTTGATAATCTGAACAGTCTCGGTTAAGGCATGGGTAAGGGGTAAGGATGAGTGAATGGGATATGGACGGGGGGGTCTGTGAAGAGGTGAGGGATATTTGACGGTGTCGTGCTTGGCTTCAATGGATGGAGAGGGTAGGATGGTACGTTTAGGTTGTGTGTTTGTTGGTTGTGATATTGTGTAGGCTGGTTCTTGGGACGAGCGGTATAAGAGGTTCGTCGTCGAACAGTGCACCATCTTCATGGCCAGAGGTACAGGTTTGTACTTTCAACACGACATACCACCACTGAGACACTGTTTTATTTCCAAGATGAGGGAATTAGTTCAAGTTAGAGGTAGTACTATGAGATCGAACTTTTACAACATACATTGGACTGACACTCAAACATCGTACACATAGACGTATCAACCATCACAAACATAATATCATCGCCACCCAATCGAAAACAGGCAGCAGAGATGTCAGTCGGTGAGTACGACGTCTACAGATACAACTTGAAGTACTATGAGATACACCCACCAGGTCCTTTTGGCACTGCGTCACTGGGACACGAAGTCGTGAGCAGATGTGCTGTGGTTCTGGGGATGTTGTCAAGGGATGCATGTAGAGTGGTGTGCGTGATTGAATTGAATACATCAGGAGTTCGGGTCTCTCGTTTCTAAGGAGAGACTCAATTTGTAGCTGAGATAGATGTAGGACGGGAGGACGGAGAGATGTGTGGATTGCCTTGTCCCGTCACGTTTAACACGATTAACGTTCAGTCCAATGGAAGTAAGAACCTGTGTGAGCAAGCATCATCTCTGTAGCTATATTGCACTGGAGACGTTCGAGAGGAAGCAATGTAACTCTCATGACATGACATCGTCACGACCAACCCTACCCTATGCAAGCTTCCCTAATCCCGATTTCTACACAATCGTATAACCGAGACAGACAGTTACAACAATCACCGACACACACATCAGGCGAGATAAAGATTTGGAGAAACATTAACATTACCCAACATATGTACATAGCCTAGCGGCTTTTTTCTCATCTATCATGAATGTCTACTATCGCTCCACACTTCCCACAGTCCACAGGCTTCCACCCCACCTCCTCCACCCATCTCCTCCATCACCCATTCGCCCTTACGAACAACCCCACAGGCGGCTGCACAGACTGGTACCACGAGAAATCCAACCCCGCTAGCGCACTGATCTGAAACCCCACAGTTTGCCCCCCGCCATCACAAGGTAGACTCCCAACGACGTGTCCCTGGCCCAACGTCAACGGATAAACTGCGCCGATGGGCTGCGTGGCTCCGAGGTTGTTGGGCGTGGTTGATACGGTTGCGGGACGAAGCATGCGGGAGACGCTGAGACCGCCGGGTGATTTCAATTGATAGGGCGACCACCATCCGTTGGCGATGGGTGGCATGTAGAAGATGAAGGTGCATAGCTTTCCGGCGAACGAGGCAGGGAATTGGAAGTTGACGAGGGTGGAGTAGGTCGGGGAAAGCTGGCCGATGAATTGACTACCAAGTGGGGTATCGGGGCGCGAGTGGTCTATAGGGATGAGGAGTTGGGGGATCTGGAACACTTCGTCTAGACTTGTCGGTACGGGGAGTTGGGGTCCAATGCTGGTGCTGGTGGAAGTGATGGAAGAGATTGGTGTTGTGCCTGTGGTCGTGGGAGCTGGAGGTGGATCACTTAGAGGGATCGCTATGAAACTGTCAGATATTGTACTGAATGGCGAGGGGAAATACTAGAATTGATACTTATGCTTGTAGTGCTCGATAGAATCACCGAAGTACTGCTTTGAGTTGGAGACTTCGCATGTCCATTAGCCTGCGCCAGCCAACTTCTAGGCCCCATGGCCTTGATTGACGGGTGTAGGATAGATATGCATGGCCTGCAATTGCAAGCCCTGTGCTCCCCCCAGCGTGGTACAACGAGAGACACCAACTTCGAGACGACTGCAGCATTGTATAATAGTAGTATAAAAAGAGGGGACAGCAGCATGAAACCAAGATAGAATAGGGAACTTACGGGCTTAGCGCTGGCAGGGCAAGAAAGATCCCACAGAGGCTGAACCTGCTGGAGATCGCCTGCGGGCTTGATACCGAAGCTGGGGCTGGGAGTACCCATCTGAGCATCCTGGAGGGTGTAGAAGAAAAGGTTGATGTTGGCCTTCAACAAGCTGCAGGTGGTCTCTGCCCAGAAGGTACGGGCATTCTCGGGGCTGGCAACGGCCTGGTTCTGCTGCTCTCCGGAAACGGGCCATCCGGTCTCGGTCACCCAGACAGGCTTTCCCTGAGAAGCGGCAACGGTAACATCATAGGCGTCGTAGAAGGTCTCGTTGGCGTTCTCGATGCTGTTGGCCATGGTGGTCTGGAAGTAGGGGTAAGCGTCCATTCCGAGGAAGTCGAGCTCAGAGATGACGCCGTTGTTGCTACCATTGACGTAGGCGGTCCAGGTATCGACGTGGCCAACGGGTGCTCCAGCAAGGGTGGTGCCCTCAATGGCAGAGCGAGTCTGGCGAATGTAATCGATGAGCTGGTCGGGAGAGGCTCCAACACCGGACTTGTTCTCAATTCCAGTGGGAGTAATGCGGTACAAATCCTCACTGCCGACGGAGATACCAACGACGAGATCAGTGAAAGCAGTACCGTACTGAGCGATAGCTGCCTTGAGAGCGGCAATCTCATTGGCGAACTGCTCTGAGGGGACCGAAGCCCAGAGGCCGAGGAGGAGAGAAGTCTTGGTGTTGATGGCGGCCTGGATAGCTTCGATGACGGTGTTGGTGCTTCCGTGCTGGATCATGGTGTAGAGACGGGCGCTGGTCCAATCTCCATTGGTGCCGGGAAGTTGCTTTGCGGCATTGAATTCATATTCGAAGTCATTAACAGTCTTGGGGGTTCCATCCATGAAGTTGGCTCCGTAATTGAAACCCTTGTAGCCGTTTTGCGCGCTCACGGTTAGAGCGGCGGCAGATGCCAACAAAGCAGTCGAGAAACGCATTTTGATATAGTGGATTAGGAATTTGGACAGCGGCCAAAGAACGAATTAAACGAAAGGCGTGAAAGGTGTATTAAAATAGGTACAGGTTTCTCGAATCGGCAGAGGGATAAGAACGAGGATGGAAAAGAGGTAAAGGCAAAGAAGGCGGACGAAGCAGCAAGATAAATGTTCTAAGTCCTGCCCAAAGGGTGACGTCGGACGAGTTCTAAAGAAAGACGCTGTCGACTAGCCGCAGGGGCAACGACGAATGATCCAACGCCAGAAAAGCTGGGAATACGCAGGGGCCGATCTGGACTGGCAATTGTCAGGTACGCGGCCGTCAGCTTCCGTCTAAACTATTGCATGGTGGATTATACGCCTCGTGCAGCAATAGTGAGCAGATTCTTACAAAGGCACATGGCATTTGTTCAGTTGCATATCTCTTCATTGTGCTTTCTGAAGTCATGCATTTCTTGTTCAAAAGATGCAAAGATACCTCAAGCACGTCCCCAGGTTTTCCATTCTATTCCAGAATGCAGCCAACATGGGTGACAGTCGATCATAGCATCCCAGTCTGGGCACTTTATTGGCTTACACCATCACTATGTGGAGAACCAATACTCAACAAGCTCCGCGTAAATGCTTTGCGCGGGGGAGGGAATGACCGCTCTGGGACATTACGAGGTCATGGTGCGTTGTAGACTCGTAGTGTGGTGTGGTGTGAGGAGCACACACATGCAGTCTCTGTCGTATTGGAGATGCAGCAACACTGGCCGCTTGATCCGTTACAACCTTTGTACGACGGGGATTCCGAAGACTTCTGAAAGACAGACACCACGCCAGAGAACGCCGTGCTTCAACAATGAAAATTTCAAGAGCGGACACAAAGCACTATGAGTTGGCAGTACCAATGAAAGTACCACCGACATTCTTCTCTTTGATTCTACTGCCAATGTCCAACCCCACCGTCCTCTGCGCCGTCCACCGCATCCACCGTCTGGCGTGACATCGTCGATGTGTGTATCCTCGGAACAGCCCACGATGGTTAACCTGTAGCGTGCCATTATTGGAAGCACCTGTTGTTGCCACAAGCTAGTCGACACCAGCGAAGGAGCGAGGTAGGTTAGCAGTGCAGTGGCCAGTGATGACGTTGCCTGGCCTAAGCATATGCATTGATACGGGGGTTTGCTGGTCATGCTGCTGGGCCCGTATTGTTGCGCGTGCGCAAAATATGAACAGTATTCACAAAACAAGTACGAAATAAATGTGTTGAATGCTTTCAGAAAGACATGAATGATATAAAGAACTTGAAACAATCCAAGTGCCGTTCCCTCTGCCAGACAAGTCGTCGACGTCCTCGCTACCAAAGCAAACGGCCTGACACTAGCATCGCTATGCCCGAAAAGGAAAGCCCTCGCTCGAAGTCGACTCGCTACGCTCTTTGGAGTACCACGATTGAAGCTGTTTGATAAGACCTCTAGAGCATGTTTTCCAAGTAGTGTATACGAATTTTGTCGGCCAGTGGTCTTGGGAGATAGCGCACGTGAAATGGGGTTCTTGTTGGGTGGGAGTTGGTTGGGTCAATGGCTGGCCCACGTTGATGGGTGGGACGAGGTATTGCACGACATGGTCATGATGTGTTGATGATGTATCTTACAGTAAGGTACGAGTAGATTAAAGAATCCTCTAAAGAGCATACGCATTTACCGATGATTACATGCAAGTAAGATGTTATTGTTCGATTCTATTGACGAGAATCTACCTAGGTACCTAAATCATGACCCAGTTTGTATGGGATCCTTACCAAAAGTTAGCATCAACACGTGGAGTTTCCATGGGCAAGGATAACCACGATTTCCGCACGTGTAAAATGCACTAGCCAGAGCATGTCGTACATCTGCTCGTGAGAAAATCACTCAATCTATCCTGTTCACCGATCGGCGACCGTTATTACACGGAATACTACTCCGACTAAAAATATGTCTCAAGCGCCCACATCACACGAAACAAAGTATGAAGACCAATGAAAGTCTCATATAATCGTGCATTCGTATATACATATGAATATCTTATCAACAAATAACCTCGCTATTCACAAAACGTATGTGGTCCCAATATCTGCAAAGAAGTGCCGAAACGAAGGTGCCCGCCTCTGTTCGTAATCCTAATCTCCAAAACGCCTCCATATATGCAACCCTCTATTCCCTTTTATTCGAAACCCTCAGATCTCCTTTATACATGGGCTTAAAGTCCGTTGAAGCCCATCATTATGCCCGCACCCGCGACCACTGCTCCGGCACCTAACCAGGGATTGGCAGTCGCGATGGGCATAGCTGCTCCTGTTGACGACGGGCGGCTTGCGCCTGTAGGGTTGATGGTAGGACCAGCAATACGACCTCCTCCTGTACCGACAGCAACGCTGGAGACGGCGTTGGGGACGAGAGAGGCTTGCGGAATGCCGTCATCGCCGGACTGGATCTCCTTGATGGAGCTTTGCGAGACGTTGAACTTGGTTTGTGCAAGTGCGATCTCGTTGTTGTCCAAGTCGTAGACGACGTACGCGGACCGCAGGAAGGTGTCGCCTAATACGCAGAGGGAATTGTCCGCAGGCCCGATACCAAGGATACATACAGGTTCGCCTCGCTGGTATCCGATGGTAATGACCAATTCGTTCAAGGGAACGGAGATGGTGGGTCCAGAGAAAGTGAAATCGAGGGATCCTTCCTGGTTGGCAAGATTGCAATCTACAATTGCTGCACCCTGTCTCTGGTCGTATTGCGCGTTGAAAGCAGTGTACAGAGAATTGGCGATGCTGTTTGGCAAATACATCAGGGAAGACCCAGAATCAAGAAGGACGGGTATCGCCTGGTTCTGGAATAGAGAACCCGCCTTTCCATTCTGCCCAAGGCCGGTCAATGCGATAATGAATTCGGCATATATGCCGCCCCGCTCTTGAATGATCGGAAGTCTACCTAATGTTCCCTCATATTTGTCAGTGTCGACTCCACCGAAGAGGATGTTTCCAGTTGATGCGTCGAGGTCGTTCAACCAGAGGGAATAAGCATTCGTGTTGATATCGCCACTATCTGCGAGTGCCTGGGGAAGATTTGGGTATGCCTGGAGTCCTGCTCGATTCACTTGAACTTCATTGGTCGTGTAACCAATACCCAGAATACCTTCTGCTGAGGAGGAGTCGTATCCGATACCGAATTGCAGGCCCTGGACGGTCTTGCCTCCAAAGTTGAAATTATCCTTTGCGTAGTCACCTACAGCTCCCGAACCATCAACATACGAGATGTTGAAAACGCTGTTCACATACTCGTACGTTGAGGAAGAGTTCGCATCGTAAGTTCCGGACTCCGAGCATGGATTTCCGCGCGAGGTGCACAATTGGGAGCTAGCCGCATTGGCCCACAGGTCACTACTTCCAGTATCGATGTGCAGGCGTAGGTCCTGTGCAGGCGTCCCTAGGCTGGCATTTGCAAAGTAGAGCGTCTCAAGATTATCGAGCGTCTGTTGTACTGTTTTTTGTCTTCGTCGTAATCGATCGTGATGGAGTGGGTTGGAAACATGGCGTCTCTGGATGTCCAGTCCTAACACTCTTGGGTTCTATGTCGCGATGCTATTAGTTATTGTTCGAGGCGTCCAACGTTCATACATCCGCATTATGTTTGAAGATCATACCAAGCTTTTCGGAAGAAGAAAGTATGGGGCGATCTAGAGAGCCAAGAGATCCTTAATGACTTACCTCTCTGGCGACCAGTTTGAATCCCTCCACTGATGCGAACAATTCAACGGCAAAAATCAACGCTGAGTATTTCATGGTGTAAATTGGGTTGTTGTATCGGTGTTGGCAGAAAGGCTTGTTTTAACGGCGGTTCACTCTGAGCCTGTTGATACTTGAGGCACTTCGGGTTTGAGGTACCTTGGATGCGACTAGGCTAGTGTTTAGTATCGGACACCTCGACGGCAAGGCCGGAATCTCGACAGGTTATGAAAGGTGGAATGAAACAAAAGAATCCTTCATGATGAGGCACGGGGTATATAAGAGACAAAGCTACTCGAATGTGTGCGCAAGAGGCTTGAGGGACTGAACGGCGATGACGCGGCGAGACAAGAGTGATCTCACATAGGCGTTACTACCGGCGGATCTGGACGGCAGCTGTGACACTAACTACTACAATACGTGATGACGGATAGACATAAGTGTGGCTGTCCCTTAGGAAAAGCGCCGAATATGCGCCTGCAATGGCCCGCCAGACGTATGCACTCTGATGATGGATTGCGTATGCTGTGGCAGTGCGGCGGCTTCGGTCAAAGAGTAGGGGTCATCGCCGTTCGGGTATAGATTTGGTTCGCTGGCAGTCCTCCACTGTTTGTGAGAACAAAACATAACTTGGCACTCAAACGTCAAAACTGGTTTGAGATGCGTTGTACCTTCATTTCACGCACTTATAATTAGCGGAAGGGGTATGTGCAGGCGTTGTGGCTTGTGAGACTACAGCGAGATCCGAGTCACACCGGCAGGCTGACCCCTAGATTGGACATAAGGAGGCTCTCGCACACTCAAAGGGGGTCCTCGCATATTCGCAAGAGGCTTAAACTCCAATCGTAGGAATGTTATTACCGAGTAACAGTTCCAAGCACCTAGCAGTGTTGGTACTCGTAGTTAACTACTCGTAGATTGTTCATGTCATCTCTAGGCCAGCTTCCGAGCCGGCCCCTTCCGCGGAAACTAGGAGGAGTGTCGAATCTATGTATAGCCTACTGGATTACGCATATGACAGAGAAAACCCCGTTGCCGGATGCTGTACTCGCCGCCGGACTTCGTAGAAGTCTTAATGAATGATAGGAATATCGCGGCAAGGTACACAAGTTGGTGCCTCAGAAGAGAAAGTACATCTTTAAGAGCGACAATAAGAGTGTGCCATTGGTGTTGTCTTGTCGTGCTGAGTACGAGATACTCTTGTTGGTGGCCGCACTAATGAACGGTACTGTTCTTTGATGTCTGACTGTGAATATTCTAGTCAAGCGATTTTCAACCATAATTTATTGATAGACGTCTCTTTGAAGAATATATTGGACGCCTAGCCTTGGTGTGTCGACAGATAAACAGTCAAAATGATGCACGCCCAGGTGAACAGGCGTTCGCTGACTAACACAAGATGATGGTCATAGCTCGTGAAAGCGTCTTTACGCGTCTCGCGTCAACCCCACGATCTTTAACTGTTACATTATGGCGAAAGCGGAATCTTCGAAAGCTGCTGCCAGCAATGGCATCAAGGTAAACCCAAACGCAGCCGGCGGAGTTGGCTATGAACTTCCGTGGTATGTTCACTTATATCTGGCAATCAAGTACGATTTTAACCATCATTGTCAGGGTCGAGAAGTACCGTCCTGTCTACCTCGACGATGTTGTTGGCAATACAGAGACGATCGAGCGCCTTAAAATCATCGCCAAAGATGGAAACATGCCCCATGTAATCATATCTGGCATGCCGGGTATTGGAAAAACCACGTCGATTCTCTGCCTCGCACGGCAACTTCTAGGAGATGCATACAAGGAAGCTGTTCTGGAGCTCAACGCTTCAGATGAGCGTGGTATCGATGTTGTGAGGAATAGGATAAAAGGCTTTGCGCAAAAGAAGGTTACACTTCCACCTGGAAGGCAAAAGTTGGTGATTCTCGATGAAGCCGACAGTATGACGAGTGGAGCGCAACAAGCTCTGAGACGAACCATGGAAATCTACAGTTCGACAACTCGATTCGCTTTCGCCTGCAATCAGTCAAACAAGATCATCGAACCTCTTCAATCCCGTTGCGCTATTCTTCGATATTCCCGCCTGACAGACGCACAAGTGGTTCGCCGTCTCAACCAAATCATCGAGGCAGAGAAAGTCGAGTATTCGGACGATGGACTTGCTGCATTGGTGTTCTCTGCAGAAGGAGACATGCGTCAGGCCATTAACAATTTACAATCCACGAACGCTGGTTTTGGTTTCGTGAACGGAGACAATGTCTTCAAGGTGGTGGACAGCCCGCATCCTATCAAGGTTCAGGCCATGGTGAAGGCTTGCCATGAATGCAAAGTGGATGAGGCATTGACTATTCTGAAAGAGCTGTGGGATCTGGGATACTCTTGCCACGACATTATCAGCACCATGTTTAAGGTCACGAAATCCATAGACACACTGAGTGAACATGCCAAATTGGAGTTTATCAAGGTTCGTTCGGACGATGCCTGAATCTTACGAATTCGTGCTAACGTCGGTTAGGAAATTGGCTTCACCCATATGCGCATCCTTGAAGGTGTGCAGACACTACTTCAACTTTCTGGCTGCGTCGCGCGGCTATCGAAGATCAACATGAAGCCCCATCTTTTCGTAATACCTGCGCAATAGCTGTAGAAGTTTCTAAATATTTATCGCATATAGCATGGAGTCGGGCGTCTGCTTTTTTCTGCATGCATTTTGAAGGATACGAATACGTCTAGCTTGCATGTACCTTCGAAGAACATAGGACCAGTTAGCTTCAAGATGACTCTGGCTTAGTCACAGCACTTCTTTCAGCTCTAGGAATTACCTAGGTTGGCAAGAGTGCTAGATCATGATGAGAGACGAGAATGTCAAGGTCAAGGTCAAAAGGGAGGGAGCGGAACATCCTTCGGCTACAAGGAGCAATTCTGCCATGCGCTATGTCATGTGTAAATCGACTCCCCAAAGGGAAATCGTAAAAGCATTGCCATGAAAAGTACTTGACCAATACGCGACCACGATTGCCACTACCAAGTGATTTCCGACCTTTGTGACTTCCAATAAATTTTTCCGGTTGAAAGCATGCCCATGACATATCCGGCGCAACGGCGGAAATTCCTGTTTAATGATGCTCGTAACTGAATTCTGTGCGTTTTTGCGAGCGCGTGGGATGCGCGCCGGCGGTATCGGCAGAGACCTCGGCCATCGGTGGCCGTGTACGCAAAGGGTAGAGGCCAAGTCCACTCAACCGAGAATCCTTGGAAGCTCTCCCTCCAAGCGCAACTTCATCAAGCTCCACTCGCGTTTTCCAACACCCAATTGCGCCTCCACTCCACCTTCATCGTCCTCTCACGACACGCATTCCGCTTCCCATCACCCCTCTCCTCCCTAAAAACCCACACATTTCGAAAAGATGGCCCCGGTTGTGGAGCAGAGCGTCGACGACCTCAAGGTCACCGTCCAGAGACTGGAGGCGCGTATCACGGAGCTCGAGGGGAGGTTGCAGGGTGGCTCTCCCTCATCATCGCCGCCAGGCGTGCGAATGGTTTTGATGGGTCCCCCAGGCGCTGGTGAGCTTCCTTCATCCTCCGCCAAAAGAGCGGCTGGCGGGGAAGAATTTGACTAATACGGGACTTGTAGGAAAGGGAACGCAAGCGCCATCCATTAAGGAGAAGTACTGCGTCTGCCATCTTGTACGTATCCGGCTGTGTAGCGATTCCGAGAGGATATCGATGAGAGATGGGGGAATTAGATGCTGATATGTGTAGGCCACCGGAGACATGCTGCGTGCCCAGGTCGCAAAGAAGACTGCACTTGGAAGGGAGGCAAAGAAGATCATGGATGCCGGCGGTCTTGTCAGCGACGAGATCGTGGTCAACATGATCAAGGACCAGCTTGAGAGCAACGCGGAGTGCAAGAACGGGTTCGTATTTTCATCCGTCTGTGCAGAGAGATGGGGTTGACCGGAGTACCCATGCTAAATACCCGATTTATAGTTTCATCCTTGACGGCTTCCCGCGAACAGTTACCCAGGCCGAGAAGCTCGACGAGATGCTTGCCGCGACCCGCAAGCCTCTTCAACACGCCGTGGAACTCCAGATTGACGATGCTCTCCTCGTCTCCCGCATCACTGGCCGTCTTGTCCACCCTGCCTCCGGCCGATCATATCACAAGATCTTCAACCCCCCTAAGAAGGATATGATCGACGACATCACCGGCGAGCACCTCATCCAAAGGTCCGACGACAACGCCGAGGCATTGAAGAAGCGACTGGTGACCTACCACCAGCAGACCGCCCCTGTCGTTGGTTACTACCAGAAGACCGGCATCTGGAAGCCCATCGATGCTAGCCAAGAGCCCGGCCAGGTCTGGAAGAGCTTGTTGAAGATCTTCGACAACGACAAGCTCGTCATCGGCGGCCGCAGCGGAAGCCTGCTCAACAAGGTTGGCCTTTCAAACTAGACTTATCACACTGGTCGGTTCTAGGGGCGGATAATGCATCAAGAAGCTAAGAAAGCGGACGGGAACTGATCGAAGTGGATGCGCATACCCCCATTCTGTCGGAAGTCATGAACGGCGCATATCTCGATGGAAATGTCAAATGGCTCACGTTTTGAAATGTGCAACGTATGAAAAAGTGGGATCACATCTTCAAGAGAGGGCTTTGGCTGGCTGCACATAACAGAGTAAAGGTGAATGGACTTTTTTATATGAAACCGCGAAAAAAACTCCATGTACTTGTAAAAGCGGAGCAAATTTCTGGGCATGGGCAAGGGGCTGGACGTGTTTTCATAGTTGCTATTTCTCTTTTTGTTACCCTTTTTGACCCTCCTCGCCAGAACTACTGTCTCCAACTCGGAGATGTCTTGGCTTGTGAGGGAAGTAGGAATATATCGTGTTCCTGCAACATTCTTCCTCCGTCCGCAACATGACTGATGTCCGTTTCCGGGTATGGAACTCCTAACTGCACACAGTCATCACAGTCATGCCCAAACATTATGTTTAAACCCATATATCACTCCCATCCCCTATTCCTCTCAAATCCACATACCCTCACATTCCCTCTCTGAAACCTGCCTACCTACCTTGCCGCTAAGCCTTCCCCACACGTGGAAACAGAGTTCGCCAAGTGCAAATCGCACGTGCCACAGACGTCAGTGCACTCCCTCTCCCCCCCGGCCATCGGACTTTACGCCTGGGAAACCTCCGACGTTCAATCTATCCCATCTATTCGTCGACCGCCCCAAAAAAAGCCACGATATACCTACCTGACGTACCGCCATCTGTCCTCCTTTTTTCCTCCACGAAAGCGCAGAGCGCCATTTCTTACCACCGAGTCGCTGGAAGATATAAGGGATATTCTCCGAGCGTACGAATTCTCCGACTGTTGGACTAGACTGGGCGCATTGCTTGTCCCTAGGAAACCTACGCCCCATACACAAACACAAACAACAAGAACAAGGAGAAGATATCTTCTCCGAACGCAACAATGTCAAACCGGTACATACACACTCCTCCCTTCCTCCTCCCCATCAATCAAACCCCCCAAATCCACCAAGCTCTCCACACTCACACATCCCCAATAGCTTCGGCCGCGACACCACCCGCAACTCCCTCTTCTCAACCTACGACTCGCGCTCGACTTCCCCCTCAAAACTGAAAAACCCGTCCAACCGGCCCTCGCGCCCAACCTCCGGCTACGGTTTCAACTCCTCCTCCTCCACCCCCTCCCACACCCCCTCGTCAAACGCATACAACAACAGCGCACCAGCATTCAGCGCGTACCCAGGATCCTCACACTCCCCTTACGCTGGAGAAAGTGGCAGCGGCGGAGGCGGATTCAGGACCGCGACCCCGAATTCCCGCGGCCAGTACAGCGCCGCTGTCCTCGATGAACTCGAGAGCCAGAACGACGCGGAGGTCGGCATGCTGAGCTCCAAGGTCAGGGATCTAAAACACGTAAGCGCCTTATTTCCCCCTACCCAAATCCCCCTCCATCACTCCAATCGCAACATCATAAACTAACGAGCGAGTGTGTGTGTGATTGTAGTTGACGAACCTAATCGGCACCGAAATCCGCGACTCCTCCGCATTAGCCGATAAAATGAACGAGCAGTTCGAGGGCTCGAGACAGAAGCTTAGGGGGACTATGAAGAGGATGTTGAGGATGGCGGAGAAGACGGGGGTGGGGTGGAGGGTTTGGCTGGGCTTTTTCGCGGTGGTGTGTTTGCTGTTTTGGTATGTGTGGCTTTTTTAATCCTACGGGATTTTGGGGGATGGGGAGGGTGGGAGTATATACGTGTGTGTGTGTGTGGAGGGAGAGGGAGAGCAAAGCATGCGAATTGGCGTTTTTCTGCTTTTCTATATTGTTGGGTTCTTTTGGGCAGCGGAAAATGTAGCGACTTCTTTTCTGTTGTTTATACTCCGTACTAGTACATGCATCATTTCTGCCCCGTTCTGCTTTAATATGGGGCCGGGTATATAGTAAATGCGATGCTCTCGACATATACGAACGGTCATGCAAAAGAAAGACTACGTTGTATCTTATTGATTGTGTAGAGTGGTATCACGTATATACATATTCTCACAACATCTCCCTTCTTCTCATTACCATAACAGTCTAAAGACATTAATACTCCTCCCCAAGCACCTTCTTCAACGCCTTACTCTCCCCCTCATACCTCTCCACCTTCTCCTGACTCGCCGCCAACTTCGCAAGCAAGTACTGAATCCTCGGCGTCAACGTCCTCGGCTGCGCATTCAACTGGCTGAGTAGCAACAACTCGCTCTCCACCTTTTCAATCGTCGCGGTCTCGATCTTGACGAGGTCGGTCAGGATGGCGAGGTCGAGTCTGGACGCGAGGACGCGGTCGTGGACGAGGCGCTTGAAGGCGGAGTGGTAGACGGGCTTGCCGGGCTTGATGGTGGCGGGGCGGCCGTTGGGGCCGTGGGCGATGGAGATGAGTTCGGCTTGTTCGAGGGCGCGAAGGACGGATTCGCCGGCGGTTTTGTAGGTGTCGGAGAGGAGGAGCTCGTTGTAGCGGAGAGTGGAGGTGTCGGCGAGCGATTTGATGAGGAGCCAGGCTTGCTCGGAGGTCCAGCGTCGGGTGGTGGAGTCGTCGTCGGAGTTGAAGATGTACATTTTGAGGATCTCGGAGGCGGATTGGTCGATGATTTCGTGGACGGCTTTCGTGGGCGTCTCGCCGGTTTTGATGCGTCGGGCGAGGAACTCGAGGTCCGTGAGGCGGCCGCCCAGGAGGTCGATGCAGGTGTCGAGTTCGTTGAGGTCGGCGCGGTGCTGGGAGGGGAGTTTCTTGGGTGAGCCGTCCTTGTGTGGTGGGTCGTCTTCGACGTCTGCGTCGAGGTGGGTGATGACGAATTTCTTTGCGACCTCGGGACTGCAGTCTGAGAGGGAGATCTGGCGGAAGACGCGGTCTGGAAGTGCCTTAGACAGAGACTTGGTGAAAGAGACATCGTTTGTGAGGAAGATCACATGGGCAATGTTTGCTGTAGTGAGTCGGGCAGCCCTATGACCTGTCAGTGCTGTTCAAATGCCAACCCAGGAGTTCTGATACATACCAATCGGCAATCTTGTCGTAGAGGGAGTTATCAATGTGGCTCTTGTGGAGATAATTGTCGATAATAACCACGGGCCTTCGCTCCGGATGAGCCTCAAGCCACTCATCATCCGCAAGCTGCGCGTCCTTGTCGTCCTTATGTCTCGAATCAAGAGCAATGCTGCGAAGCGCAGTCGTCGTATTGTTCCAGATCTTCGCGAGCTGCGAGTCGAGTGTTTCCGAGAATCCAGTCTTGACACCAGTGGCGCCCTGAGCTGCCATATCGATCATTCCATTGAGGCTGTTCATGAACGAGAATACAGGTCGGTAGCCAACCTCCGCGGCGGCGGCATTGATGGTCGCGCTATCGCCTCGGGCTTCCTGGATGGGCTTGCAGTCGACGACGAGCTTGTACTTCTTGTCTTTGAGAGCTTGATCGAGAACCAATTCCTTCTTGCCAGAGCCGCGGGGGCCTTGGACGATGATGAATGTGTCGGCCGTCTCCATCAGCCAGGTCTGCAATTGCTCGATGTTGCCCTTTCGATCGTCCCAGACAGCTTCCATTCCCGCATCGTCATCTTGACGACGACGGAACGTGCCGATGAAATCAGTAGCATAGCCTTTGATCAGCTTGTAGAATCTGTTGTCCTCAATATGTAAAGACCTCGTAATGTGAGCCTTGACGAAGAACGTTCGAATCCTACGACAACAATTAGCATTCATCCCATCGTCGAAGACACTCAAACTTACGGATCAAAAACCGCAACCGTGATCCCCGCGATGATAGCCGCGACAATCGGAATCACAATCCTCGGATGACCAAAAATCCAATCCCTAATCCAATGCGCCTTAACCTTCCTCTCATACCCCAACCTCAGCACCGTCCCCTTCACACCCCCACCCTCCGCCTCACTCACCAGATACCCATGCATACAATTCTTCGCCATCACCGCCTTCGGAATACTCGCGAAATCCAGGTACGCAAACTTGGGCAGTACCTTCGAATCCGGCGGCTGCGTCCCGATGTCCCCTAACTTCCCATACGGCCTGAAAAACGCAAACAACTGCTCCTGCGAGAGCTCCACCGCCTCCGCACCAGGTTCGGAAGGGATGAATTGCACTTTCACGCGCGAGGTCGGGAGCTGGAACATGTCTTCGACCCAGGGACGCCCCCGCACGAGGTTCGCGCGCATCCGCCGGAACGGACTCCACCAGGGTCTGATGTTCTTGTCACGCAGGTACTCCTTCAACGCCGTCTCGACCTCAGACGTGCTCGTCGTCGCATCGTGGCTGAACTTGACGAACGCGCCGCCTTCTTTGAGGCGGGGGATCACTTCGAGGGCTTTGATGGGCTTGGCGGCGGAGGAGAGGACGTGTGCGGGGTCTGCGCCTGCGACCGTGGAGGTGATGAAGTTCTGGAAGAGGCCGGGGGCTTTGTCGGAGGCGTCGAGGGGGATGCCGAGGAGTTTTTGGAGGCGGAGGGGGAAGACGTTGTCGATGAAGAGGATGCCTTCGTTGGGGCCGGTCTGGATGTGGCCGGTTTTGTTTTCGCCTGCTTGGAGGGAGACGTGACGGTGCGGGTTTGTGAGGAGTGGTGGTGGGATTCTGGGGGTGCGTTTGTCAGTTCGTGATGGGATGATCTACAGCAAGGTGTGTGTATACATACCTCGTCCGTGTACTGTGTAGCACCCCGCGATGGCGGGCACTTTGGTGCCATGCCCGTGGCGAGAGAAACATCGTTGCGTCTGGATGGATTACGGACGCATGTCCTTTATCACAGCTTGCCCTTGAATGATATTCGAGACAGCGAGAGCGAACGCAATGGATGTTTGTGGTTTGGTGGAGTGTTACAATAAAGTGACGCAATGTGCGATGCACGGTCCACAGATAGATCGCGATCGCGCCGCTGACGCGCGCTTGAGAGTTGCTGTATCAGGATATTGTGATAGGGTTGTGCTTTTGCAGAGGAGAGGGTATGGATTAGTTACATTTACAGGTATGTTTTCAAAGCATTGATAATATTCCCAATTGACTACAGCACACTCTAGAACATTCACTTATAGGCTCTCTACACTCCTCTCAACCAGCTACGCCGTCCTCTGCAATCCCCCTATCACATGTTAAAGCTACCCACATCCATCCCAAGAACCTTGAGACCTTCCACCCGCCTACAGCCTACTCCACCCTTCACAAATACCTTCACGGAAGCAGTAGTGCCAATTTGTTACATATATCAAAACAATATATTTACTTCATCTGTAACGAAAGCTATTCTACACGTTTTGCAAAAAAATGCACCTTGCCTTTTCCGCCACCCGTCACCCGTCCAGATATAAATTTAAGGTATCATCTTTTTTCGCAGGTGTTGTAGACAAAAAACGAACGAGTCAAAAAAGAAAATCTGAAAGACGTGAGAACCGTTTGAAAAATCTTGTTATAGTCGTCTTCGTCTTTCGTGAAAAATCATCGTTGATGGGCATGCAAAGTACGATCCCAAAACGCCTTGAAACATTTCATGAAGAAACAAAACACATAGCTTAGGTGGTTAGGATAGAGGGGGAGGTTTAGGCGGTGACGGCGATGGTGGGAGCAGCGGTGTCGTCGGCTTTGCCGAGGAGCTCGTAGGGCGGGCGCTTGACGATGCCGCCGGTGACGGGGAGCTGGCTGCTGACGCCGGTGAGGAAGGAGTCGACTTCGCGGGCGGACTGGCGACCTTCGTTGATGCCCCTATAATAATGTGTTAGTTTCGATTCGGTAAGGGGAAATGAGTAGGAGTGGGAGGGGATAGATGATGACTTACCAGACGATGAGGGATTGACCGCGGCGGCAGTCACCAGCGGCGAAGACGCCGGGGAGGTTTGTGCTGTAGTGGCCGGGGGCGGTCTTGACGTTCTTGCGGGGGTCGAGGTCGACGGCGCCGCCGAGGACGCGCTGGTCGGGGCCGAGGAAGCCCATGGAGAGGAGGACGAGGTCCGCGGGGAAGAACTGCTCGCTGCCGTCGATCTGCTTCATGTCCCAGCCGCCCGTGGACGACTTGGTCCACTCGACGCGGACCGTGTTGATGCCCTTGACGTTGCCCTCGCCGTCGTCGACGAATTCCTTGGACATCACGCAGTACTCGCGAGGGTCCTTGCCCATGTGCGTCTTGACTTCCGAGTGGCCGTAGTCCACGCGGTAGATGCGGGGCCACTGGGGCCAAGGGTTGTCGCGGGCACGCTCTGGCGGGGGTTGAGGGAGGAGCTCGAAGTTGACGACGGATTTGGCGCCGTGGCGGACGGAGGTTCCGATGCAGTCGTTACCGGTGTCACCACCGCCGATGACAACGACGTGCTTACCCTTTGCGGAGATGTAGGCCTCGTCGGCGAGCTCAGAGTCGAGGAGAGACTTGGTGTTCTTGTGCAAGAACTGCATGGCGAAGTGGACGCCGTTCAAGTTGCGGTTGGGGATGGGGAGGTCACGAGCGACAGTTGCTCCGGTGGCCAAAACAACGGCATCGTTCTCGCCACGGAGGGACTCGAGACTGGGCTGGCCATCCTCGCCGACGGCAACGTTGGTCTTGAAAGTGACGCCCTCGGCTGCGAGGAAGTCGACACGGCGCTGGACGACCTTCTTGTCGAGCTTCATGTTGGGGATACCGTACATCAACAGACCACCAACACGGTCGGCACGCTCGTAGACGGTGACGGAGTGACCAGCCTTGTTGAGCTGATCGGCGCAGGCGAGACCAGCAGGACCGGATCCGATGATGGCAACGGTCTTGCCAGAGCGGGTCTGGGGTGGGTTGGGAACCATCCAGCCCATCTCGAATCCGCGGTCAATGATGGCGCACTCGATGGACTTGATGCCGACGGGATCCTCGTTGATGCCAAGAACACAGGCACCCTCGCAAGGAGCTGGGCAGACACGGCCAGTGAACTCGGGGAAGTTGTTGGTCATGAGGAGACGGTTGAGGGCGTCGCGCCATTGATTTTGGAAGACCAATTCGTTCCACTTGGGGATAATGTTACTGATCGGGCAACCACTATCAGACTGACAGAACGGAATACCGCAGTCCATGCAACGCGCAGTCTGGTACTTAAGCTCATCCTCATTCAGACGCTGAGAAAGCTCCTGCCAGTCACGCGTACGCGTCTTAGGGTTGCGGTACTTCTCCGATCTCCGCTGGTACTTCATGAAGCCGCGGGTCTTGTCGAGCACGAGCGCCTTCTTCTTCTCGGCCTTAGCATCAGTGACGCTCTCCTCGATGTCGAGCAGGTCGGCCTTCTTCTTGTCCTGGGCCTCGTGCTCGTGCTTGCGGGAGTCCTCGTGGGCCTCGCGGACGGGGTTGCCGGGGAGGATGGGGAGAGGGTAGGCTTTCTTCTTCTCCTCGGCCTTCTTTGCGGCTTCCTCTTGCAGGACGCGCTTGTAGTCGGTGGGCATGACCTTGACGAAGCGGGGGAGAGCGCGGGTGAAGTCGAGGAGGATGCGGGCGGCGAGTTCGGAGCCAGTGTAGTGGTGGTGGTCCTCGATGAGGCCGCGGACGAAGGCGATCTCCTCGGGGTCTTCGATGCCGGTGAGCTCAACCATCTCCTGGTTGACCTTCTGCTCGAAGTCGTGGTGCATGTCGAGCACGTAGGCGATACCGCCGGACATGCCTGCGGCGAAGTTGCGGCCCGTGGAGCCCAAGACGAGGACGCGGCCGCCAGTCATGTACTCGCAGGCGTGGTCGCCGACGCCCTCAACGACGGCGGTGGCACCGGAGTTGCGGACGGCGAATCGCTCGGCAGCAACACCACGGAAGTAGCAGTGGCCGCGTGTGGCACCGTACAAGCAGACGTTGCCGAGGAGGACGTTCTCCTCTGCTTTGTAGACGGCAGTGCGGGGAGGGTACATGATGATACGACCGCCAGATAGACCCTTGCCAACGTAATCGTTAGCATCTCCCTCAAGCTCGAGAGTGACACCAGGAGCGAGGTAGGCTCCGAAGGATTGACCAGCGGAACCACGGATGTTGGCATGGATGGTGTCGTTGGGCAGACCAGCCTCGCCATAGCGTCTGGAGATCTGGTAGGAGAGGGTGGCACCTAGAGCACGATCGGTGTTGACGATGTCGCACTCAATGCGGGCGGGCATACCCTTCTCGAGAGCAAGCTCGGATTCGGCAATGAGCTTGTTGTCAAGTCGGACATGAAGACGGTGGTCCTGCTTGCGAACATTGAAGGTAGCGACGCCCGGTCGGAGGGTGTGGGCAGGAGTCAAGATCAGAGACAAGTCGATGTTCTCGGTCTTGGCAGTTCGAAGGTCGTCACGAATCTTCAACACCTCACAGTGACCGACCATCTCGTTGATAGTACGGAATCCCAGCTTCGCCATGATAGCACGCATCTCATTGGCAACGTAATAAAAGAAGTTTATGACGTTCTCCGGGGTACCCACGAACTTCTTCCTGAGCTCGGGATCCTGCGTTGCGATGCCGACAGGGCATGTATTCTATATCAAAAGTTAGCAATCAAAAACCACTTGTAGTCGGTAAAGTATCACAAACCAAATGGCACTTGCGCATCATAATGCAGCCCATGGCAATAAGAGGCGTTGTCGCGAATCCCCATTCCTCCGCACCGAGCAAACATGCGATGGCGACGTCGCGGCCAGTCCTGAGCTGGCCATCAGTCTGAACGATGACACGACCACGAAGATCGTTCAACACCAAAGTCTGATGAGTCTCGGCAAGACCGAGTTCCCAAGGAAGACCAGCATACTTGATACCGGTCCATCGCGAGGCACCGGTACCACCGTCGTGGCCGGAAATGAGGATGTGGTCGGCCTTGGCCTTGGCGACACCGGAGGCGACGATACCGACACCGGTCTCGGAGACGAGCTTGACGGAGACACGGGCGCGGGGGTTGGAGCACTTGAGGTCGTAGATGAGCTGTTTGAGATCCTCGATGGAGTAGATGTCGTGGTGGGGGGGAGGGCTGATGAGACCGACACCAGGGGTGGAGTGACGGGTCTTGGCGATGGACTGGGAGACCTTGTGGCCGGGAAGTTCACCACCCTCACCGGGCTTAGCACCTTGGGCCATCTTGATCTGGAGCTCGTCGGCGTCGGCGAGGTAGGCGCTGGTGACACCGAACCGGCCAGAGGCAATCTGCTTGATGGCAGAGCGCATGGTGTCGCCGTTCTCGAGACGCTGGCTTCGCTCAGGGTCTTCACCACCTTCACCAGTGTTGGACTTTCCACCCAACCTGTTCATGGCAACGGCGATGGTGGAGTGAGACTCCATAGAGATGGAACCGTAAGACATGGCACCAGTGACGAAGCGGCGGACGATCTCGGTCCATGGCTCGACCTGGTCGATGGGGATGGATTGACGGCCCTCGAATTCGAAGTCGAGAAGTCCACGGAGTGTGCAGTCCTTGATACGCTCGTACTCGGCGAGGGAGTATGCCTCGTAGGACTTGTCGTTCTTGGTGCGGACGGCGTCCTGGATGTTGGCAATGGCAGTGGGGTCGTTGACGTGAGGCTCGCCTCCGTCTCTCCAGTGGTACTCTCCAGTCTCGACGAGGCCGGGGATCTCGACAATGCTGCGGGACGGGAAACCCTTCTCGTGCAGACCGAAAGCATCCTGGGCAATGAGCTCGAAAGTCATACCCTTGATACGAGAAGCTGTTCCGGTGAAGCAACGATCGACGACGGAGTCATCAATACCGAGGGCCTCGAAAATCTGGGCACCCTTGTAGGATTGAATAGTAGAGATACCCATCTTGCTCATGACCTTGAGGATACCACCATCGCAAGAGTGCTTGTAGTTGTCAATGAGCTGCTTGGGAGTGATCTTCTTGCGGATGAGGCCCTCGCGGTGCATCTTGAGAATACACTCAATGGCAAGGTAGGGGCAGATGGCATCAGCACCGTAGCCAACGAGGACGCACATGTGGTGGACTTCACGGGCCTCACCAGTCTCGACGACGAGAGCGGCCTGGGATCGCCACTTGTTGCGGACGAGATGGTGGTGGACCATACCAGTGGCGAGAAGTGCGGAGACTGGAACACGCTCTGCGGAGGTGTTGCGGTCGGAGAGGACGATGAAGTTGTCACCGCTCTGGATGCCTTCGGTGGCCTCGTCACAGATGCGGTCAAGGGCACTCATGTAGCCATCAACACCCTCGCTCTTGGGGAAGGTGATGTCGATGTACTTGACAGTCCACTCGGGGTGGAGGACGTGAGTGTTGGTGAGAGCCTTGTACTCCTCGATGGAGAGAACGGGGGACGGGAGCAGCATCCTGTGGCACTGGCTCTCGTCCATTTCCAAAACGTTGCCCTGAGGACCGACATACGCCTCGAGAGACATGACAATAGCCTCACGAATGGGATCGATGGGGGGATTCGTGACCTGGGCGAAAAGCTGGCGGAAGTACTCGTAGAGCAATCGAGGCTGGGTAGCCAAGCAAGCAAGAGGAGCATCGTTACCCATAGATCCGAGAGCTTCCTTGGAATCAGCAGCCATGGGACCGAGAAGCAAGCTGACCTGCTCCAAGGAGTATCCGAAAGCCCGCAATCTGGGATCTTCCTGCACTCTGGTCTCGCTGAGGGTAAGGGAAGTGTCCACACCCTTCTCGGTGACCTGCTCGAGGATCTTGGGGAGGGTGAGGAGGTTCTTCTCGATCCAAGAGCGGAAATCGAATCGGCTAGACACAGTGTCCTTGAGCTCCTTGTCGTCCACAATGCGTCCGGCGACAGTATCAACCAAAAGCATGCGTCCGGGCTGGAGACGGCCCTTCTGCACAACACGCTCCGGCTCGATGGAGATGGTTCCAACCTCGGAAGCGCAGACGATGCGGTCGTCGTCAGTTACGTAGTATCGGCAAGGTCGAAGACCGTTTCGGTCCAAGTTTGCACCACAGTAACGTCCATCAGAGAAGGTGAACAGAGCAGGTCCGTCCCAGGGCTCCATCATGCAGGCAGCCCACTCGTAGAAAGCCTGCTTGGCCGGGTCCATCGTGTCGTTACCCTGCCATGCCTCAGGAACCATGAGCATAACTGCCTCAGGGAGGGAGAGAACCCCGTTGATCGTGAGGAGCTCAAGAACGTTGTCGAAAGCAGCGGAGTCAGAGCCACCGTCTTCGATGATGGGGTAGAGGAGATCCAGCTCGTCGCCGAAAAGACCAGATTTCATGACACCCTCGCGGGCCCTCATCCAGTTCTTGTTACCCCGCAATGTGTTAATTTCACCATTGTGGGCGGCCCATCTGAGCGGCTGAGCACGATCCCAGCTGGGGAAAGTGTTCGTAGAGAAACGCGAGTGCACCAAAGCGAAGTGGCCCTCGAAATCAACGTTGACCAAATCGTGGTAGTACTCGTAGACTTGCACGGGTGCCAATTGGCCCTTGTACACGATGTTCTTGTTGCTCAGAGAGCAGATGTAGAACCAGTTGTGGAGACCAATGACATGCGTAGAGCGCTTTCGGAGGACATAGAGCTGTCGCTCGAAGTATCCGACATTGTGCAACTGATCGAATTCGGGCTTGGGCTGCTTTCCGTCTCCGTAGGCCTCCTTGAGCACGACAAATGGCTGAAGGATGATAGGCTCGCGAGAGAGGGCGGCGGGACCGAGCAGAGTGGAGTCCCGGGGAACCAGACGCCATCCAAGCACCCGCAGGCCAAGCTGGTCTGCGACCTCCTCGAACATGCTCTTGGTGTCATCCAGGATCTGAGGATCGGGCTTGAAAAACAGGTTTCCCGTCGCATACTGTCCAATTTGGGGGAGGACGAATCCTTGTTCGCGCTGGAATTCCTTAATGAAAAACTTGTGGGGTATCGAAGTCATGACGCCTGCGCCGTCACCGTCTCGTGCATCGGAGCCCACGGCACCGCGATGGGTCATGTTGCAAAGTAAAGAGCGTGCATCGGAAATGATTTTGTGGCTCGCCTTGCCCTTGATGTGGCTATCCAACTGTTAGCATTATTGTGCCAAAAATGTGTGCAATTATTCGGGGCCAAACACTCACGCTGCAAAACCGACACCACAGGCATCCTTCTCGAGCTCCGGGTCATAGAGACCCTGCTTCAAGGGCAGAGCACCCGCCCACGACTTGTTGTCGGGGCCATCTTGGTATTCGAACACAGAAGGTTGCTCTTCTTCTTCGATATGGGTATCCTGGGGCAATTTTGTATCTTCGGCAAAAGAAACCCGACCCATTATATCGGCAAACGGCCGAAAGTCTGGAAGATTTATCGGGTTGTCGACTGGAGGGAGGAGAGGGCGACTACGTCGTGGGTATTTGGGAGATGACAATGCCGCTCGAAGGGGAACTTCAGTTCAGATTGGCAGGTTTCTGCTCTAGAAATCGAACTTTTGGGAACGAATTAGTAAAATGCGTACAGAAGACTTGGCGTAGGAATTACAAAAAGAGCTGCTGTTTGCGGGAGTGTGTGTGGGAGAGTATGCAGACGAAAGCCCGCTTGGGAGGCTTTGCACATCTTAAAGAATGCGAGCGGGAGGGCAGAAGAATGCGGGGAGCCACAGGCTGGTGGTCCCAAAGAGTCCCAAAGGGTCCCAAAGAGGAGATTCAACCAGTCAATCGCACTCATATGACAGGAAGAAAATAAAAAAGCATGGCAGCCAGATCGCCGTCACCGTCACCAGTTCCCACGACCGACCGAACCCACACAAATTGTGTAGGCAGTTATGTATGCATTTTATTTTTCCTCAACCTATGACGCATTGCTGTTGCTGGCCCTGGTCCACCCCGGCGAACCGATAGCTGCCAACACAAGCGTACGACATTGTCCTGATAAGGAACGGGGCGACCGCGAATGGGAGAGCGCGGGATTGTGATCATAATTGCGAGCGCGAGCAACCTCTTGGGAAGATCCTTGTGCAATGTACTCCGTACCTCCCCAATCCTTTCGGCATGATGTGCATTGATTGTACGGCGGATGAGGGTACATAATTGGAGTGGTAATGTCTTTTTTTTTCTTTTTGGTTTGCTTTGGGGGTTATGGTGTAGAGGCAGGCAGAAGGCAGGGTGGTGAGTGGGTAGAGAGCAGCGGATGATGGGGGGAAGTGGGTGAGGCAGGAGGCATGACACCAGGTAGGTGTATGTACAACTTACTCAGAAGGGAGACCTGTTGTAAAGACAGGATTTTTAATTCCGAACAGATGATTTCTCTGTGAAGTTTGTAGTAGGTAGGTAGTAGTTGAAGGGTCGAAGAATGAGAGGTAGCAAGAAGAAAAAGTGGGAGAAAGGACGGACGGGTGGGAGAGAGGCTTATGAAGGGTTGCGGAGAGAGAGAGAGAGAGAGAGAGAGAGGGCGGCGAGAGTAAAGGTTGGGTGGGGTTTGGAAATTTCACTGGCACTGGCCGCTAGCTCTACCTCTCTCACCCTCTACTCTACTCTAGGGTCTACACTTTTCTATCACTCCGCCTCGCATTCAGTCCAGTCTGATTTTACCGCCCTAGACTCGTTTGAAAAGAACGGAAAAAAAGGTTGTGTGTTCGCTTGTCCATCCGTCATTCGCTGTGGTGCAGAGAATCTCCCGGTCTTGGGGGTGGTCTTGGTACTGTGTGTGTATTCTATGTACGTTATGTGTATATGTAGGGTCTATTTATCGATGAGGATCCCGAAGCGGCACATGTCAATAATTGCCTAGGAGAGAGAAGGGTAAGTAAGTACTTCGTACCCTCTCTCCCCCGGTCCTCCTACGGGGTACACAATGGTTACGAGGGATACCATCCCATGATTCCCCACCCGTCGGCCTCTGACTACCGTATAACAGGACAAAAGATCCAAAGGAAACGATGAAATCATGTCCTCTCGCTGGAGGTGAGATTCCGAAGAGCCAATTGAGAGGCGGCAGATAGAGATTAGCTATTATGCTGGTGGCCGTGTGGCCGTGTGGCCGTGTGGCCGCCTAGGAAGCTCCACACCAGCGACCGATACCGTGTGTGAATCCAATATAAAATGAATGCTCTCCAGAGGGGTGGGCGACGCTAGGGCAGACAGACAGATGGACTAAGAGAGACCTAAGTTGTTAACACCCTGCAGCAGTGGGCGCATTTGGTGCAGCATGGCTAGTGTGCAGTTGGTGCCGTGTGAGATGGATGCATTGCTACTTGTATAGTACGAGTATATCTGGTAGGGTAACTGTGTTCTGGGTTCAAAAAGAGTGACGGATGGATGGGTACATTGGACATGGATGACATGAGTGACATGGATGGATGATGATGGGTGAGGTGTGGTGGATGGTGGATGGATGGGAACATGGAAGTTACCCCACGGTTTTCTGCCACATGAAGCGAGATTCTGCCGCATTCTGCCAGATGTAGATTGCCGTAAGCAGTATGAATGCGACGCGAGTGGACAAGCCGGACGCAGCTGCCAAGGCGGTGAACAGGCCGGTGAGCATCCCAGTCATCCAAGGGCAAAAAGCGTTCGGTGGCGTGGGCGAATTACAGACCTCCGAAGTCGCCATGACAAAGTCCATCCATTCACTACCACGACCACTCACCAACTGTGTCTTGTCTGTTTTACTTGTTCAGTAGATGAATGTACTACTACAAAGTGTATACTTCCAATGTACATGCACTCAGCGCTTAATTACCATGTAGGTGTCGTCTCGGTTTGTAGACACACTGCTGTGAGTACACTTTCATCATGGAGGGATACTGTAGAGACAGCGAACATGTATGCATCCCACCATGCTAACTAACTAACGAGACCCTAACAATTTCCCTACACCAACCCGTACTTGTACAGAGTCCACTTACCCACCCACGCCGCCTAGTCTCTGCGTCTATCCAGGTTCCCATCTGTACACATTTCTCCTACCGAGATCCCAGATTTCCCTTAATTCCAATTCAAACATCCCACATTGGCTGCTTTCCCTTAGCCTCAAAATGCGCCGATGCTTCTTCGTCGTAATAATAGATGGTCAAACCTCTTCAGATTCCTTATCAGCACCATCATGGCCAGCCCCGTCAACGTCACTCCGCGCAACTCTCTCTCCCTCCCTCTCCCCATCTCCATGCCTATCCCTAGTTATCCACATGCCACATGTGCCATGCCATGCCATGCCATGCATCTACCTACCTAACATTCGTGCGTCGTCGTGCGCCGGCGCGCTGCTGCATAGCCAGAAGCAGCAAAGCAGACGCCGTCAAGCCGGTCCGCCGCCGGTCTCTGTCCACCAAGCAGCAAACAAACCGCCTGTACTGGCCTGGCCTCGCCTTGCGCAACGGCGGCGTCTGCAATCCGTCCCTCCTCTGGCCGCTCCATATCGATCTTCCACCACCACTACAAACTACTCTTTCACCATTCATCCATCAAGCAGCAATCGTTTCACAGATGGGCCAGTACAATAGTTAATGATGCACACATACACGTTGATCCCCCTCATCTCTAGCAACCAATTACTCTCCATCCCCATTCTATCCCTAACGAAACGAAACGGCAAGTCTCGCGACCGCAATCCAATCGACAAACATTAAATGAACGATCGCCCCCAAATGATGAGCATGTGACTCCCTACCGTTCTGGCAATCATCACCCAACCCCATCATCTCATTATTCAATATGTTTGACAAAAACCGCTACGCTACTCGTACGTCTTTTCCGCGTCGGGAGATCCCGGGACAGAACTTCTTTGCCTTTTTTCTCCCCACCCAGCCAGCGTGCTAGGTCGAAGGTGACTAGTACTTAGAGCAGACAACCAACCAACGGCAGAGAACCTATTCCTCGCCTGAAGATACATACTCGTACCAGTGTACTGTGCTGGAGTACAGACAACAGTACCGCGGCCAAACTACACCACCCATGCCATGTACCGTACCCTTTCGCCACGCACTGTCCTCCCTACCCAATCCTCTTTCCACAATATCCAATAACAGTACCCCTCGTACTCTACCTACCTCGTACCAGTACATAGACACACAAGCGTCAGCCGATATCGCATTCCCACCCCTCCTCCCATCCGCCGTACAAAAAGTGACCCCCATACGTGGTGTGGTGAGCTCCTCCGGATACGTATCCCGCTTCTGGCGCGCGCGGAAAAATGAAGGGTAGTTACGGAGGAGAGGATGAAGTACACGTACTGTGCAGTGCGAATCACTGGATTGGATGTACCGTACCGTACCTGCCCTTCCACTACCTTGTGTGCTGCCATGTATCATGATGGATGTAGCATCCCACCACCAACCATCACCAGATAAGTAGAAATGAAGGTACACCCAGTTGTCCGGCGGAGATCGTAGTTATGATTCCGCCGCCAATTGAATGACCTGCTCATACCTATGTACAAGTACTCGTTCGCTTTCGCGCGTTCGTTTGACCGTCAGGCCGGGACCCAATCGCCGACGTTTGCGATGCGGGTTTGCTGAAGCGTTTCCGCATCTGGGACGGTTGCCCGCTCGTGTCGTGAGTTCCTGCCCTACCGTCTGCTCGAGTGGGAGTATGTGTCCACTATTATATGGGTTTGAATGAGGTTTTGGTAGGTACCTAGGTTATGTGTGTTAGTCACAAAGATACATCGTTTGAGTTCAATTCTGTATGTCTTCGTCGCGAAACCCTTGATATAAAACCATGGTATGTACACAATAACCTCGCAATGAAATTGTAACTCCCAGAGGGCGTGTCATTTCGCAATTCCGCATTGAGGGGAATGGAGGATTTGAGTACATATAGGTACCTAATCTATACACACTCATCGTTAGCATGGGCAGACACTTAGATACTTCTATACATGTCGAACCGCAAACTACAAATCTACTCGTAGGACTACGAGTACACAGATATCCAAATATAATCCTTCCCTTTCCACGACTTCTCAGCTATTTCATTCATATCCATCTTGTAGGGAGTACGAAGTATGTAGGTACTCGAACGTACTAATATCTCCCATAGATATAAGTACATTAGTCTAAAAGAACAAAGCCCTTGACATCTGCCCACAAACAAGAAGGATGAAAGTGCCACACTGATCCAACATAAAAATAATCATCCATACCAAATCCATCCTAATATTCTTTTTCTTCGAAAAGAAGTAGCAAATGCTTGAAATGTATGCGGACAAGCTCACGATAAAGCTCGGCGAAGAAGTATTTGATATCTTAATCTTGCATCATATCCAGCGTCGCAGTTCTTGGGAAGACTTCAAAAGACGTAGACATGTACATCTAGCCATGGACAGGTTGAGTAATTGGACCATTTAGAAAAAGATTATGCTTTGTGTCTATACATCTTCACATGTATACATGTACACTTAGGTAGGTTGAGTAGCTCGTATATCAGCACACCATATCCTTCTTCATGCCTCACTCACCTCTCTCCAAAAGTGTGACAGAAGCTAGACCCCCTTTGAACTAGAGATGAGGGATAGTAGATCTACGCTTGTATGTTTATATAGATCCCTAGTCTCTAGGACTTTTTAGGTAAATGAATGCAGTGTTTGTTTAATAATATTTAGTACATAGCTTTTAAGGGTATATTTAGTGTATCTATCTATCTATTTGTATGTTGAAAAGAACACGGAGTACAGATGTGAACATATTTCTACTAACTACCGTGTACATTTTCCCTCTTACTCTTTTCTTCCTCGTGGGCGACGAGAAGTTTTTCTTCGCTGTTTTTGTTCAGTGACTATGTCGAGACGATATGCAGCTGTTTCGCTGTTTTTCGTGCCTTCCTTGGAAGATGCGCGCCTTCCTTCAGTGACCATGTCGAGAAGCGCCCACCTTTTCTCCTCGACTGCTCCCCTCAGTTACACCTCTACTCTATCGCACATCCTGCTCGGAAAAATGGATTCGCCTCACTTGTTTTTCGCTATCCTGATCTTTTGCTCATTGATCGTGGATCGTGGAGACAGCGTCTTTCCGTATTCGGCTTTTTTCTGATCTTCCTAAAATCGTAACGCTCTTTGAAATCCTCGGTAGTGCATTCGATGGATCACTACGGTTGATTTCGTGCTCAGAACACCCTCCTTCTGTTCAGCAGATCAAGTCGATGGTAGAAATCCGTCACGGTGACACAGTCTGGCGCAAGTATTGGGGAGTCTACATTGTTGTCCTCGAGAAGTCCGGATGCAGACCGATCCTATATACTGGTTCTTCTATGAATAGACAGGATGGTATCTACGGGCAATTCCTCGACTACTAGTATATTGACTTTCAGGCATCTTAGTCTGACCTACCCTTTCTAACTATTACTTTTAGCACTAGAAACTCCGACAGGCTCCTGAAATATGTATTTCGGGCTTTCTAAATGGGCTATATAATAACACACTTCGCTGGTCCTTTGTACTTTTTGCAGCCTACCAACCTAAGGCATTTCCGATTTTCTCAGACCTTCTTGCTGGCGTTCGAACACACTGTGACATTTCGACTGTGGACTATAGTAGGTAGGTAGGTAGGTAGCTTAGGTAGGTATATACTGAGGGTTGGCAGGCCCGCTGATAGTACTTCAAGCCCACAACAGTGCATTCGCGAGATTTCATTGCAAGGAGATAAGACTGTTTACTGGCTACAATGCACTCTTGATTTAGGTACAGAAGATACATAAAGGTAGGAGGTAGCTAGCTAGACGTGCTAACCCTCTGTACATCAACACACAATATCCTTCTTCACACCTCCCCCTCTCCGACATCGTGATATTGAAGCTAGGTCCCTTGAACTAGAGATGAGGGGTAGTGGATCTATGTATGTATGTTTATATAGCTAAAATTTTCTAGGGGAGTTGTTGTGGTGTTTATTTGACGTTGTTTATTACATGGCATTCAAGTGTGTGTATAGTGTATCTACACATCTGTCTATGTATTAAAAAGAATACGTATGTGACTATATTTCCACCAACTACCATGCACATTCATTTTCTCACTCTCTCCCTCTAGTGGGCGATGAATTTTTTTTCCACTGTTGTTATTGTGTTGATGTTCGGTAAACATGGATGAAAGTGAAGCGTGGGAGGTGGGGATGGGGTCTAGAACTTCAGACGTTCTCGTTTCTGCAGGCAGGTAGGGATTGGTAAATTTTTGCGAATTCGTGACCTCGGTCGGTCTCAGCGTGTGGCTAGGCTCGGGAAGTATTGATGAAGAGTGCTTTCGTTTATTTACTGCTTTAGTTGGGCATAGGTATATTGGAAAGGTAGTGTTTGGAGGAAGTCAAGATTGTGGCGGGGAAGCGTTGGCGCATACTGCCATGCTTAGGTTCAGGGATTAATGTTAGCAAATCTGCGGCAACGTAGTACAAAAAAGACAAACATGCACGAAAATGCAGGGCACATCTGAGTGGTATTCATGATCATTTTGTTTTCCATTTTTTAGGTAGATATATGCTGGACGGGAGGCGACCAAATGTAGGTAGGCGTGCGGGCAGCAACATTCGGAGGTGTTCACCCCGCCGCAGTCACTGTTCGCGCACGTACGCGACCGCGCCAAGACTCCATACTCGATTTCAGTTTGCCTGCCATCCCTATGCCAATTGATTTCTTTTCAGAGTGAACACGAATCCCAATCTGGTAGTGCTCCCAAGGTATACGCGTGCAGAAGAGGTCGTAAAAAAGGACGGGTTGCGCCTGCGTAGTTCGTGAGCAGAGCCGAAGCGGTGAAGGTGGGGCAAAATTTATGTCGAGGCAAAGCATACCACATAACCAGAGAAGAGTGAAGCAGAGAGATGATTTCTCTCTTACTCCTCCATGGCGTCCTCGCCTTCGTAGTCCTCATCATCTTCCTCGTCCTCGTCCTCGCCGAGCTCCTGGTTGGCTTTGGCAAAGTCGATGTTCTTGCCACGGGTACGGCTTCCGACGATGTTGCTGGTATCGATCTCCTCCATGTTGTCATCATCCTCGACCTCAACTAATTCTCGAGTTAGATTAATACGATGGGCTGAATTGACGCATTAGACATACCGGGAGCCTGAAGTCATTGTTAGCAGTTGCGACCAAAATTGCGCAGTAGTTGCGGTACATACCTGATCCTCAACGCCAGACTCGTCGCTGGAGTCGTCATCGGCAGACTCCTCAACCTGGGGATCACTGGCCTTGCCCTTGCCCTTGTCGAGGGGCTGCTCAACGCCCTCCATCTGGTTGTCCTGAACTTGGTCGGCCATTGTTTCGAAAAGTGAACGGTAGTTTCGGAATTGGAAGTTTCTGAGTTGCGCGAAGGTGCAGACGGGAATTTGAAGTTTGAGCGTGAGTTGTTTACGTGGTGGAGTTGTAGAAGGAAGACGAAGTGAAGCTGCTACTCTTTACGAAAGCAAATGCTTGTCGCGCGCATAGAGCTACTAACCTAATTGGGATCGTTGCCCTAGCGACGAATCTCGATTGGTCAAACACCAATGTTGCGACTCTCGCTCAACCCGATTGAAGAAGGTGGAATAGAGTTAACCGCCGCCATTCTTACTTACCAATTGGCGGTAGCAGATCTTGTAAGATGCGCCTCACCATTGCATCTTCTTTTGGTTGTTAATATTCAGTGAATCGATTGCTGGGGCTAGGTGCAATAGTAAACGAGCGTTTCCTTTCGCTACAGCACCTTACATTTTAAGATTGGTAGTTTGAGACTTATATTGTCGCAATTTTGAAGAAATGGGGACTCCTTTATAAATTTTGAATAATAAGAAAGATGAGGTATCAAGTGATTAACAGTGAATCTAGTGTAGTTTGGAACATATTGGCCATGCCTGTCCAATCATATGCGCCCATCATGGGCGGCGCTCTTTGGTTACGGCCAGATATCGCGATTGTTCCTTTCCAAATGTTCCAAGGAAGCATTGCTTGCTGATCTGTAGTTGGCTCTCACGTATATTGAACGAATCATTCACAAATACCTGCGTTGTGTTACAATGTTGACGGTCTTCTCTTATCGATTGCTGTTCAGCTGGTGGGACCACACCTGAGCGTGGTGGTCAATGCGCGCCACTTTACGCGGTTCGCGACAACGCGTCTTCTCACATGGCCATGATGAGCATCGTTCTTCAAACTTCAATCTAGCAACAATGTCTTTACAACAGCGTGTACGCAGCCGGCAAGCTCGTAAGTCGACCGAAAGTATTCCTTAGGGTGCATGGAAAAGCTAATCAAGCTATAGACGCCCCTGGTCCAACATTTCTCTCATACACCCCGAACGGAAAGAAGCTAATCACGGTCGGCGTGGACAATTACTATCGCATATACAGCACCGGCTCGGACGACGAGCCTGTGACTTTAGATGATTGCCAGGAGAATAACACTGCAATCGTTGCAAACGTACGTAGACTGGAACGACTGAAGACACTTGCCATACTGATGCGAGGCTAGAATGAATTCTTCTTCGTCGGCTCTGAAGACGGCACAGTATGCAAATACTCTATACAAGACAAGAAATTGGAGGAAATTCTTGTCCGCACCTCCTTACCGGTGCGAGACATTGCTCTAAGTCCGGATGGCAACTGGATTGCCGTTGCAAGCGAGTATGATTCCCATTGTTTTGGTCAAGACAAGAACTAATCTCTGCAGTGAAATCGTCGTAAAGGTCGTAAACACCAAAGATATGACACAAGTACAGCATCTTCGAGACCAAAGCCGGGCAGTCAAGCATGTTTCGTTCGACAACAGCGGGTCTCGATTGGCCGTTTCTTGCACGGACGGCAATATATACATGTACTCTCTGAGTTCAGAAACACCAAATCTGATCAAGAAAGTAGACGGTATGATAAAGAGCTTGGAATCGGATGCAGTTGCAAGCTCAAAAGCAATATGGCACCCGGACGGACGAGCATTCGCAACACCCACCGCCACGCGCGAAATGCAGGTAATGTCCTTCAGCGACTGGGCAAGGCAACGTGCCTTCAAGACTGCCCATTCGGCGGACATCACTGCGGCTGCGTGGTCACCGAATGGTGCTCTCCTTGCCACTACCTCGAGTGATCTCACACTCAAAATCTGGGACACCAAAACGCAAAAGATGATCAAGAACTACGACGATCTCAAGGCCACAACTTTGGCCATGGCGTGGCATCCTACAGAAAACGTTCTTTCGTATACGAATGACGACGGAGAGGTCTATTTCCATACCGAAGTCATTCCCACTGAGCATGTCCCACTGCTTGAGAAATCAGTGCAGCCAGCACCTTTCTTCCACGACCCGTCGGAAGGACAGTTGCGAGATGCAGATAATGTTACGAACGGAACAAAGAATGTTCTCCCAGAACGTCAAGCTAGGAGAGCAGGCACCCCTGATTCCCTCGATGACATCCTGGGATCAGATGCAATCTCGGAGGACGGCATGGATGATTTCGTGGTAGATGATGATGGGGCGGGCTATGTACATGTGATCAATGTCCACGGAAAGCGAACAAATGATCACCTAGGAGGCTTGAATTCGCTGGGTGGAAAACGGCGAGCACACAATACTTCGTCATTTCGTCCTAGGATACACGAATCTTTCCAGCCTGGCAGCACACCATGGCGCGGCAACAGGAGGTATCTCTGCCTCAACCTCACCGGGTTCGTTTGGACCGTCTCCCAAGAATCGTCTCATCACACCGTCACTGTTGAATTCAACGATCGCGAGTTCCACCGTGACTTCCATTTCACCGATCCCTTCCTCTACGACAAAGCCTGCTTGAACGACACTGGCACACTGTTCTCATGCCAGCCAAATCTAGGCCAACCTGCCATGATCTACTACCGACCGCACGAGACGTGGACGACAAGAGCAGACTGGCGCACCAACCTCCCCGCCGGAGAATCCGTCACTGCAATTGCTCTCAGCGACTCCTACGTCGTCGTGACAACGAGCGCAAACTACGTCCGCATCTACACCCTCTACGGCATCCCCTTCCGCGTCTACCGCCAGAAGGCCTCCCCCGCCGTGAGCTGCGCCGCCTGGCGAGACTACGTCCTGACCATCGGCAACGGCCCCGTCTCTGGCGACGGTTCCTGCCAACTCCTCTACACGATCGAGAACGTCAAACGGGACGAAGTCTACCAATCCGAAGACATCGTCGCCCTGACCCCGGACTCCACCCTCTCCTGCGTCTTCTTCTCCGACGAAGGCGACCCCTACATCTACGACTCCACGGGCGTGCTCCTCACCCTCCTCCACTGGCGCACAACTGGCCAGGCGCGCTGGGTACCCATGCTCGACACGAATCTCCTCTCCCGCCTCTCCACAGGCGCGAAGCAGGAATCCTACTGGCCCGTCGCAGTCGCGAACCGCAAGTTCCACTGCATCATCCTAAAGGGCCAGGACAAGCACCCCTACTTCCCCCGCTCCATCCTCTCCGAATTCGACTTTCAGATCCCGCTCACGTCTGCGTCCGACAAGAAAGACAGGGACGCAGACGCGATGGACGAAGATGACGACGAGGATTCGGGCAAGAAGGGCTCGTCTGAACAGTCGAAGCACGAACAGGCGCTCATCATGGCGAATACGCTGCACTCGCAGCTCTCGGACACGCTCGCCAACACGAGACCCTCGTCTCACCAGAAACAAGGTCTCGTGGAGCTTGAGGTCCAGGTCGATAGGACGCTGTTGCAATTGCTCGGTCTGGAGTGTCTGGCCGGCGAGGATAGGGGCATGAAGGCGCTGGAGATTGTGACGTTGATGAGGGATGCGAATGGTAAGATGTTGGATCTCGCGGGCAAGGTGGCTATGAGGTATGGGAGGGACGTGTTGGCGGAGAAGATTAGAGAGTTGGCGGAGCAAAGACTGGTTGGATTGGAGGAGGAGGATTAGCTTCTTCGTGGCGTGTAATAGGTAGAACGTTTTCAATATAGATTTTGAGATTCTGAATCGTTTATACACTCTTCTGTCACGTAGTATAAACACTGCAAGGTTGTGCCGCCACCTAAACACCTTTGTAACTTGTAAATAACATTATTTCATTTATTATGTTAACGTATTCGAAATCTTGCGAAGACTTACAAAACAATCTAATAATTTGTTATTCTGCCCTATGTAATGTCCTTGTGGTCAGTTGAACAACGTCACGAGCCTTCCCAGGATTACTTCCGGCTTCCCCCCTCTGGCTGAGAGCCGCCTCACAATCACATCAATATTCCCGGGACATGTATGAAATAGGCTTGAGCCTTTGATCAATTTACTGGTGTATACCGCATTAAAGAAAACTTATGACAAGGAAAAGCCAAATGGCCCAAACGCTCTCCCCAGGAGACCCATTTTCGCCAGCAGATCGAACACAAACTCCGTCACTATCGCCAAAGTCCATGCCCTCGTCAATGCAAAGTCATGCTCAAGGAATTGAGAACATAACAGATTAACGATACAGCACTGACGAGCATGCCTGCTAACGCTCCATTCATGCGTAGTTGAGGGACTAGTACTCGGCCTCAACACCCTCCTCACCCTCGAGCGAGTCAGCAGCCACCTCCTAAAAACAATATTAGCCAGAATTTTGAATGAAGAATAGGAATAACTCGCCTCGTAGTCTCTCTCGAGCGCTGCCAAATCTTCTCTCGCTTCTGAGAATTCACCCTCCTCCATACCCTCACCGACATACCAGTGGACGAAGGCACGCTTGGAGTACATGAGATCGAACTTGTGTGAAAGGGCGGACCAGGCCTCGCCGATGGCGGTTGTGTTGGCGAGCATGCAGACGGCGCGGTTGACCTGGGAGAGATCGCCGTTGGGGACGACCTGTGGGGGCTGGTAGCAGATACCGACCTTGAAACCGGTAGGGCACCAGTCGACGAACTGGATGGTGCGCTTGGTCTTGAGGTGAGCGATGGCGACGTGAGAGTCCTTGGGGACGACGTCTCCACGGTACAGCAAACATGTGGCCATGTACTTTCCGTTGCGGGGATCGCACTTGACCATCTGGTTGTTGGGCTCGAAGCAAGCGTTGGTGATCTCCATGACCGAGTTGGCCTCGTGGGCAGCCTTGGCGGCGGAGACGACAGGCGAGTAGGCGACGAGAGGGAAATGGATACGGGGGTAAGGCACCAAGTTGGTCTGGAACTCGTTAAGGTCGACGTTCAAGGATCCATCGAATCGGAGGGAAGCGGTGATGGAGGAGACGACTAAATTCAGTCAGCAATTTGGCCAAGCACAGATGATTCGCAATCTTCATACCTTGAGCGATGAGACGGTTCAAGTTCTCGTAGTTGGGGCGCTCGATTCCGAGGTTTCGTCGGCAGATATCGTAGATGGCCTCGTTATCAACCATGAAGCTGCAGTCAGAGTGCTCCAAAGTGGTGTGGGTGGTAAGGATGGAGTTGTATGGCTCGACCACGGAGGTGGCGACCTGGGGAGCAGGGTAAACGCAGAACTCCAACTTGCACTTCTTGCCGTAGTCAACAGAGAGGCGCTCCATCAACAAAGCACCGAAACCGGAACCGGTTCCGCCACCGAAGGAGTGGAAGACGAGGAAACCTTGGAGTCCAGAGCAGTTATCGGCGACACGGCGAACCTTGTCCAAGACCTGGTCGATGAGCTCCTTTCCGACGGTGTAGTGGCCACGGGCGTAGTTGTTAGAGGCATCCTCCTTGCCAGTGATCAAGTGTTCAGGGTGGAAGAGAGAACGGTATGTGCCGGTGCGGACCTCGTCGACGACGTTGGGCTCCAAATCGGCGTAGATGGTACGAGGAACGTACTTGCCCTGGCCTTCTGGGTATCAGTATTGCGTCGATTGAAGGGGGATGACGGGGAACATACCAGTCTCAGAGAAGAAAGTGTCAAAGCCATGGTCTTGGTCGCCGGCTTTGCGTTCCTCGGTCAGGTAACCATCGGGCTATCTCACAATCAGCAACAAAGACATCAGAATGAATTTTGTGATAGATCTCACCTGGATACCGTGCTCAAGGCAGTAAAGCTAAAATTGAATGCGTCAGTAAATTTTGCCGTCCCAAAAATTGTCCCAGGCTTCTATAGAATGGCCTTTCCCCCTCCTTTTTCGAACGGAGTTGCTGTGAAGGGGCGATGGATAAAATTGCAGGGAGAGACTCACCTCCCAGCACGAGTTGGCGATCTGGCAACCGGCCTGGCCGACTAAAACGCGTTTAATGTCAGTATCAACAAACATTCCCAGGATGACCCTCCTGAGGCGGTCAGGGCGCGTGCGCGTGTGGGGTAGAACTTACCGTTCAAGCTGATAACCTCTCTCATAGTGAATAGAGATGGAGGAAGTGTTCAAGGGGGAGTCGAAAGTGTTTAACAGAGAAAGAAGGCGGAGAGTTGTGGTTAATGGAGGAGGAGTGTGGGAAAGAGAGAGAGAGGCGGAGAGTGGTGTTCAGACTCCCAAGTGTGTTGTTGTACAAGCAAAGTTAGGGCCCTGTTTACGCTAAACCGCATTGGTGAGCAAGCCAATGCAGGGATGTGGGGACACTGAGGGTCACTGCCCAGTGCCAGTGCCAGCTGCCTACACTGTGACGGGAGGAACATTATACTTACACAGTATGTACGAATACTGAAGTATCCTTCTCACCCTCCGTTACGACTAGATACTTCGTATATCTTACCTCAACTCTACTCATCTCACTGACCACAGACCGCGACCACCGTTCCATTGCATTGCCTCAGGTCAGGCCAGGTCGCCAACAAAACAAGCTCCCGAGAGTCCACACGGCAGACAGAACACCTAGATCAGCTTCAACTTCAATGGCACTTATATTCAACTCATGTCCCAGAGAATGACCAGTCTGTTACTCCGTTGTGCCCGCAATACAACCTACTCCGCAGCCGCCGCCCACCAAATATGCGCTTCATCCCCTGGCTTTGCTGTCTTGTCACACACGCCTGGACAGTGACAGCCAACGTCGAAAAGACCATCTTCCTTGGCCCGAGCCCTGTTACAATCTCCAATGTGCACCCAAACCTTGACGACCTCTATCTAGACTCTCTTTCTCCCCTCCACACGTCTGCCCTGGGAAAACAACTCTCTGTACAGTTTCCAACGGGTGCCGCACCCCGCGGTGCTGAGTCTTGGTACATACTACAAGGTCTTACCAGCGGGCAAAGATACGAGGTCCGCATCTGTTGGCCTGCGACTGTAAGTTTATTCTTCTATATACTCTTTGATGGTATCATTGCTCGACTAGGCTTCCATTATCGCAATGGGCGTCGTATGCTGGTTCTCTTGTCTCCGTTTGTTGAGAGACAAAGTCACTAATACATTCTCTAGTCACCAACTGACTTCTGGCTCGACGCCTATCCACTCACGGACGTTTTTGATACATCCGAACTATCGCAGTCTCTGGCGCTTTACAGTGAACGAAGACAGGATTCAAAGCCAGGAACCGTAGCACATGCGTATAGCGACATTCCTCCCTCGGCGCAGTCCATACTGTTCCTACGAGTCCAGGCTGCCGCTGCATTCTACACCAAGAATCACACGTTAATGGAGCATCCTCTTCCTGTGGACGTCGATATCATTCTCGATCCGTTCATCTTGAATATTCTACCACGCTCATTGATTCCTGTGGGAATATACATCATCATCCTCGCGGTAGGCGCCTGGTTCCTGTCAGCCTACTTATATCGTTGGCTACTTTCAATCGCCACAGAAGCACCTTCAAAACCTCACACAGACTGAGGCATGTCCGCTGCAGGGGCAGCACACCCACCACCTTCACCACCGCCGCCGCCGCCGAGAGGCTTTCATAGTCTACCTGCTGAATTACTACTACTTATCACCCAGTACATCCGGACAGAAGACTATCTCAGCTTCGCCCTCGCCATCTACCCTACGCTCGAGCGCCATGGCCTGGTTCCTCCACTTACGGTAGGCATCTATCATCGAATCATTGGCGCTTGGCAAAATAGAGCAGCGCCCGTAGAAAACACACGCCCGGATCCTCCAGGACCTGGAATTCTACCGATCGAGCTAGTCGAGTTGATACTGAGATCTCTAGAACCGGCTGATGTCATCGCCGTCATATTCGCACATCGGCGCCTTATTGCGAGGTACCTGCCCGCAACATCACTGAGTCCCGCCACCAGGGAGCGGCTCTGGAGTTTTATCGGCCCAGGATGAGTAGTAAAATTGGGGCGCGGTGCTAGATGGGACCTATGCTTGGGGTACACATGTCTGCAGTCCAGGTATCATGTACCAAAACGAGGTAATGCTTAATGGTTGAAGGGAGCATTTGCCATAACAGGATCGTTCAGATCCGATTCAGGGCGTAGATATGTCATACCGAGCATGAATGCAACGGTCCATATCATAATATGGCAGATCATGGGTAGTGGGCTAGTGAGCGGTATCACCTCCTTGGATTTTCTACCTTAAATCACACACAATGAAAGCCTTATACAAGTTACATATTTTCATTGTTTATCTGTTTTACGACCTGCTTGATGATCTAATCATGAAGCAAGCTACAGGAACAAATTGTGAATTTCAGCCCATTGACTTCCATAAACATGAAGAACGCTCTCATGCCAGAGAGCCAGGCCAGACCCATTCTACTCCTGAAATGCCAAAAAAGAGCCTCCCATATAAGGAACCCTCGTCGCCACGCTATGCATGTTATCGTATCAAACGTCCTCCTCAACATTCAAGATCATTGTCTCGTATTCTTTTCCGTCTACCGATTGAGTCTCTTCAGTTGCAGTGTCAGCGTCCTTGTCCTTTGCTTCCAACGAGTTCATCATGGCGATCATGACGTCCTCTTGTAACTTACTTACCTCGCGCGGCTGCGATCCGACGGATTTGAAGGGATCCTAAACCTTCATCCTGCCGTGATCGTACGGGAACTCATCCTCAAGCCCAATAGCAACCTTGACGTTCATACTTCCGAGTTCCTGGATGAGTAGCTTAGCCGCATACGGCATCGTGAGGTGGCGAATTGCCTCCTCGGACTGGCACGTCTGGCACCAGCCCATGCTACCCATCTGACCGCACTTGTTGCACACATCGACCTGGTGGGCGTCGGACGAGATCATGAGGCGCTCGAGCAGCAACTGGCTCGCACCGTACGCGATCAGGCAATCACGTTCCATCTCTCCGAGACGCAGACCGCCGTCGCGGGCACGACCTTCAGTGGGCTGGCGGGTGAGGATGGCACGGGGACCGCGGGCGCGAGAGTGCATTTTGTCCTGGACCATGTGCTTGAGTTTCTGGTAGTAGATGGGGCCGAAGAAGACGTAGAATTGGAGAGCCTCGCCCGTGATGCCGGAGGTGAGGTAGTCTTTGCCCGAGTAGCTGAAGCCGTGCTCGAGGAGCACTTGCGACATGTCGATGACTTTGCTGCCGCCGAAACAGGTGCCGTATTCGAGGGTGCCACGCATCACGCCGGCTTTGCCGGAGAGGAGCTCCATCATCTTGCCGACTGTCATACGAGAGGGGAAACCGTGGGGGTTCATGATGATGTCGGGGCAGATGCCTTGGTCGTTGAAGGGCATGTCTTCTTGGGGGGAGATGAGGCCTACGACGCCCTTCTGTCCGTGGCGGGAGGAGAACTTGTCGCCAAGTTCCGGCCTACGGGTTTGGCGCATCAGGAACTTGATGACGGTTCCTCCACTGGTTTCGTTTTCGGTGATGCAGACCTTGTCCACGTATGCACAGTCTGGGAGCTTGTAGTTGAGGGCCTTTGTCTGGTAGCTGATAGGTCCAGCGCTTGGGACAGTAACAGTCGGCGTCGACTTCATTACAAAGGTGTCTCCTTGGTTGAGTCGTGCTCCAACTTGTGCAAGTCCATCAACGCCCAATCCGTTATGCTTGGGATTGTCCCTCTTAATGGCTGTCGCGTCTACACGATCCGTCGCCCCGTTCGCATACGTCTTCAAGGGAAGGACAGTCTTCTTGAACACCTGACAACGTCCAAAACCACGATCGCAGGATGCTTTGTTGAGCACCAGGGCATCCTCAATATCGTAACCAGAATATGACATGACAGCAACAGTGGCATTTTGGCCAGCAGGAAGTTTATCGTATTTCGTCAGTTCGATTGTTCGCGTCTTTACCATAGGCTGCTGCGGGTAGACCATTAGGTAGAGTAAGGTGTCGATCCTCGTGAACTGGTTGTATGCAATAGCACCGATAGCTTGTTTACCCATAGCACATTGGTAGGTGTTACGTGGAGACTGATTGTGATGCGGATAAGGAATAAGACCAGCAACAGCACCTAGAATAGTGAAGGGCTCGATTTCGAGATGGGTTGTGTGTTCGTCAATGTCTCTCTCGTACGTCGCAATCATGGTATCGTTCTCCTCGTTGGTGTCAACATACTCCACAAGTCCGCGGCTCAAAAAGCCGTCGAAGCCCATAGTACCGTTGCGAAGTGCTTTGAGATAGCGAGCGGTGACCTTTGGACGTTTGTTTTCGACAATGATCAGAGGTCTACAAATTCGACCTTCATCCGTGGCAATATGAACTGCCCGGTGATCGTGATTGATGTGAATGCTGGTGAACTCTGAGAGGCGTCCAGCACGTCTAAGCTTCCTGAATCTTCCTAGGAAGTGTTTAGGCAGATGTGTAATTGCCATAGGGGTACCATTGAGGAAGACAGTATAGACGCCCTTCGTGTGAATTTCTTCGCCACTAAAGCAAGACACATCTTGTGCACCCAGTGCAAAGACAATGTTACGGATGGGACGCTCGTCGTCTTCTGTGGTGATGTGGGTCATCAGAGCCAAATTCTTTACAAGACCGCAAGCTTCACCTTCGGGCGTATCGGAAGTGCACAACATGCCGAACTGTGAAGGTTGCAATGCACGAGGACCAGAAACCTTCCTAGTCTTCTCGAACTGACTTGAAATTCTGGTCATCATACCCAGTGCGGCAATGTAACTGAGTCGACTCAGCACATGGGTTACACCGGCTCGGTCCATCTTGAAACGCTTCAGACTCCAGTTGCCAGTGGCCAGAGCACGCTCCATTCCTAGCGTGATGTGGTTCTTGTGGACGTTGAAATGTGAGAAGGCGTCAAACTCCTGCGCTCGATTTTGCTTCTTGAGCACTTTGTCGATACTCATCTTGAAGTCGAAATTAAACCTCTTGAAGTGATCTTCAAATAGGAGAGCCAACATCTGACCTGCTAACTCAAGACGCTTATTTCCAACATAGTCTCTGTCGTCAACAAGGGAGGGGTCTTCAATAGCCTGTAGCACTCTTCGTGCCATGAACGCGACGTAGAGTGCCTTGGGATGGAAGTTGTGGTTCTCGACCTTCACGTGAGGCAGCACAACGTTCGATAGACATTCGATAGCTTCTGCAACGTAGTTGCGCATGCGTGAGGCTCCAGCAGGCTTTTTCACAAGCCGCACCCTGTGTCCAATGTACTCCAATGCCTTCAGTTGAGTAAAGATTCCTTCTCTTGCGCAAGCCTCGAAATTTATGGCGAAGTCGTCTTGGTATGCGCTATCTTCACCGGCTACCATGAGAAGAATCTCTTTATCTGATCGGACTCCTAGAGCCTTGAGAACGAATACGATGGGGATTTCCTCGGATAGCGTGTTATGGCGAAGGAACATAAGACCCTTCTTCTGTATGACGTACGTTTTGGTCCTCCTCTCATGGGTCGAACTGGTAACGCTTGCCTGCATAATTCCTTTTGCGCTCTCTACGATGACACGATTCTTGTTGAGCTGCTCCTGTACGAGAATAACCTTTTCCTGTCCTCGAACAACAAAGTAGCCTCCGGGATCAAGTGGACATTCCTCCATTACGGCAAGCTCGCGATCATTCTTGTGCGCAAGTTTGCACTTGTTACTCCTCAACATTATAGGCATTCTACCAATCCTGATGCCTGCTCTTTTGACCCGAACACCTCCTCTTGTGTATATAATGTCCACCAGGATTGGTGCGGCGTAGGTCATGTCGCGAAGTCGGCACTCGTTGGGTGTAATTGAACTCTTGTGGTTCTCGAGGTCGTCTTCGTCCTGACGGTTGGGAAGTCCTACTCGGATATCGGTGTACATAAGCTTGAATCTTGGATCAACATCACTGCGTATGATCTTGTTAGCCTCCAGTATGTTCTTTAGGCCGACATCGACAAAGTGATTGAAGGAATCGATGTGCTGCTTCACGAGACCTTTAGTCTTGAGGAACGCCGGCAACAAATTCCATTTATCTTCAGCTGTGTTGATAGGGTCGGTCAAGGATTTTCCGTAATAGAACGGCTCAAGTAGTGCCGCGAACTCGTCCTTTCCTGTATTTCTTGGGGCATTTCTGCGTCGAGCCTCTTTCGGCTCTGGAGCAGGGTTCGCCACTGCAGATGGGGGATTGTTTTGCGCTTCGTTCGATTCTTCAACATTGGAGGTCACTGCTTCGCTTGTTTTCTCTGCAGCGTTCGGCGCGCTGTTATTCGTAGCATTTGCGGCGGCGGAAGCTTGCGGTCTTGCTCGTGCCCCGCGCGCGGGAGCTTTGGGTTTGAACCTGGGAGGATCCTGGTTGGTTTAGGTGAGTGACAGAGCAGATGACTTATGGTACAACATAGACATACCTTTTTTTCCACCATGCTTGCGGTTGCTGCGATATCGCAAGCTGCGGAGGTAAAAGTTGGCTCAGTGAGTCGCAGAATTGGATAGTGTTAGTGATTCTAGGTAGGTAGGAAGAAATATAGTTTTAGCGGCCGTCGCTGCAGCTCATGCGAGTCATGGTTCGCGCCCGCGGTGGGTGACCAATGACCAATCAGATCACTGATCCACTCACTTAACTGAATTGAGGTAAACACATCATTGTTATTGTACCAAGTGATAATGCATGCATAATCGTAGCGATCATTCATGAATAGAGGAAATATATGTCTTGCTACCAGAAAACTAACTTCAGATGTTAAAAACAGATTGGACTGACAAACATATCTTGTACCCAAAGGTTGTCGAGACTATCACTCCAAACAGGCAGATAACTGCCATCAGGAGGCGACAATTGGTGGTGTTTTTGTAGAGCACAACAATGGGATGTAAACAACTACTCGATGAAGGATAAATTCAGTGTTCTAATTTACAGCCTGTTATGGAACACTGGTAAGTGTTTAGCAGCTTGATAATTACATGCACGGCAAATTCATGACAAGCCGATGAATATCGCCCGAGAATCAGAGAGCAACCTAGGATGCAAAGAATTCGAACGCCATGCCTCTTATAACTCGAAGCAAATATTCCCAAGGCTTGATACGCCGCGCTATGCATCGAAAAGATAGAGGTTCAACTTGCTCGGCTGTGCATAGCAGCAGAAATCAGCCCCAATTTGGTCGTTTTCCAGAGTGCCAGTCTTGCGCATCGGCCTTTCGTTTGGTTGAAGCTGTGGAATTCGGTGTACCTGGCGTTGGAATATAAGGCCCGCCATTGACTTCTTCCCAGCAGCTCACATGATAGATCTTCTTATTAACCTCTACGGCGTCCATGAAGACAAAATCATTCGCTTCAGCATTCCATGTAGGCTTAAATTCATCAAGACAAATGGGACATGATGTGAGACCCGGCGGTGCGGGGACATAGCGTTTCTTATCAGCTCCACTTGCTGGTTTCACCTCAGTTGGAGTCTCATTCAAGGCTTCATCGAACTCTCGATATACTATCCATTCCTTCTCCGTGAGATACCACGTACGATGGACACCCCGACTCGATGCTAAGGAATTCTTGACGCGGAAATGCCAGTCCATATGATCTGACTTCTTCTGCTTCCCCTCCACGGTATTTTCAAAGCGCCTTCCGCAAGTCAAGCACATATTAGGGGCATACAGCTTATTTATCAACTGAGGACGAGGAATCTTCATGGATGAAGTAGTCAACTCAACCGATGCTGCTATCTGCTGAGGTTGGGGGGCTGGAGTAGGTGTTGGAGCAAGTGCTGGTGCGGGCGTTGGCGTCGCAGCAGACTGTAGCTGCGCCAAAAGCGCAGCAAGATTCACTGTAGGTGGAGGCTGTTGGGAATATGCAGGTGCAGGTGCAGGGACGGGAGGGGTCGGAATTGGAGGAGGGGGAGGCTGGAACTGGGCAAAATTGAAATTAGGTGGTAGTTGGAACCCAGGGATTTGCGGGAAGTTGGGTGGTAATTGAAAGCCCGTCTGTTGCGTGTTAGGGGTGGGGAAACTAGACTGTTGCTGGGGAAGTGGAGAAAAGGTAGTCTGCTGCTGGGGAGGTGGTGGCGGATATCCATTTGCTTGGGGAGGTGGTGGCGTAGGAAAATTTCTCTGCTGTTGAGGGGGTGGTGTTGGTGTGTTGGGCCAGCCTCCATTGTTCGGCATAGGCGGTTTGGGAGGAAGCCCATGCCTGCTTGACTGCTGCTGAGCGTGCGCCTGTTGTTGAACGGCAACGGTTCGAAGTTTGATCAAAGCATTCTCAATATCGCGAGTGACTTCTTGGGAGAAGACGGGTCGAGAATCGACAGAGTCGGGCATTGGTAACTTCCAGGTTCGAAGGAGGGTCTCCATTGCTTTGCGTGTGCCGGCATCTGTGAGGCTGTATGCGTCCATGAATGTTCGGTATAGGTTGAGACCGAAGTAGACAGTATATGGCGTGCCGACATTCTTTACTATCGAATCGAGTACATACAGTGCCGGTAGCTTGTAGCTAGGATGGGTTGTACGAATGTGGTTCTCCAGCTCCCTTGCGATGACCTGGGCGTGCTCTGTATTTTCCCTAGCAATGATCGTGAGGGTGTTGATTTCAGGCCTACTGTTTGTTTTGAGGTCTTTGAGCGCCTCTCGAAAATCGTCGGCTACTTCCGAGGAGTAGTCCATGTTGTTGGTGTCGATGTTAGAAGGAACAGAGGGTGTCTCGTGGGTTCAAGTTAGAGCGCGTCTATAACAGAAAGGCCTGGGCAGTTGTTAGGTCAATATCTGTTTAAAAGAAGTAGAATTATTCTCACAGATGCTATCAAGCCTATTCCAAAGATCGCGCGTTATGTCCGCTCAATGCGACGTCGCAACGTAGGCGCAGATTCAACTATGGGAGTTTGTTTGGAAGGCTCTGCGCCACACCTCCTCGAAGGCTTCTCCCTTCAGGTATCAAAGCAAGTAGCAACTGTTCGAAAAACTGCTAGAATCGATCCGTCCTTCAGCAAACAAATCGAAAGCTATTTGAGCGGCAAGGGTACGCGTGAGATTAGTCTTGCGCGTAGATCAGAAGTGAGGTTACAGTTCCTATTGTGTCGTGAGTTGTACCCTTGTTCCGATGACCGATGACCGATGACTAAGCACGCCTCCCAATCACCAAAGTTCACTCTCTCTCCCTTTCACTTTTCTTTGATCAACTCCATCACAACCTCGACAATCAGTCCGTTGTTCCCGCCACCCGTATTCCATTAGAGCGACACGCCCATCTGCGTAACACACAAATTGTGCATCATCCTTCCAGACGCCTGCGCGCAATCACCATGGAGGACGCGAAGTTCGTGTCTGATCACGACAATGACCAGCTTCCAGAGGCTGGTAACGACCCTGATGATCCACTACGCCCTGAAATCGATGAAGAGAACTCCACACCAAACCCCCCTATTGGCGACCCCGATCAGGATATGGAAGTGACGGAGAAGGAACCTGGGATGCCTGATCAGGAGGATGTAGAGGAGGCTGGACTGTCTGACAATGAATCAGAACTATCATCAGTGGCTGATGAGGACCGATTGGCCGAGTTTGATGTTGGCGACATTGCCATCGAGGAGCGCGCGCCGCAAATGATTGATGACACCAATGTCGGATTGATTGGTGTTCACAAAAGAAAACGTGCAGAGGGCGAAGCGGAGCCAGTTAAGAAGAAGAAGAGAAGGGCAGACAAGCCTCGCAGGAAGAAGAATCGCGATGAAGATCCGGGAGCACCTGACGATGCTGGCAGCAGGAAGAGCAAACGATCTAAGAAAGCGGAGAGGATACGAGGGGCCAGCCCAGAGGAGGAACCGGAGGAGAACCTCACACCAGAAGAGCGTAGGTTTTTATTTCTTTAAAGTCGGTTGGAGGTTACTAACTCAACCATCTAGGCCGGAGACGCGCTTTGGAAAGGGCCATGGATGAGGCAACTAAGGGAAGTTCATCACGTAGGCGCAAGAAGGGCGATATTGATCTGGAGCAAATGGCCGATCAGGAGATCGAAGAAATGCGAAAGCGAATGTCTGCAGCTGCCGAGGCCGACAACGAGGGCCGCCAACGCGGTGAACCTGCTCGTCACAAGCTCAAACTCCTTCCCGAAGTTGTCACGATCCTCAATAAGAGTACCCTTAAGGAAAACATCGTCGATCCGGAAACAAATCTTCTCGAAGCCGTCCGTTTCTTCCTCGAACCTCTGAGCGATGGTAGCTTGCCCGCATACAATATCCAGAAGGAACTATTTGCTGCCCTAGGCAAACTCCCTGTTAACAAGGACACATTGGTGGCTTCTGGCATTGGCAAGGTTATCATGTTCTACATAAAGAGCAAGCGGCCCGAGTTAGGCATCAAGAGGCAAGCTGAGCGCCTTTTCACGGATTGGACTCGCCCCATTCTGCGACGCACCGACGACTACCGCAAGAAGGAGTTTCAACAGGCCGACTACGACCCTACGTATGTTCTTTCAAATCTTTTAATATATCCTGTGCTAATCTTTATTCTAGGAGACTTCCTGTTCGCAACTCTCAGCCTGGAGGCAGTCAAGCTGCTGCCGCTGCTGCACGCGCCAAAGCTCTGGAGGCCCCCCGCGTCTTCCAACGTGCTCGCATGGAGGCTGGCCCAACAACCTATACCGTTGTGCCAAAGAGCAATGTCATCTACAATGACCAGGCGAACAAGCGTTCCGGCGGTGCCGGTGAGGATATCCTCAGGCGGATACGTAGCCGTGGCGGTCGAGGTGGTCGTTAAGCTCCATTACTAGGGACTGACGTCTTTAATTACTCAAATGTATTCATAAAATGCTTTTTTTGGCGAAATCAGGAGAAGGGCGTGTCTTCGTGGATTTGAGAAGGCCTACCTTTGGCCTTGAGGGATCAGAATGGAGTTTGTCAGGCGGGAACCTAGCATTTCTTTACCTGACCTGTATTATCTGAGAGCAGGGTCTTATACAACATATTCTCAATCGATATGTGCAGCCTGTCCTTCCTACCAGATTTCGTGCCCGGTTGCATTTACACTGGTATTGAGTTCGAACATACCTGGGTATAAACCTAACATTCAAGCATCTCACAACAAAGGTCAGCCAAAGCAACGAGCGATTCATCGCGTCATTGTAGAATGCCTCATTGCTCTACCACCAAACAGGGATGTGAACTGTTCAAGAACTTGTATAGTCAATTCCACGAATGAAGACCCAGGGAAGTCCTAGGATGCTCTTCTTCCAATGCACCAACTTTTGTACGCTGTGCGGCTGAACAAGAGACATCGATCAGTAGAGCCAGCTTTGTGCATGATCAATAGTTCTCCGCATGCAGCATGCAGCACTCCCCGGTGTGTACAGATCCAAGGCAATCGCGGTGGCTTCGGATAGTATCAACTTGGCACCAACACCCTAAAATCGAGATGAAGGAATACATCGTTGAACATACCCCGAGACCACGGAAATTAGGATGAGCTACGGAGTAAATGTAAGCAGCCTTCAACGCACATCATCTATGGATCGATTCAGTTCTGCAGATTCCAGGATAGACGAGATGGCTTCAGGTACAGCAGTGGCAGTGCTGGACTGTGGCATGTATACATACGCACCGCACGGGATTCGCTTTACATTTCGTATATGCATGTATCATTTCACAGTCCATAGCACTCAAAAACCAACTACTCTCCACGGAACTAATTCGGCGACGCTGGTCCTTCAGGGAGAGAGGGGGGCCAAAGAGAAGAAGTTTAAATGCAGAGTCCGGCATTGCCAAAATGTCCTATCATCGTGGAATGTGACTGCTCTATAAAGCTTGGCTTGCAGCAGCCAGGCATCTGTTCTCATGGTATACTGAGCTGTGTTATTGGCTGAAATGTAAGATTTATGCTCTTTTTTTGCGACCTTCCTGGATTGTATTGCGGCTTCCATATTCGAACTTAGCCTTGTCGAACATGGTAATCTGTACATAATGCGTGAGGAACCTCCGATCCACGTGTTTCTCGTATTTGAATGGTTATATTTGCGAACGAGTGGTGCAAGATGATCAAGGATCCTTGAAAGGCCGATGGGGCCAGATGGAGACGTTTGTGCACGAAGCACAGTGCAGCATTGTCCGGACAGGGCTAAGCGAAAGCGTTCTGGAGGGTCAATAATACAGCATGGAGGGTAATTAATATAAATACCCTGGGTAGGAGTTAATTGAGCGGGAGATGTGATGCTGGGTATCGGTGCCTTTCCAAGTTGGCGGAAGCTATTTTTGAACCACGCAGGCAGGTATACGTCACATGTAAGACATGGAAGTGATTGAGATACATATGATCAATCTATTTTTGACAGTGTTGTCTGTCGCTATGCTTGAGTGTTTAAATATGCCAATGGAAAAATAAGATACCACTTGACTAGTTGTAGATAATGTGCTTGTCCAACCGTTTCGTCTGTGCTAATTTCATATGACGATCGGCATTGATGCATGCGAAAGTCCTTCTGGTCCATCAATAATATGCGGCCTGCAGGCAGTGAAGAGGCTCTGGCGGTTGTGTACTCCGCCGGTCACAAATCTCTGTCCGGAAGAACAAAACTGGTGTACTCGCAGGCAGCAGCCACAGTGTCGTTCGCAGACTTGGAGGAATCGTGACATCATGCAACATGAACGTTGTGTCGTAGAGTCGTTGTTCTTGCTCTAAGATAATGATCTTATTCGTAAAATAAAGCGTCTTTTTCGTAAATTGACGATCATCCACCATCGAGTTCTGGTATGTGCAGTGACGGTGCTCGCGCAACAATAGGCCTGTCTTTCAAGCTCATCAGCCGGTCGTAGTGTGGGCGAAGGTCGTAGTCTTTGACGGTCTCTCCAGAACCGATCTTGATACTTCTCAAGATGCATTTCCCATCTTTTATCCAGAAGCATTGCAGGGAATCTTCAAGAGGCATAGCCAAAGCTATAGCGCCAGGCTTGAATGCGCTGTTACTGATTTTCGCTGGGGACTTCCTCAATTTTCGGGGTGAGAATGTCCCTTTTGAGGTATATTCGAATTGGATCATTTCGGTCATCGCATTGGCTACGATTATAGATGATCCTGACGGCGATTGGGTTGCGTGGACAATCTTAGTACTATACGTTTCGTTCTGTAGGGTCTCATATCCAGGAAAAGGAATGAGCATCGGATATTCCTTTCCTAGAAATCCTGTGCAAACAACATTGCGCCGCTCAGAGTCGTAAAACACCGATGTCAGGTCCCCGTCGTTCAGTGTATATGGTGGCATTCTGAAGGAGCGCGAATGCTCCGAGATGGTGCTTATTGGTTCTCTTGTGCAATCCCATACATCGACATAGACGCAGTGGTCTGCTTGTTGCGTTGCTACCACAAGCTGCGTGCTGTCAGTAGAAAAGTAAATCCTTCTAGAAACCACAGCCGATCGTCTCCGGTCTTCTTCTGCCTTCTCTTTGGAGCTCAGGCCTCGCTGTGCATCAATCCACCCGCTTTCGCTTCCTCGCCTTTCCGTAAAGTTTTCATCACTAGTCGTTCTTCCCATCGTAAGCGTTCGGTGGTGTGGATTTCCTCCTCTTAACTCAAAAACCTGAAGCTGATTGTGGAAGGGTATGGATTTGATTCCGCCATCAAGACAGAAAACATGAATGTCGTCGCTCATTGAGGCGGCAATATAACGATCGTTTCGTGACACCGCAAGACAAATTTTACCCGCGTGACCGGAGAATTTGACCCCAATTTCGTGTTCAGGCTGTAGGCTGAGCCCATTATAAACCGTCAGAGTATGAGTTGTTGAGTTGTTCCTGGTGATAATCGCGCATTTGTGATTTCCAGCTGCCGCTGCTTCGATCCCATCAATCTCATATCTGCATCCTTGCGTAGCCGAAACGTTGTTAGAAGGGATGTCGAAGCGAACCAGGTGATCTTTTCCCCATAACAAAAGGGTATGACCCGATGTGGAGAAGGAAAACGACGGATCCTTGGGTAGTGGATAAGCTTCCTTGATTTTTGGGGTCGGTTTCCGTCGCATGGAGTTTGCAATCCTCACTGTCCTGCTCGTTGGCTTCTTGGACAGGCTAGACCCGCTTCCCATGGTATCTGTCGGAGTGGTGCTCATTCTGGCGCTCGACGACGCAGAAGACGCTGAAATCGTCCGCTGGGGCAATGAACTGGAAAAGAATTCACTGGAACTAGTTGGGACAGGTATTGGCAGATCTACGGACATTCGGTTTACCCGAGGAATTGGGACGTTTAAAGATTCAAGAACAGGACTGATTGGGGTATCCATGGAGGACGAGCCGTATGAGTGCGATCGCGGGGAGATTGGCGTGAGCGGAGTGAATGGAGCTGGGTCTATCGGCGACTCGGAGTATCCCGGAGGTTGACCAGAGTTGTTGGTATCCTGGCTAGCTTGTGAGAGTTGAGTCGGAACGGTCATAACGGTGTTAAAGGGCTCAGGATTGCTGAATGCTGAAGCATTCGCCTCCGAAGCCGACCGTGATGTCATGGAGGCTGAACCAGCTTCGAAGGAACCTGTGTCACCGCCACTTGAGTGACTGACGCTTTGTGTGTCAGATTTCGGTGTTTCCAGAGCAGAGGATATGAGTTGGATAGGCTCTATGAGGCGGGCACGCTTGACCTTTTCGCCTGTTGTACATCCAGGGCATGCTATGCCTGACAGGATACCTCGTTAACGGTTGTAACGACGAAGGAACAAGATTGACATACCTTCTTTCCATGTTACCATTGGCGAGTTTTCCTTCATGCCCTACATCGCGTCAGTCTCGCAATAAGCTTTCAATACTAGGGCCAACATACCTCATAAGCCCATTTGTCGCACCATCTCAGCTCGTACTCGAGTAATTGTTTGGGCAGGGCATGTAGCTTAGGACAATCAACTACGTATATCGATGGTAGCGATCTTTCAAGTTCTCTTGACAGGCTTTCTTTAGGTGCAGAAGTCGTTCGCATGATCCAATCTTTGACAATGTCTTGAACATCGTTACTCGTAATGGCAGTTTTTCGAACGGAAATTTGCTCTCCGCTTGTCCTGTGCTGCGCAAGCCATGCGGCAAGACTCACCATTGCATCTTCTAGGTAAGGGCTGATCTCTACAACATGTTTCCTGTAATTCGGCGCTCTCGAAGGGGCGGGAGTGACGGGTGATTGGTGTTGCTGGAGTACATATATCAGTCAAATCTAAGTCTGTACCTATATCCATGCCTACTTACGTGGAGGGAGTCCTGGCGAGTAAGGAAAATGTTAAGGTCCGCACTCCAGTCAAGAAGTGTGATTGCTAAAGAGTCTAGAAGCTCTGGAGTGGGCAGCATAGGCCCACTAACTTGATGAAAAACAGATATGATGAAGCTCGTTCGGGTCTGATATAAATTTTCCAGGATCTCGTCGGTATCAATCGCGAGTTGATTTTCGTCGAACGAAACCGTTGATCGGGCAATGTCAACAAATCGCTGCGTCACTGCCGACTCAACAGCCCAGAGGCAGTCATAGAGTACCCAGTAAGCAGAGGCCCAGTCCTCTTCCATAGTTCCATGAATAAGAGACGTCACGAAAGTTTCTGGCTGAATCTCGAGGGGATACTGTCTTGATCAGTGCTGGGACAAACAACTAGTAGGAATTCTAAACCCACAAGACCAACATGCCATGATGGCAACTTTGCGCAAGCTCTTTCTCTTGCGTGTGGATCCCGTCCGCCATTCAAGAGATCATTCAGCAGGTCGAGGGTACCTGCAAAGAGCTCTGACACAACGAATCCCTCTACACCCTGCAATCGATCATGCTGCCATGCCTTATTTATCAAATTCTGTAGACGTTGCCTATCACGCGCGGCGATGTCTTCTTTCCTCAACATCAAGAGCCGCAGCCCGGACAGTAGAGTCTGTGAGAGCATGTGTCTTGGCCGAGTGTATTCCCGAGTCATGAGGGTCGTCTGGCTAGGGAACAAACGACTCTTTACATCGACCAAAAAGAAAATGGTCGATAACAGCAGTTCTTGAGGCACAAGACATGGCAGCATGTAGGAAGGACAACCTGCTATCCCAGCGCCATCGCCTGTCAAATATGTTCTCTGAAGATCGAATATGACCTTTATCCATATTATCTTTTGTATCGACACTTCGATCTCATAAGTCTCGCCATGGTGCAAGGCTAGATCACCTATGATCTCGCGCAGTATGTTAGAAATATCTTGTCGGCCCTGGAGATGCTGCCACACTTTTGCGAGATTGATATGCTGCTGGGACATTGACGCGGGACCGTACAACTGTAGGCTAAGGCAGGTTATAGAGCGCGGCAAGTCCAAGGATTGACGGTGTGGCTTTTGAATAGGGTTGTGGAGATAGAGGCATGACGGCCAACGTCAACGTTCTTTTGCGCGAAGCAGCGAGGTCGCAATACCGCAGCCTGAGAGAAAGAAAAGAGTGCACAAGACTGTCTATAGACCACGGAGAGCGTTCGTCTTGGCTGACACATTTTTGGGCAAAGGTAAGTTAAGGTAGGGCAAGGAGACGCAGGCTCGCAGCTGGACGGTGGACGGGGTGGACACACACCCGCAACCGTTTTTGACAAGCCCCTGGTCGCGCTAGCTTCTCCGTACCCGACCATGCAATTGCAGCCCGAACACGAATTGAAAAACGGTAACGCCGAGCGTCGATTGATTATACAGAGTTGGAGCTTGGGACTAATCTGGGAGCTGCCAACTACAGACAAGCTGCCAACTTGCCCCCATCTGATCCATGACTGGAAGCGCCTGGATTTGTTTCACCGGTCTAGTAAGTCCGTCACGTGCTGCCTTGCACACCCACCGATAAGGGCCAGTCAAATGCATAGATATATGCATAGGTTTGTGTTCATGGTCGGTGCAAAATAGGTCTATTGGGTATCTGTGTAATAAACTGCTGGTGGTAGAGAAACACAATCCTGAGACAATGCCGCTCACAGCGCACAATACGTTGGATGCAGACAACACTGATATACAGTTGCGGTAACTATTAGACAAGTCGCTTTGCCCATACCAAGGAATTCGCCCTGGGTGTTGGTCTCAACTAGGAGATGTCTTCTCCGTGAAGAGAAGGCTTGCACGGCGTTGGCGACGCAGGCCTAAAGGACCTATCCCGTATTCTAGCTGTCGCTGCCACGCCACCAACCGTCGAGTGCGCACTTGGCCAGATGCAAGTCATGCAGTCCAGACAATCTAGTTCATTTCAACCAACCCCAAATGAAACTCACGAGAGCCTTCAGGTTCTCCCCATTCCAGACTGGCTCCTATAAATGGTTAGATTCACATCTCGCATGACCACAAGAAGCTAGTAGAACGAACCTTGGGCTGCGGATATATAAGATGTCCTCTCCGCCTGCCTGGTACGACGACCTTTGGCGGCGGCCGATGTATCTGCATTGAGGCATTCCGCCGCCATTTCAACGGATTGTAACCGTCAGATTTGATGTGGTATGCGGCAACAAGCGCGAAAAACGCAAGGATTCCAACGTACGATGCGAGGAAATCCGGAGTGCTGAAGGACTGTTAGTAAGAAGGCCTACAGCGTGACGGGTGAAAGATGACCCTACCTGAACGGCGTCACGAACGCTCTCCAGTTGTTGAAAATGATTAGCAATACACAGAATATGAACCCGTAGTAAGCACGGAACAGCTGGCCGTGGGTTCGGTACGGATACTGTTTGTCGTCCCGGTTGAAAGCGGCTCTATTCTCCAGTGTGGTATCTTCAGCAGCTTCTTTGATCCTGTGGTAGAAATGGATGTATGACAGGCAAATGACAGCATAGCATATCAGCTCAGAGACAACTGCGTTGTTCGTAATCCGGCCTAACACGATTGCGGGAAATGGCTTAACAGCAAGGAATGCCATTAATCCGAAAAGCCAGCTGACTGTCACAGTTCCAAGTGGCACGCCTCGGGAAGTGGTTCGCTCTAACCGTCGACGGGTGTTCTGTAACCACAATGGCCATGCTTCTGGAATACTGGCTAATGCGTGGAGTAATCTGCTTGAATTGTAAAGCGCGTTGATGCCAGACGTGGTAGCCGAGAAGATGAAGAAGCCATTGAAGATACTCGGCCAGCCTCTCAACCCATTTCGTACTGCAGCAAGTACGAAGATACTGTTCTGTCCTGCACGGACACTATTGATTTGAATGTTGACAAGATTTGGGTCGTTGTAAGGGACATTGAGGCCTCCAACAAAAGTTCCGAGCACGTAAAGAATCGTTATACGCATGCTGAGCTTCCTAGTCGCAAGCTTGATCGTTTCGTGCTTTTCCAGATCTTTGTTCTCCGCTGAATCAATAGTCAGTCATCTTCAAAGTCACATGCAACAATAAGGATTGAGGAGAAAGTTGAGGTATTACCAGCTGATACGGCGACTGTCTCGAACCCGACGAAACTGAACAGTGCTGCAGTTATAGCTGTCCATAGAGCTAGGAAGTGACCGGAATCTCCTGTCATAACAACACCTTTATCTGCATCATGCGAAGGATGCACGACAAACGTGTCGGAAGAGAATCCATACGGCTTATTCCAGGTCCAGAAATGATTCCCATGCTTTCCCATCGCAGATACTACAACATTGAAAACGATTAGAAGAGAGATGAAGAATATCTTCACGACTCCAAATGCGTATTCGAGTTGCCCATATTGGCGAACAGGAAGTAGGTTAATCACGCCAACAGTGATGAGGAATAAGAACACCCAGACAGCGGGTGAGTAATTCTGCAAGAGTTTAGCAAAGTTCTTGAGCTCGAACAATTGGACATACTTCAGTGCTCCAGCCCAGCTGCTTGTCAGGATATCCAACTTCACGTAGATATTCTTCATCAAAACGGAACTTCCATAGCTGAGCGATGGCCAGTATTTCTGCCTATTTCGCCATCAAATTAGTTCCGGACTATAATCGATGGCGTAACTCTCAAGTCGCACTACCATAGGATAGGCCAGCTCAGAGCACCTGGACAGAGAACTAAACTTACAGAGAGGATGACAACCCAGGCAAACCATGTTATCCAACCACTAAGTAAAGTCAATATGTTGTTGTGGTAGACTGAATCTTTGCCTACTCACGTGGCATAGCCAACTGCTTCCTACACAGAGTAAGTACAATACTTTCACAACACCATCAGGGCAGCTTACATCGATAAATCGACCGGGAAATTCAAAAAGAGGACCTTGAACTGGAAACAAAGCGGTCATCTCGCCCAGGCAAGCAATGACACTCCACATTACGCTAGAAGCAAGCACTACAGCGACAATCGCAAGGCCCGGGCCGGCGATATAGATGACCTTCCCGCTCTGCAAGAATAGGCCGAAGCCTATACAGGCGCTGAAGGCCATCATATTCTTTGATAGGGCTTAGCATAATATCTTCATGAACATTTTGGTGATGTTGACATACAACATGACGCTCCTTCAAGTCGGCACTACAATGATTAGATAAGCTCCGCAACTGAGCAAAGAGTATACATACCTGAGTACAGTGCGCCTCGTCATGTTGGAAGCAGTAGCGCGCGGCTTTTTTCAATTCAGTCTAGAAGGATAGATTTCCGACCGTTGGAGAACCACATCGGAAACTCCACGATAGTCGAGAGAGCGAGGCTTGCAGAGCACTTGGGAACGAGCTGGACAACAATAGTATAATAGGGGTGCTGGACCTGGTCGGCGACCACTATCGTATCGATAGATTCCGGCGAGTGATTGTCTGGGTCCAATTATGCTGTGATACCTACCGAGGTCTGGCTCAGCTCGCAGACCTTGAAAGACTTTCTTGGAGCAAATGCCCGTCGCCGGAAGGTCGCACCGGGGACTGCAAGGGCTCATTGAAATGCCAATCGCATCTTGCTTTTCAACGCATATCCACGAAAGTGGTATAGGGGGAAAGGGCCAAAGCTCGAATTCAACATGCTGCTCCGCTGCAGTGGGAGATGGCAGTTTGCGAAAGCAGGGTTTAATACGAAACACGACACCTTCTCGGTACGATCTGCTCCCAGTATCGAGAGATGGTTGGAGGTTGCTGACATGGGGCTAGAAGCCCACTTCGGAAAAGCCTCACCCCGACATACGCGATAGTGGTCCAAGCTGGATTCGGCTGCGACCTTGTATATTCATAGCTTAGCGTCCGTCTACGTGGCTGAGCTAAATGCAACCTACATGCCGCTCAAAACATCGCTATTGCGCTGGCCGTGCGGTATCTTTCGATACGATTCGCTGCCATTAACTAGTTAATATTGTTTCACCTGCCTGTTTGGAGCATGTTTCTGTACTCTTCAACGTTGTAGTAGTCTTCTCTTGATGATGGTTGGCATCAAACACCCTCCGCCTTGCCTACGAGTGAATCGCTTCAAGATGATAGTGCGGAGTACAGCTGGTAAACAACCTTTCCCTAATTTCAAATGGCACGTTGATAACGTGAACAAAGCATTATGTACCATCACTATTGGACAATGTAATGAAGCAAACCAAGGTGAATAGATTTATGTTACCATATCTTACAATATATCCCACACTGTGCTCTCAGCAATCGCTTCAAATGTAACCAGATCCTATCTTGTGTCTCTTTTACCTATCACTTATTCTAAAGACATTGATAGTATCCACGAATGTCGAATTGTTATCCACATTACTGGCAATATCAACTCCATCCCTTGTGATCATGTCTGTAGCTCCGACAGTGTTCAAGTTATAAATCGAGATGTCGTGCGAATGCTCATTGCCCTCGACACTGAAGATCCTGGTTTGACAAGTCGCTCCGGCGCCCACTTGGGAACAAGCTGTTGAATAGTTGTTGAAGAACGAATACAGGCCAACACCATAGCCGAGAATGTTGGAGCTGCGGAGAATGCGAAGACCCCAACCATCGGCATTGTTGGTGCCGTTCGCTGGGCTGAAGACAGGATCAAAGCGTGCGACGTCTTCAGGGAAGGGAATCGTAGCATCGGGGTTCGGTTGGTAATATGCTGTTTCCGTCTGGATTTGACCCATGAAAATGTCCCGGGTGTCGACGAATTGGTACTCGTACTTGACATGATGTTCGACGGCAGTGCCATACAGCCACAGTACTCCTCGTATGCTCTCAATTAGCAACCCTCTTCCGGCGTAGATGGTAATTTGTGTGTTGTTGTTTCGTGCATCGTCCAGATCATGGTCAGCGACCCAGAGCCAGTTGTTCTCCATGTACAAGCCAGTACCAAACTTGGTAACATGCATCGACATGTATGCAGCGATACATTCTTGCACCAGATTGTCTGCTGTGATGGTAACATTTGGAGTGGTTGGGCATTGTTCAGTCTGCAGATCAGAGCCCGCGAAGCCGCCGATTCTTGTATGAACATCCCATAGACCTGCGACCTCGCCGTACGAGGCTAAGTTATATTCAATAAGAATAGCACCGGCCTGTTGGCCTTTGGTGCTGACAAACAAGTCTGATAGCTCAACAGAGCCTTGTTCGCCAGGCTGAGCTACCTTGACCACAGCGCGGGGATTTTCGATGTCATTGAAACTTGGAGAAGCAGCAAAGATCACGGAAGCAAGAGCCTCGCCGACAATCCTGGATCCAGGCGGAATGTAAATAGTGTCAGTCACACGGTAGTAACCAGCATCGATGAAAAGTATCTTCTTCGACCTTTCTGCCTGCAAAACAGCGGCGTTGAGAGCTTCTGTGTCGTCCGTAGTACCGTCGCCTTTAGCGCCCAAATCTCGTACACTTAGGAATTGATCTAATGGCACCTCTCCGTACTGCGGCTTTGACTTCTCAAAGTATTTTCCTTCAGCGTCCAACAAGCTGCCAGGTCTCTTGCTAGGATCAATGGTGCCACGGACTTCAGAGGGACCGTTGGGGAGGTAACGGTGGCCATCGGCCCAAGCTGGAATGACTATTGCACCTGATGATCCTGCTAATACGGTGCCGTTGACACCAAGTACAGCGGATGCAACATTTTCGAGCTCCACGTTTTCGAGGTAAACGCTTCCAGCCCCTGCGGGCTCTGAATCGGCGGTCCTGGAGGTGACGATACCTACCTGGGTATTCTTAATGGAGCTGTCGAACAGAGTGAGAGATCCAACGTTGACAGCCGAAGGTCCTCCGGCGGAGATGTTAAATCCAACTCGGCAATTGTTGATAGAAACACTCTTGTATGTCCAGCCCCAGTCCCAAAGTTGATTGACGGCAGTATCGCAGCCATTGAAAGTCAAGTTGCGTGTTGTGAATTGCTGATTGCCAACATTGAATCCGTATAGACCTCCATTAAATACCAGATCGGTCATGAAGCCTCCAGAGCCCTCTTCAATGAACACTCCCTGATGCTGAGTTCTATTCGCAGAGTTCATATTGAACACCAAATTTTGTAAGCTTGTAGTCTGGGCGGTAGGCCAGTGAAGTCCAGTAGCGGAGACGTTTGCGGGGATCTGTGTCATATCGAAGATAAGATTTCGTATCTGGCGAAAGAAGGTATTCGTCGGTCCAAATCCTGTTCTGCCAGCTCTTGGGCCCGAGCCCTGGTATGGGGAGCCATCAATCAAACCCAATCCAGAGGAAATGTTGAAATCGGGTGTTGCCAATAGGGTGGGCAAGCAATTCGGGTTTCCAATTATCTAATTCATCAGCGTCTCGTCCATCGAACTATGACAGAATACAGCATGATATGATTGACTGAATGAGGCGCCGTTACAATAAGAACATCAAGGAAGAAAACTCACCTGTGTATAATAGTAATCTATAATAGAAGAAGAAATCAAGTAAGTCCCGGCAGGGAAGTATACAACAGCTGGAGTAGTAGTGGACGATTCGCAAACACCCGGGGCACACCGGCCCCCCTCGCTGATGGCACGCTGGATTGCTGCAGTATCGTCGGTCTGTCCATCTCCTACAGCACCGAAATCTTTGACATTTCTGAAAACTTGATATGTACCGTTCTCGCCGGAGCCCGCGTTGGTATTGAAACTTGCGAGGCCTTGATGCTTTTTGTTTTCTAGCCAGTAACCGGCACAAGCACCTCCTGTGGGTTGCGGGTTGGCCGGGAACGACGAAGTAGGATAAGGAGGAGACCCAGTCGCACTGACATCTCTTTTGTATTGTCCCTTTCCATAGTATTCAAAGGATCTAACGTCAAGTGCGAAGGCACTCTCCACCAAAAGGCAAGCAACAGTAAAGAAAAACATAATGAGTGAACGAGTGACTGGAAGAGCTATAAAATGAGCTAAAGAAAGAAAACAAGACAGAAATGCCCAAGCAGACTCATATATGAGAAAACATGTGCCCCAGGAGTAAGTAAGATCAATGCAATAATGTCCGTCGATCATCTTACCTACGCCCTGTACGCGTCTCCATGTTCTTCACCAATCACGAACCACATGCCGACAACGCTATGCTGTTAACGGGATCGACAGCTAGGTCTTGCTGGCCACCCCCGCATATATTGAAACAGTAATTCAAAGTCCTGCAGAAGATTTATACTTCGAAGAGAGTTACACCACATTTAAAGGAGAACTTGGCCTCGAAAGAAAGGGAATCATTGTTAGTGTTACAAGGCGAGGGACGCGACAAGTAACGGGCTTGACAGTGTGATCGATGCTGGGGCGTAAATCCAACAACAACAAATTTGTTTGGGCATTGAAATTTCGATCAGCATAGCCCGATAATAACATGGCTCAGCTGAAGAACCAACGATGTGATGAAACCATTTAGAGCCAGCAGCAATAAGTAATCATGCAAATTAGATGAACTGGATTTCAAGGGGTACGTGGTGTGGTGAAGGCTGACATACCACGTGACGTCGGCGAATCTTGGGAAATTGGCTCCGACGTAGACATCCAAACTTTTGCGAGAACAGACGTCAGAGAGCTACACTCAGTAGTACGACAATTCACGAAAGCGTTCCCATTGACCCGCATTCTCATCCATCATAATGTTCGGAGGACGTGAGTATTTCTAATAAGTTCCATAGAGCAAGATCGAGCATCAAGAACTGACAAACGGCGCAGCACCACCACCACCATCCAAGCAAGAGCTTGAGGTTCGTTTGCCTTTCCGCATGAGAAACATGCAAAGATATTAACGGATTCCCTTAGGCTGCTGAGGCACAGACCGCATCCGATGTCAGATGGACTGCTGCTGCGTGCCTTGTCCTCTACCTATGTGAGTATCATTGATACCACAATGGAAGGGTCACAACTGATTTATTTCCAAAGCTCCATTCGTCATTGAGTACACACGCAAACTCGTTTGAACGAACCAAATAGTCCGAAAATACATATTTCATTCGATCCATCGGTCTACCAATTCAAATCGAGCGGCGTTCGAACGGCCGATCACTCTGTAAAAGTAGTTGTGGATAAGAAGCATGCAATTGTAACAATACTGGGGAGGCGCACAAGTCCTAAACACACTTGTACATGACAACCGAGGATGAAACACGAATAGATATCCAATTAAAGAAGAGAAATGAAATCGAGTCTCTAGAGCAGCTCATGAAAGTGCCTATAGCGCTTCTATCCCCACCACCGCAGAATAACAGCCAATATAGTACAAGAAGTGGTATTATGAGGATTATTGTTGTAGCAAGCCGTTGGTATCTAAAGAATCGCCAGGCTTCGTCTTCTAGATCACTCAAGAAGTTGCCGGCGTACTTTCACACGATCCGTGCCTATTTCGAGACAGCATCGTATCCCCCGTTCACCTCCCAGCGGACTTTGACGGTTTCCTGTCCTTCTCCCATACCTCATATTCCTCTTTAGTATCATCAACCCATTTTTTAAGATGGTCGAGCTGCTTGTCGTAGTCTTTCAAGAGCTGTCTATGGTTAGCTGAGTCTATGTCGGACTTCCAGTCGAATCGTACCTTTTCAATCTGCTTCTGGTCCTCTTCGCTCAAGACTTCGCCTTGCTGGCTGTCAACGGTCTTGGCTAGTTTTTCCGTTTCCTCTTGCAATATCCGCGCGCGCTCCCTGACTCCCGACATTCTCGCCCAAATCTCTTCCTGTCGTCCACTAAGAACGGGGTCGAATGTCTTTCTTTCCAACTCAGCAAGCTTCTTCTTTAATTCTTCCTCTGCCTGGTCCATTACATATCCGCGGTTCCGCAGAATTTGTACTTTAGTTGCCAAAGCCAACGTCCTTTGTGTATGAACGACATGTTTCCTTTTCGCTTCTTGGAGGCGGATACTGATCTTGAACTCGTGTGTATTCCTCAACGCGATGAGGTTTTCGTTGATTTGGTGCAGACGCGTCCGAAGTGCGGTCACTGCCAAGTTCTGGTATTGTATACGCGCGGCCATCTCGTCGAATCCACTGATTAGTATTGGGATTGATCCTGGACCAGGCTTATTGGCGAGCGCCTCCTCCCACTTCTTTTCATCCTCGTGTGGCTGTGGTCCATAATACGGAACTTGATCAGGGTCGACCTCATTGTAGAAGTAATGTTGGAAGGCGCAGTTGAAGCTCTTTGGATTCCACTTATCAGCTATCACCTGCATTTGCTGGGTGACAGATTTTTCGCCTGAAATCACTACGTTAGTGGAAATTCTCCAAGTAGAATGGTTGGCGCATCTAACTCACGTTGTCCACTGAGCAGGCTACTTGCTAAGCCGGAATCTGCATTCTGTCGTAGTTGTGGGAGACCTTGTTGCGACTGGGCCAACTGCTGTGCCTGGAGAGCAGGAAGTGTAGGAGCAGGTTGCAGCTTTCCCCCAAACAAGCTATTGTTGAGCTGCGGCTGTTGGGGCTGTTGAGGCTGTTGTTGCGTGTTCGCAAAAAGTGATGATCCCGCATTCTGTTGCGTGTTTCCGAAAAGTGATGATCCTGCATTCTGCTGTTGCTGCTGTGGCTGCTGCTGGGTTGTTGTCGTCGCGCCGAATAAACTTCCTCCTGTTGGCTGTTGTGTTTGGCTAAAAAGACCACCTGCCGGGGCTGTCGTGCTGCCGAATAGAGTGCCCGTCTTTTTTTCAGCGCCTCCAAATCCCGTCCCTAAACCTCCAAAAGACATGTTGATTGTTGGATTGATGGTTCGGCCGTTGCTGGCTGGTACGGACGCGTAAAAGGGACGCGCTATGGGGTACGTGAGTCGTCGATTAAGTGAAACAAGATAACCAGCAATGCATCAAAGAGCAACACGCGAGTTTGGAATCCTTTGTTTGATTCCAGCAACGTTGTGGCTATCACAACGAGCTGCGTGTTTTGGTCTAGAAAGAAAGTGAGAGCTCTCCGAACATGTAGGTTGGTCCGTGAGCTACTAGCTGGGGTCTTCTTGGCATTAGATCTCCAACTTCATCTCACGATTGAGCTCTTCCATATACCAGTCTGCTCCGGGAGCACCGTTCGCCATTGACCTTCCATATTCAAGATGTCTTCACGACAGCCCAGGTATGTACTTTTAACAGCTTCTTGGTAAGAGTCACACTGCTGACATGCCGCAGATTCAATCAACAAGCCCTCATCGACACAACACCGTTGCCCGATGACATCCCTAAAGTCAAAGAACTCGGAGCCAGTTCCGCTCCTCTCCTGAGCGCATCCTTTTTCATTGGAGCACGATGCAAGGCCTACAATGACGACTACATGATGTGCAAGACAGAGGCAAACGGCCGAGGAGAGTTTGAGTGCATGAAGGAAGGTCGCAAGGTCACAAGATGCGCAGCCAGCGTGTATGCAATCCCTCAATCGATGGATATCGCTATACTTTGCTAATGCGTAGTTTAGTATCAAGGACATCAACGAGAACTGCTTGTCTGAATTCCGTACCCATTGGCAATGCCTCGAAAACCAGAACCATCAGTTGTGGAACTGCCGATCGGAAGAGCGGAGGTTGAACAAATGCATATTTGACAAACTGGTAAGCGCCACAAGTAGAAAACTGATTTGGTAGACAGCGACTAATTCAACCTAGAAATTGGAGAAGACCATCCCAGACGCTCCAAAGGGCGACACGCCGGTGCATCTACGAACGAAGAATATCTTCGCGTCCCATTGAAATTTGTATATTACTGTCCAAAATCAAGCTCACAGAACAATTGACCGGTCAATTAAGACCCAGCACTGTGCATGCCGCGCTCTCCATAACATTTCCATTTCCGGTGATTAATACCAACGATATTATTGGCCAACAGAGCTATATTGAAGAAGTCGAAGTTCAGCGTCTCCAACTGCATGCAATAATCAATAATGCTCATACAGGGGTGAATTAACAACTATCCTATTTTTAGTCGCTTTTTACAATATCAGATGTGGAAAATCGGGCCTAAAAAACATGAAATGATCTCTTGATCCCCCGTTCATCGCCTCCGATACCAAGCTTCAATTTAACATCAGAAGTCACCTACAAGTTTCCTGCGTAATCCAGAATTGTTTCCCACATACAAGCAGGAAAGCATACGCGGTTCCGATCAGTTGATCACCATTGACCATCCGCGACAGCCTCCCAATCAATAGCAAACCAGGTCCCCCTTTCGGCTAGGTTCTTTTCTCACATTCGATTGTCTACGAAAACATGGACATTAGCAGCTCTTTCAATAAAGGCGTCATGGTTGCATTGAAGACTCTGAGCTATCATATTCAGAGTTCAATCACCATCGACATTCATACTCGAACTCTTGTGTAGCACAACATGACGAGGAACCACACGCAATCGGTCTTTGCGCTGACACCGACCCACCCTGCTTTTCATAGCTTTCCATCATCGCGGTTCAAATTTAGGAATCAATAAACAATCTCTATTATATTCTAAAGTAAATCACTAAATGTTCGCTTATGTAAGTCAATACCAACAGGTATCGGGGCGAGCCACGTTTTGCTCAATAATATTCTTGGGCTTCCGATATTGGTGAGTCCATGCTTTCCAATAAGGTGGTATCTCAACTACTAACTTGGTCTGCTGGTAGGTTCTGTCAGTGGCATTATCCTATACGAAGCCCAAGTCTTTGAGACTGACCTTCGGTTCATTCTGATCCGAATAGATCATTAGAGGTCGACCTGGTCATGAATTTCACTCGGCCTTGTCGTAAAAGATTTCGGGACCGTCGTCTGTGTTGCTAAGAGGTCGAGATAGCTTTGGGTTAACTTCCAGGCCTCGCCCGCCATCAAAGCAGTAGTGTGCATCGGCTTATCCAGCAGGTCTCTCAATTCCTCGAGTGTCAGAGAGACATTATCCTCAGGCTGAGCATCGATCGCAGCGAGTGCCAACGAAAACAGTAGGAGGAATGGAGTAAGATATTTCATGATGGTATATAGTGTTCGACAATTAAGGTTTGATTAGAAGGAAGGTACTTAGATGGGCAGATTTAGTGGTGGAGATCTTTCGTGATATAATATACAAAACTGGACAATCGTTGTATCATGAAAGAAAGGCTTCGTAGCTAGTAACCATTGTATACGTGGTAGGAAGGAGCAAAGATATCTGAAGCACCCGGCCTTCCTCGTTTAACACCAAACTGAACCGCTTATACGAAATTTGGCCTCTGCAATTGTCGGGGCTTGAGGAATGTCTAGTTAGTTTCAATTCAAAATCCTTCGGGGATGTCGTAAGTTTATGTATGTTTTCGTATAGACTTTGTTTGAGAAGATAGTGGGAAGACAAACGACAAGAATGCATCATGTATACATATATAATCTCTACAATAAAGCACACTACTCGTACGATAGGTTTTAGAGTTGGTATTGACCCCATTTCTACTGAGAAGTATTGTTGAAGAAATACGTTTCGGGAAAGCAGTGTGAGTGGCTGAGAGGCCAGCCAGACAAAGGCGGAGCCGCCCCGCCTAGCGACTCCCCATCGGGACTAGCTCGGTCTGCCAGTCCACTCATTTGTTGAGTACAAACAAACACATACAAATGCTCCCAATCCTTTACACTACACTCCATGCAGTTCAAGCTTTCCATGTCAAATCTTACACTTATTCCTTCGGTGTGAAAAAGTAACACTCATGCGACCATGCAGTCGCTTCCGCTGATACCACCAAGGGCGGTAGGTAAACCCTGGTTACGTACTTGAATCCTACACCTTGATCCCTCTATACCATCCTTGCCGCGTGGTATCACCTTCACTATCATCATACATTTCATTTCCTTTTCTACTACTACGAGTCTAACATGTGTGTCGCGACAGGACGGCAGTCTATGGCCTGGAAGTAGAGCAAGCCACATTTACCTTGACATCCCGTCCAACGACACCTACAACTCGACTGCCAATAACACCGGCGCGCGCAACCCAAATTCACAACATGGAAACCAGAACCCAAACAGTGCGTTTATGGCTGCCCTTATAGCCGACGAAAACAACATACGCCAGCGGAAACAAAATATACGGAAATTTGGCGCAGGATGGCTCCGACCGCCTGGTGTTGCGAAAACCTATCAGGCGAAGATGGATGAGGACTACGAACGGGAGGAGCAGGAGATGCTAGCCCGGCGCGAACAAGTCCTTCTCGATCTTGCCGCGGCACAGACAGACGCAGCAAACCAAGAAGAGGCCGCACAAGGCGATGACGAAATGATGGAAGGCGAGAGAGATCTCGACGACGAGGTGCCAGAAGCTGAGGCGGACGATAGCGACGTCTCGTCCACCGAGGAAGAAGCAAGCGATGTCGAGGAAGATGACACAAGCGCTCTAGGACCACAGGCTGGTGATGTCACATTCAACGAAGACAGTTTCATCGAGGGAAGCATGATGCAGGCTGAAGTCGAGCACATGCTCGAGCGCGAAGAGGCTGAAATGGCAGGCGTTCTCCAGGATGAGAGAGATCTTGATGACGACATCCCCGAGGCAGGAAGCTACGAGCATACAGATACAGACCTAGATTCCAGCGACGAGGATCTAGAGTCCAGCCGTATTTCCGTCCGCAGCATTCGAAGCAGGAGGTCGGCCAGAAGAAGTTCTGGTGTGAGAAGCTCGGCAGCGAGGGTCACTCGATCTCAAAGGAACAGCGCAGTCATGGCAGTCAACAACCGAGGCAGCTTTGGCATGGACGGAAGCAGTTCCATCATGGATGGTAGTTCATTTCTTCGCAGCTCTCCCGCCGCAGGAAGAGGCAATCTGAGATCGAGGTTCATGGGAGCTCGCTAGAAGTCGTAGCGGTCAACAACTGACGATACCAATGGAGTAGTTGTATTTTGGAAGGGTGGGAGTTCATTGTTTTCGCAGCTACCTCGCTGCCCCAAAAGGTGACCTACGATCGACCCTCCTGGGAGCTCGCGCCTAAAGCGGGTGCTTGCGCACTCACTGGTTGTCACATATGTCACGGCGTTACTGCTCCAGGTGAAAGGAAACCTGGAGCCCGTCTGGATTACGGAATTATACCCCTAACGAACAAAAACCCTTAATGATAGTATGTAATACGAATCAAATGATTCGATCAACCCTCGTAGTGAACAAACCCCCATCTCACCGTGAACGTCTATCCACTTCCTCACCCACAATCACCCTCATATCCACATCCCACAGCCCACATCCAAACCCCGACCCCAATCCCGAACCTCATCCCCCAAGTCTCCCACGTCAAACACATCTAGAACTCCACCTCACCCATGCGATGTGATGTTCCACATCACGCACAAAGCATCCCCGAAGCGACCGGCCGCGGTCGAGCACAACAGTGGCAAGTAAGCACTCCGCCTGCTGATCACAAAAAGAAACACACGAACACGGCCGCGGATGGGTCATCGTTATGTCTTGTGACCATGTGCATCATGGCCCCGAGGAGCGAGGGCACTGTGCCTTTGCATACTCCTGTCTTATTTAACCCTGTGGATGTAGTTGTGTGGCTAATTCTTTGAAGGGTAGTGAGATGCGTTGGTAGATTTGATATGTAGTTTGTGGTTGTATAAGAGCGAAGAACGTCGAATGTCAAGGTAGGGCTATCAGTGAGGGTAGGTGGTGCATCCGTAGCTTGATCATTCACGGAGTATATACGGAGAGTGTACGCTCTACTGGGACGGCCGTTCTTTCTAGGTTGTGGTGAAGCGTGTAGTGGAGTTGTTTGTGTGAGAAGTGAGGATGAGGTTGAGTTGTAGTTTGCAACATATATGCTTGATTAGGTGTTTGATATGAGACAGACATAGTCATGAGTCAAGTGAAAGCAATGGCTTAAACAGTGAATTCGACCGTTGATGCGAGATCGTCTCAGGTGACATGGACCTTATGCGGGTATGAGAGTATCGGGGATTTCAATTCTCGTGGGAGGAGCATTAGGGGAATTGAGTATATGCCTACTACTGCGTACTTTGTCTGTCGTACTACGGTACTTGGAGAAGGGATGCATATTGAAGAACATAGATGACATCACATGGTTACACGGCAACAGTCCCGGATCATAATTCCGAGAGTGAAGAGCTCGATTCTGATTGGGGAGATGCGGGTCCGTAACGTACATTTGTTTAGGAAATGTTTTCGTGCGTAGGTCGTACAATTGGCAAGTGGAGAGAGTAGCAACTTCAAACGAGAGGGGAGGGGGGGTTGAACACGCAAGATATTTTTTTTGGGATGGGACAATGTTGGAAAAAAATCCGTGGAATGCTCTTCTCTAAAATTTCTGTACAAAGGGGAACACTATTGTGACAATGGCTGGCCAAAACCCAGCAGCAACAGCAGCAGCGGCGACGATTTTGCTGCTGCCATCGAGCACGACGGAACCCTTTCCCGCGCCTTCGTCATGAATCTCACACAAACAGTACCAAAGGAAAAATTCGACCAAAGGAGAGGAAATGTGGCTTGGTATTGATATTGTTTGTATGTTGCTGACATCTCTTGTAATTTACTCATCCTTCTTGCCGGGAGGAGACTGGACCAACATGCCCTTGTAGCCGGTGATGGGCTCAGAGCCTTGTGCCTGGTTAAAGGGTTAGTATGTGCATCGTGACATTGGATTGCCCAGGCATTCGCCCAAAACCAGCATACCTTCAAGTACTCCTCTGAGGCCTCCTGCCACTCCTTGGTCATTGTGTGCGGTCGCTGGGGGTTGGCCAAGAGACGGGTAGCAGAGAAGACAGCAATGGCAGCGCCGACAACGGCGGTGGTCATGAGGAAGACCTTGCGGCCCTCATCCGCAGGAGGGGGTCGTCGTGGGCCATGGGGACCGAAAGCGATGTAGTAAGCTATATGGCAGATGATATATCAGCTTGATGGTTCTCAGAACGTAGGCGAATATGTGAGGGTCCGCTGCCTCGGATATTTTGCCGAGACTGGCACCATAGAACAGTGATAACAGCACCACACGTCCTCCGGCGCCCTGATACACCCAATGGCATAATTGAAGGTTCTACGCACCAGCCTTCTTCTCCTGGAGGGTCAACTCCTTCCAGTCGACCTTCATGCGATCCCTAAGCGACATCCACAAATCGGCCTGCTCCTGGGGGGGCATGTCCTCCCATCGCTTCTCGATGCTGGCGAGGGTTGGGTTAGAGATGGCGTGGGCCGAACGGGTCTGTTGTTGCTGGGCGCAGACGATGGAGGCAGCGCGAGGGACACGGGCAGCTTGACGGGTTGCGGTCGATGGGATGATCGAAGCCGAGCACTTGGAGGCCCGGATGACGGAGGAGCGCATCATGATGGCGGGTGGAGTGGAGATTGAAGCACGAATTGGAAAGGAAAGGTTGAAGCTCCCCGTCGAGGGAACAGCCGGTCTCAATGGGTCAGATAGGTGATGGAGGAGGATGGGAAGCTGAAGGAGAAATGCCCATGAGATGAGGTTTCGACGAAAAGCTTGGCAGATGGGCAAGCTCTGTCACACCACGCCAAAACGTAATCAATGCTGATTGGCCGAGCTACTACTCCTCTCAAACCGTCCCCTTTCCCAAGAACACACAGAATGCCATCACAATTATTGGACGGCCAAACATCATCGCCGAGGATGTTCTCTCGATCAGAATAAATACAAACAAGATGGCGATTCAGTGGCAATCCTCGTCAATCATCCCAACAATAACTTACATCACCGTTGACACGACTGCAATTATTATCTTTCCACAACCTCCAACACGGTGGCCTGAAATGATAATCATCCTATGAGGGGGGGGATCGACTCGTATGATCATGCCATCGTTAAATACCTAGGTACCTACGACTGCGAAATGATGGGCTCAATTGAGAGATAGCTTGCTCTTCTTAGCGCATATCAGATCATTGGTCTCTCTTTGCGTCCTGGCAGTCGTTACTGTTGAGGTGGTGCTGGACTGGACATGCGAGACAATAGTACGAGTGAACCAGTTTGACGTTCGAGAAGTGGGCACATTGATGGTTCAAGTACTCCGTGCACCATGAATCAATTATCAGATCAGATAATAGTTATTTGGAAAGTCGAGCAACGTTGCGTGCAGGGCCCACACAATCTAAAATGTACCATGCACCGGTATGCGCACCAGTAGATGATCGGGTTGTGTTCTGTTACGATACACTCACTGCACGTGTCGTGGTTGAACACGCTCAAACTGCCCGACAATTCCGGCGATCAGCCCTATGAACATGGTTCGGACCTTTGACGACATGTTTTCTCTCTGCCCCTCTTGCCGATAATCATAATAGTCCACATGCCGATATATACATGGTATACATGGCACTGTAGATGCAGGGATGCCGATATGAGCTTCCAGAACATCGTAGTGAGTCTGTGACCCATCAATTGCTATTCCAAATTCCCAAAAATATCAAGTCATGAGGTGAGAACAAAAGCAAAACATGTCCTCCACGAGCTTCCTACTGCTACTTTGCTACGTTCACACTAAAAGTGGCTAGCCTCTCGGCCGCGGATGCGCTTACTATGCATCTGTAACATCTCAACATCTGAGTTGTGTTTACCTCACCATTTGCCTTCGTAGGCTATTGTCGTTACTGTATCGTCAATCTCACAAATCTCCTGTAGGCGTTGGTGGTCGCCGTGAACAGCATCAGGAATCTAGCGGTGACGCTTGCGTGGCGGATAGAGAGGCATGTGCTCGTTACACAGAATGCTCGCCAACCACACAAAGCAAAACTTGCATAATCAGACGTTGTCATCCCGTTTACTATCGAATGATTGTCCAGAGCTGCGCCAACCCACGCATCTATCCCCATCCCACCGAGACAGGATTACAGTATGATGCAGACGCGGATGCAGATGCAGATGGTGACGGCGAAGGCGAAGGCGACGGCCGCCGAGTGTCCCGCGTCGCCACAAGCAATTCGATGTATTACGGCAACCAGGTTCATAATCTTTTTCTCATAGCGGCTTCGGAGTTGGGGTTCCCTGACGCAGATTGGAGGGGTCGTGTAGCATAGTGCCCAGTAGCTATCGGCGTCACCTCGCATAGAGGAGTACTATGGGTCGGTGTCTTTTTCCATTGGCGTGGCTTTTCGTTTCGGTGTAGTCGGAGGGTTGAGGTTGGTGTGAATTGGAGTGGGAGAGAAGGTGCATCCTTCTCCCACCGTGAAATCGGGGGGGATTGCTTGCTTATATTGAATGCGCGACGATAATACACAGCTGCTAGCATTCCTCTGCCCCTCCTACTCCCACTACCTAAACTACCAGAACAAACAGAGAATACCGGGAGATTACGGACAATTGAAGGAAGACAGAGTTGTCCGAGGTAAGGAGACAAACATTCTGCCATCAGGTGAGTACCCGGCCGGGTATGAGGGAAGCTAGAATGGTTTGTAACTGGGCCAGCAGTAGTGAGATACTCCCGTCCGGGTGTGAGAGAGGGAGTGTGTGTGCGTGTGTTGATAGCTCTCCTCCTCCTACACGACTGACCATCCTGACGTCGGCCGCCGTTTCTTTTTGGACGCATCAGTGCTCGGGCCCCTCACTTTAAAAACACCCCACCACCATCAGCGCCCCAACAACCCTAGCTCCTACTCACAACAAACTCCCTTTAAAAACTTTCATCCCGCCCTGTTCCATTCTTCAAAAAGTACGCTCTGATTTCTCTCAGCTTCCTCATTGTCAACTGTCTCTAAGTTTGTCGGTGTTACCAGCTTCTTATATCACACATTCATCATGGTCGTCAAGGTAAGCTACCTACCTACATACCAATCCCCCACCACCACCACCAACCTCATCCACGACAGCCATTGACAACTATATCTAGGTCGGAATCAACGGCTTCGGTCGCATTGGCAGGATCGTCTTCCGTAACGCGTAAGTTTTAACTACAGCATCAATTGCGACTTCCTCGCAGTTGTCAAAAGTGCCCAGGCTGACCCCTCCTTACAGCATCGAGCACAACGACGTCGAGATCACCGCCGTCAATGACCCCTTCATTGAGCCCCACTACGCTGTACGTATCATCTCTACTCATCTCTCTCTCCGGTGCGCTGGTAAATACCTGTAACAAGGCAGGCATTGCCAGTGTTCGCCAAGGGAACACTCTACTACACAGATGCGGGGCTAACACTGCACGATAGGCGTACATGCTCAAGTACGACAGCACCCACGGCCAGTTCAAGGGCGAGATCAAGATCGATGGCAACAACTTGATTGTCAACGGCAAGACCATCCGCTTCTACATGGAGAAGGACCCCAGCAACATCCCCTGGGGTGAGACTGGCGCATACTACGTCGTCGAGTCCACCGGTGTCTTCACCACCACTGAGAAGGCCAAGGCTCACTTGAAGGGTGGTGCCAAGAAGGTCGTCATCTCTGCTCCCTCCGCCGATGCTCCCATGTTCGTTATGGGTGTCAACCACGAGACCTACAAGTCCGACGTTGAGGTTCTCTCCAACGCCTCTTGCACCACCAACTGCTTGGCTCCTCTCGCCAAGGTCATCCACGACAAGTTCACCATCATCGAGGGTTTGATGACCACTGTCCACTCCTACACTGCCACCCAGAAGGTCGTTGACGGCCCATCCGCCAAGGATTGGCGTGGTGGCCGCACTGCTGCTCAGAACATCATCCCCAGCAGCACTGGTGCCGCTAAGGCCGTCGGAAAGGTCATCCCTGACCTCAACGGCAAGCTCACTGGAATGTCCATGCGTGTGCCTACTTCCAACGTCTCCGTCGTTGACTTGACCGTCCGCATCGAGAAGGGTGCTTCCTACGACGAGATCAAGCAGGCCATCAAGGAGGCCTCCGAGGGTTCTCTCCAGGGTGAGTAGAGAATTAGTCAAAAAGAGGCTCTCAGAACACATGCTAATTCCGTAACCAGGCATACTCGGCTACACCGAGGACGACATCGTCTCCACTGACTTGATCGGCGACAACCGCTCCTCCATCTTCGATGCCAAGGCCGGTATCTCCCTCAACAAGAACTTCGTCAAGCTCGTCTCCTGGTACGACAACGAGTGGGGTTACTCCCGCCGTGTGCTCGACCTCCTTGTCTACATTGCCAAGGTTGACGGACACGCTTAGGAGTCAGGACAGAGCCCGACGATGTCAAAGTTATGAGGAGAACGTGGATTAATAGTATTTCAGAGTGGGCCTAACATTCGGGTTGCACTACTTCATGATTGAACGCACTTCAACGGATTGCGATGAGGGAGGGATATGGTGGCGTCGAAAAATGGATAACCTAGTAGATTAAACAACAACAATGAAAAGACTGTCGTCAACCTCGCCAAACATATCTCCAATTGCAAAACACATGCTAACAAGTTCCACTCGTCCATGAGCTCTACCCCTGACACGATGATCTAGTTCCCGTCCATTGTCTAGCTCCCGCGGCAAATCACTGTTACACGCGGGTCAAGGTTGGGGTAATGGGGTATGTTGGGTACGTACTTCCGGGAACCTTGCCGATATTCGTGCTAAGTACCGAATAGTAGCATTGTGGCCGCCTCAAAGTTATCGTGTGCTCGGTCATAGGGCGAAGACCCCAGAAAGCTTCGGAAAGTTACGGGAGAGAATGGCGGCTTGATGTCTAAATATGCCCCAAAGAGAAGGTGGCTTCCAATTGGTACTTCTGCAGAGATTTGCAAGCCAGAGAACATTTATTCTTATTAGGTCACGCGTGGAGAACAGAATTCCTACTGAAGATAATTGTAGAGTAAGAGTTGCCCTTCTAACATACTAAAGGCGTGGCATCCACTTCACATATCTTTGATGTAGTAAAGGTAATTCTATTTCTGTTTTCCTAGTTTCCTCATGAACATCTTCATCGCTGTTTTAGAGATTGATGTGCTGCGCTGCGTCTCGTTTCCTTGATCGCTATATGGATCAATCTGACTGCCGATAATGCCAATCAAATATGGCAATCTGATAGCATCAGGACCAGCAACTCAGAGCTCTATTGCGACGGTATTGTTTGCGGGTGGTTGTTTTAATTAGCGATAAGTGGTCTAGTGTGATTAGTCAGCACCAATGCAACTCCAAGCGCATCTGTTGTTCATCGAACTTCGTCCCTACTTACCCTATAGTGATCAAGCGAAACCCCAGCAGCCTCTACGACTAGCATCAGGAAGTGCCTTATGTGATCACGCCTATCATACTTGTGGTCACCTCTTGGATTGCTTCAGCGGCGATATTTTCAGTGGTGCAGTCTCACTATCAACTATCGCTTCCAAACCTCACAACCCTCGATCCAGTATCTTAATCCCAAGACATCACTTCAACAATACTCAACACCTGAACAACAGGTTGCGCAAAGCACAATTGAACCAAATCCTGGCCAATAACAGTGCTTGAATTACTTCCTCCCTAGTAAGCGCAGACTGCAGATACTCCACTAAAGTATCAAGACTCCGTATCCTAGCTTGGACACTTCGCGTTTACTATGAAATCGCCTGAGTAAGGTACGTCATCTACCATATTTCCTAACGTCTGTTATTCTCTCTATTAGATCATTTCATCTTCATTCTTTTCATGTTTACTCGTTCCAACTGCCCCGCTACTTTTTTCCTTATCATGGTCACTTCACAGCACCTCTTTGTTTGGAAGCACTTAACTTGTCGGCGCATTGAGAAGAGCGCAGCTACACATTCCCTCCCGTATGCTTAAAGCTTTGGTGTTCTCTGCCGCCATGTTGGCGATTTCTATCATGACCTTGTTACTCACGTGAAGGCGCAGGTCAAATACCAGACACAGGAAGGTGGCCTGGTCACGTCAGGCACCGCCGGCGCCATGGATGACGAAGACTTTATCATGGGAGATGAATCTGTATTGGCGACTACAGAAGTGAATGGCAACCACTTGGCAAACACAGTTGATCCATCGAAACTTGCGCTGCGCGACAATCTTGAGCCGCGCTTCTCACCCATTAAAGATGAATTGCCAATCCTGAGCCACGGCGAATTAACTCATGCATATACACATCCAATTCCCACCGACTCGTCTGATACTGGGTCACTGTTTAACGGACCTCCTGTAGCCAGTCGAAGTAGGGATACCTCGCCAGATATGGAGACTGATGAGATGGATGTGACATCCACTACGTCGTCCTACGTACAGGTTCGCGTACCTCCTCCCCCGACATTTCCTCCATTGTCGTATTCCTCTTCCAAGACTGGACTGGTGTATGATTCGCGCATGAGGTTTCATGCTGAGCCAGTAGCACTGATGCTGAATCAAAATGACATCCATCCGGAGGATCCTCGCCGTATTCACGAGATTTTTGAGGAGATCCGCGAGGCCGGCCTTGTCCAAGGTCCTGAGGACGACGAAGAGTCGTCGCAACATGAGCAATGCTGGAGAATTCACACACGACCTGCTACTAGGGGCGAGATTTGCCTCATACATACTCCGGAACACTATAAGTTTGTAGAGTCTTTACAACGTGAGTCAGCCTCTCGGACCGACTTCCTATGATACTAACTCTGCCTCTACAGACAGATCAGAGGAAGAGTTAGGAGAGCTTTCGAGTGGAATGGACTCCATCTACTTTAATAACAGCACATTTGACTCCGCAAGGCTTGCAGCTGGTGGTGCCATCGAAGCATGCAGGGCCGTGGTTCGTGGAGATGTAAGGAACTCCATCGCAATCATCCGTCCACCAGGACATCATGCGGAGTGCGACCAACCATCAGGCTTTTGCATATTCAACAACGTCCCCATCGCCGCGAGAGTATGCCAGGAGAACTTTCCGAATGAGTGCCGGAAGGTGCTAATTCTGGATTGGGATGTGCATCATGGAAACGGAGTTCAGCATGCCTTCTATAACGACCCAAATGTTTTGTACATCTCCTTGCACGTCTTTAAAGGTGGAAAATTCTATCCTGGTATGCCGGACGCTGATTATAACTACTGCGGTGACGGCCCGGGAATAGGGAAGAACGTCAATATTCCGTGGGATGAGCATGGAATGGGAGATGCGGAATATATTTATGCTTTCCAGGAAGTGGTCGTTCCCATTGCCAGCGAGTTCGATCCTGATCTTGTCATCATCTCTGCCGGATTTGACGCCGCCGAAGGAGATCTTCTAGGAGGTTGTCATGTCACGCCAGCCTGCTATGCGCACATGACCCATATGTTAATGCGTCTAGCCCAAGGCAAGATTGCTGTCTGTTTGGAAGGAGGGTACAATCTTCGGTCTATTGCACGATCGGCATTGGCAGTCACACGAACCTTGATGTTACAACCGCCTGATCGACTTGCTGAAGACCTTGGTCCTCCCAAAGAGAGCTGTGTCCATACCATTGAGCAAGTTAAGCGCGAGCAGTCGAAGTACTGGAAATGCATGTTCCCCAAACATCTGGAGAAGAACACTCCGACTTCCGATGCTACGCGACGATTGCACGAAATCATTCGGGAGTGGCAGTGTCGAACATTGGCAGAAGAGCATTCGATGCATCCTCTGACCATCAAGCGATCTGGGATCTCGGAGACATTTCAGTATAATGTCATTGCAACGTAAGTAATTCCAGTTTCATTGGGACTACCAAAATTGACAACCACCAAGCCCACATTTCATGGAAGCTCGCCCGCTTCTGGTCATCTTCCATGATCCTCCCGGAGTCATGAATATGGTCGATCCGATGACGGGAAAGACTGAGTTACATAATACATGGCTGGTAAGTCTGTGTAGTCATTCATAGTGCATCCGCTGACCGCGGATCAAGACTGATGTCTCTAAGCGGTATATCGATTGGGCTATCGCAGAAGGGTTTGAAGTCATCGATGTGAATATCCCTAAAATAGTTGACATGGAAGATGTGAGTGTAGTACGAGCGGCTCTCACACCTTACTCGACTAATGGCACGACAGGATGACGGTGGCCTCGTTGAAGCCGACAGTCCCGAGATGCGAGGGCAGCAAACAAAAGAACTTGCGACTTATCTGTGGGAGAACTACATCGAGTGTGTATCGTCAACAGGTGGAGTTAAGCTGTAACCTAACTTTCTCGCAGACCCCACGATGCTACGCAAGTATTTCTCCTAGGCATTGGCGCTGCATATCTCGGACTCGTGGATATGCTCAGTATCCATGGTAAGGTCCCAAAATGCGACCATAGCATGTGGCACCTACTCACTCGCTATAGAAAACTCCACGGATCCCGATACCGGAATCCAATACATTATGGGCTTCGTCGCGCAAACACCAATACACTCAATTAAACGATCAACGGACGACAACATCGGCAACTGGTTCTATGCGGTAAGTTCCGAGTAATGGTCATGGCTTGGCAGAGAACAATGCTCACATCATCCCCCGAAGCACTCGTCGGTATTCGTGGCGAATAATCACCACGTCTGGGACCCCAATCGAACGCGGAAGATACGGCGAAAGTACGGCAAGCTCAAGAAGTCGGACCACAGCGACCTGAACGAGATGCTTGCCGAGCACATGGAGGAAGTGCAAGCGATCCTACTCGAGAAGAAGACAGCATACGAACTCGAGATGAAAGAACTCAGCATGGCCGCCGAAGAGGAAGAACATAAACTTGAACAGCAAGACCAACCGCTGCGGAGCCCGCCTCTACCTAGTGAGTTCGCCAGCCCCCGGGTCAGCGACATCGATGTTCGCCCGTCGTCCAACGGGGGAGCAGCAGCAGGAGGCAGAGCAACGCCTTTAAGGAGTCCCAGACTGTCGTCCCAGGGCCCACAGCTCGGTTTCTTCTCTGTGCCGAGCACTAGCAGTCCGCGGAGCCCGAAGAGCCCAATGAAGAGAACCTTCTGAAAGAGGAAGATTGATAGAGAAAGTATGGAATCGTAGCTCTCTGTTCCCCTTCGCTCGGCGATTTCTTTTCCCATTTCCCTAACCTAATCTAGCATTGCGAGGCGTTTCGCGGTGCTGTGCTATGCTATGCCCTGCGGCGGTGCGGTGCGGTGCGTTGCGGCGTAGTGCAGTCTCGTTTCCTCTCTCCGTATGCCTCTCTCTCTCTCTCTCTCTCTTTCCCTACCTATCCATCATCATCCCCCTTCCGACCAGAAGCCTCCATCCCTCCACCAACCAACCAAACCCTTCGAAATAAAAATCTCCAAAAATCCATCTTGTCTACTGAGTCGCACACGCACGCCCAGGCCCACTCCAGACGGCCTAAAAAACCGCGAGTCGCAGCCTCTTTTTTTCATCTTACGTTTTCGGAAAGAATTCCCAACAAGTCAAATTTATAGGTAACCCCGCTCGTCGTTCCTCGCGTCTTCCCGACTGGGAACCGTATGGACGGACAGACAGGGAGGCACGGGTCAAGGCAACGGACAGGAGGGAGGAAGGGGAGGGAGTAATTGAGAGAGAAAACAGGAGGGTGTAAACATAAACATAATTTAGGTACCTTAACTACCCAATGCCAATTTCGAAGTGTGATTCTTGTGACGTTCTTGATCTTGGTTGTGATGATAGAATGAATGAATGAATGAACGAATTAGGGTATAAAAGCTACGTCCAAATGTAGTAAATCCTCCTCGCCTCGTGACGAGTGTGCTGTGTACAACGCATGTCCTCCTCCTCCTCCTCCTCCTCCTCCTCCTCCTCCTCCCCACAAATATTGCTGGAAGAAAAAAAAATTCTCGATTGACAATCCTCTGATCAGTCAATTCGTTCCATTTCGTTTTTTTTTTCGCTTTTGGGGAAAATGAAAAGGAGAGGATGGGGGCGTAAACAGCACCGCGCCGCACAGCAATACACACTAGCCACACAGAGAGTAGGTCTTCATGCGAAAGGCGGAATATGAACGGGATATTGTCTTCTTCGAGTGTTATACTATTGAATACAGACATTGTCCATTTGTTCAATCATGCTGCGCTCTACTGTCTCGTGAAAAATATACGCTACTACTGCTACTATTGGAGAACGTGAAAGCGGTCAACCTTCCTTGAAAACTAACCACGGAAAGCTAACAGGAAACATCACCATTCCTCCTTCCTCTGTACTTTAGTACCCGTATTGCTTTTCAGCCTCACGGCCCGTGTCTTCAGCCTTCAGCCTCATTCCAATAGCGGCAGGTCTCAATCCACATCGCGACTGTGGGATGTGAGATGTGGATACCGGTACGCCTGAGGGACCACCATACCACATTTCGCCCTCTGGTTTACCATGATTAACATTACCATCACGCACCGCAGCAACTACTTGTAGTAGTTTTATTGTTTTTCTAGAGCTGAGTGCCTAGCTTGGATGATTTATCTAGGAAGGTCAACGGGTGCGTCTTCTGGGCGGAGATTTGTTGTCGTTCGTATCACCAGCGTTCGTTCCTTGAAAATTGTACTGTGTACCTAAGAATATCTATTACGATAACCGGGAGAATCGTTATATCTATGTACATGAACACTCGTACAAACATCTCCCAACCCACCTCACCTCACCTTATCTCAATTCTCAAGTCTCTCAAAAAAACAAGCAACGAGCGTCCATGTCCTCATCCCTCGCCGCAACCCATCAATCCTCACTTGGCCCCCAAACACCATTCCACTCCACTCCCCTTCCCTCCACTCCTTCCCAACTGACAAACCAACAAACCAACAAACCAGTCAGCTACACGGCGTGGCTAGCTGGCTAGCTGGCGATGTGGGTACAAACACAGTCATTCCATTCCATTCCAGTCGGTTCTCACTACACACTACTCAGCAGTAAAAAGCAGTAAAAAGTGCGTACTGTACCTAACACATACATGCTCTCGAAAACCGGCTACGGCGTAGGTATCTGTGTTATGTCTAGTGCTTGTGAGTTATGGTGGCCTTACTATACTCATTTGCTTTCCAGATAGTTACTACCGTGCATTACCAAACAATCCACGGAATCGTGATGTATACATGTTACTACGAGAATTGAATGGATGTTCTTTGTCTGATGCGCTCAAAAGAGCGGGAGATAACCATTCAACCATCCCGCTCCTGCAAACCACGTACCAATCGCATGAACAATGCCATCCCTTTCTAGCTACCTACCCCATAAGTACATAGCTACCCGCAGTCTCGCACGACAACTCGTCCATCGCCTGTTTGCTTGTGAGCGTCTGTGCGGTGGGGGGCGCGCTATACCGCATCGCGGAGCTATGGGACGAAAAGTCAATGCTTGGTTTGTGGTAATGAGAGATGGGAATCCTGATGAACTTCGAAGCCGAAGTCGAAGTCCACTTTCCTGTGATTAGGTATTGTTGGGGCTTGTTTGGACGTGTAGGTAGTTAGCCTGGGTGTGTGATTTGAGAGACCTGGGTGGCGGTGCTGTGTGCGGTCGCGGTGCGAGGCTGCGACGCAACAAACGGGATGGTGACTACACAGTATAGAGGTGGTGTAGAGGGTAGAGTGGGAGGAGGGGAGTTGGGCGGTTGCGTATCGACAGCGTATGTAAGTATGGGGAGCACGACATTGGGGCCGAGATGCTGGGTCAAGATCAAATGTATGTTTTTCTATCTGAGGGGGGGTGTTTCTTTATTTAATTTGGTTTGGGTGTTGCTGTTCATGATAAGTTTGCATCGATAAGGTAGCACGAGGGAAGTGAACATGTGGTGTGTGTGTGTGTGTGTGTGTGTGTGTGTGTGTGTGTCTGTGTCTGTGGAGTATATTTATTACCTGCTGTAAGTAACTACATATGCAGTACAGAAGGTACGACGTTTGGGATAGATATATGAGAATGTACGAGGATCTAAATGTAAGATTTGCCATACCACCTCAAGACCTGCAAGGCGAAAAGACCGTTTGCCTTCTCCGGGATTAATGTTTATTCACGGCATTTATCTGTTGGTGTTGTCGAGTCTCTCGAGATGCGGGGGTTTTTATTTATGGTATGCCAGGTATGGATTGGGCTGTGTTTATGTGCAGCGCGCAGGACGGATGCAACGGCAGGGGTGGCACCGTGGTGCAATGCCTTTTGGCGGCCTAGGGCTGACATGATGTCTGGCGTTGTGTACTGTGGTGGCATTTCAGGATCCAGGGATCCTTCGCCGCAACCGCACATGCACGGGCGATACCATTGCCTTGGACTTGCTACCATTACGGGAGGTGGACCATCTGGTGCTTGCTTTGCTGGCCTTTGGGAGAAAAGAGTTTATTCCAGGATGCGCATGCATCCATGCGTACAGTGCGGGTGAGATTTTGGGGGACCATGGTATGTAGGTATGTGATTTAGTTGGATGATTTCCTGATCCGCCTGTGGTCTCCATTTCTTTCTATTTCCTCTCTCGCTCACACGTATATTTCCTTTCATGGTTCTTTGGTGACTGCTTCCAATTTGGTTTGGTTCTTCCTCTTCGACTTTCCCGACCCGAAGACTTGAAACGAAACGAAACGAAATATCATTGTTGGCTTCGACTTATCGGCCCTTAAGGAATACTTTCTGGAGAACGGAAAAGGGAATTGCATCATCCGGGCCCAGTAATAGTAATTCGACGGAAGGCACATCGCAGAGATCAATATGGTCCGATTCGTGTCGATATCAATCGCACACTTCCTCGTCGGCGCCGCTCGAGCTCAGTTCATCACCAGCGCAGTTGCACCACGCCCGTCAGAATTGACGTCGGCAGTAACAGAGACACCGACATTGTCATCGTTGGAATCATTAGTGACCCCATTTCCGTCGGCGTTAACGAGTTCGAGTTCGAGTTCGAATAATGGTGTTCACACGGTCGTCGTTGGGAGGAACAACTTCAGGTTCGAGCCTCAAGAGTTGAAGGATGTAAAGGAGGGCGATGTTGGTATGTTTTCCCCCATCATCCCCTATTATTGACGAATTGCCCAGCGACCAGACTAACTCTTTTCTTCTCAAGTGACCTTTGAGTTCTACCCTCTTGACCACTCCGTGGCTAGGGCCGAGTTTGGAAGTGCTTGTGTTCCCTACGAGTACACTGGGAATGGTAAGGTCGGATTCTGGTCCGACTGGCAGAACCTAACGGACGTCAATAATGTAAGTCGCCGTATACGCCGTTGAGAATCTTGGAAAGAAGAATCAAGCAAGAGTTCTTTCTGATCCAGACTTTGAAGAAAAGGAACAACAGCTGACGTGAAGAAAATGAATAGCCGAAGATATGGAATCTCACCATCAACTCCACGGAGCCGATCTTTTACTATTGCGGCGCGCCTGGTTCATGCATCAAGTACGTAATCAACTATCATTCTATCCTGTTATAGGAGGGTGCGAGGCCATGTTGTGCCATATCGCTGTCTCCTGTTGGTTGTTGTAGTAGCCCTACACTATGGAACGGCGTTGCATGGCGTGGCATAGTAGTCGCAACGAGTTAGCATTGATGCGATTGAGAACGTAAGCTAACAGTCTGGTGTTGCAGTGAGCAGATGGTAGGAGTGATCAACCCGAACGGGACGCAAACATTGGCAGCTCAAATCAAGGCTGCTGCGGATGCGGATTTCATGGTCAGGCCCAACGAGGACATCCCACGTGAAGGCACGGTGAGCTTGCATACGCCAGGAGAGACAGGGACGCCAAACAGCAACCACGAGCAACCCCATGGGCACAAATTGTCCGGTGGAGCAATTGCAGGAATCGCTGTTGGAGGAGTCGTCTTTCTAGTCGTTGCCGCCGCGTTGTTCTTCTTCGTTGGGCGGGCGAAGTCGCTCAAGGAGGTTCTGAGGAACAAGGAGGCAACGGTGAACAGGGTCGAAGGCGGCGGCGCAGGCCTCCCTGATATGCCTGGATCGCCGTACAATGGCCCTTTCTCGCCAATGCAACAGCAACAGCATCAGCAACAGAGGTTTTCAGAGTACGGCGGGCTGCCGGCGTATGGCCAACACCACGCTACCGACTCTCATCCGTCGGGATGGACAAGTCCGCAGATGGGACACATGTCGATGGCGATGTCCCCAGGACAACAGTGAGTAGAGCCCCACCCCTTACTATGGATCAGAGATAGCGGTAAAACACTAGACGTCGATTATATCAGATGCTAACGAACGGCGATTTAGACCAGCAGATAATAAGCCTCAGCACCAATACGCACCAGTGGAGATGCACAGCCCAGAACCTCGACCTGTCCAGCAGCACATCACTGCTGAATTGGAAGCACCAGTGAGGCCACCGGGGCAGAACTAGGGGGAAGAGAGTCAGTATGAGAGTTTAGAAAAGAAGCAGGATAGGTCGTCCAGCAGTGAGGCGAGACGGAAATGATCAGAAGGAGACTTGATTTGCTCAAGAGAGTTTGGTCCAGGAAAGGACGAAGGAAGAACTCGTAGCAGTAGTTGCAGATGGTGCAATTAGGCTACGACGAGGTAATCCATGTGCCCTTCCAATAACGGTAGTTACCCTGCCACGTTGGCACGAATCCAGACAGGCAGACAGGGAGATATGGGGACAGACGATTTCAGATCTCCACCGAGATGCGGTTGAGAAAGATTGGGGTTGTCAGGTGTTCTCTTACTGTTTGTGCTAGTGCATCGGACCGTTGTAACTTGTGGGAGACGAGATGGGATATTTAGCGCACACGTGGGTGTTTGATTCGGATGGAGATTGGATGGTAGAGAAGGAGGTGGTTGGTGGTTGGCGCTAGGGGAATGCGGATGATGGACCTCTTCGTGTCGTTTTGATCTGTACACAGTAAGGTTTGGGTTTTGTACGAGGTAGATACTTTGAGTACTTACTCCGTATCTACATGCTCGGTAGGGGAAGAGTGGAAACTGTGAGGTCGAGTTCAGACGAAGATGGATGCACGTATGTATAGTTTGGGGGCGGGGATTGCAACCTTGTTTTTGCCCTCGAATACCTTTGTAAATAGATAGTAATGCTCTTCTTCTTATCATATTTCATTATCATTCCCTCATCCGATGGCGTTATGGTATGAGGTTATGAGCCAGCCACCACGGGGTAATACGAGCTTTCTACTCATACACAGTATGTTCGCACGTGTGACAAGAGTGTACTGGAAGGCGGTACGGTGGTGGTGATCATGATATAGTTCCAGGTCGGAAAGTTGGTCTTGTAGTGGAGAGAAATATAGATTCAACATGGTGATTGTCCAGGCATACATTGTCTTCGGTGGTGGTGTTTATCTTGGTGAAGCACTATGTATCCTATCTATTCGTATCCATTGGGTGGTTGTGCACTGTCGTCATTGGCGCTGTTAGCGATACAGTAGTAGTAAGGTGGGGAGTTAAATACCAGTATGTACTAGGCATGTACGAACAAATACTCGTAGGTAACTACATACATCGATACAGCTCATTAATTACTCGTATTGTAATTGTCCCAAGATGCCCACGACTCCGCGAGGCCTAGGTTGACAGTGGACAACAAAGGGGATCATACTAAGGCCTGCGCTAGGCTCTGAACGTGATATCGACTGGCGAATACGTGCCGACAATACGGAGTAAATGGAACAAGTTCTCCGGCCTATTGCAATAATGGTGGTACTCGTAGTGATAGCGACAGTGATTAGTTCATTGATGAAAAAGAAGACGAGGACTTGTGTAACGAGTGTAGCAGTAAATACTACGAGTAGTTAATGGTTCGTGATTGGAAGGATGCAATTGGTCGGGCCGTCCGTTCCGATTGGGACCATGAGTAGGAATAATGGGGGAAGATGGTGACGATGGCAAAGATGGCGAAAATAGGCAACACGCAGGTTGGTCGAGATGAAATTGGACTGACCGGCGGGATGTCGTGATTTGATTCTACCTAATTATACAGTAGTATGGCCGAGCGAGCGAGCCTGGAGCAGCCTGAGATGAAAGCCAAGGAGGCAATGAATCAGCCGGTCGAGTCACTAGGTACGAATGTATGTGTCTACATAGCCCAGGCTACCTACACGGCTTTGGATGTGCATTTACATTTGGATATGCGCTCGCCATAGCTACTAAAAGCAATGTTGGATTAGTGAACGTATGTATGCTATAAAAGAGTAGTCGACATGTTCGACGACAGATGCGAGGGACGGATGGATACAGCCAGTAACATTAACCAATTAGTGTACGGAGTAACTGCACAGTAAGACCAATACAAGGCGACGAGATCCGGGATAAGTGGCCGTGAAAATCTCTTCGGAGAATTCGTCTTTTATGCGTGTGTCAGTCAATGCAAGTTGGGCTATCGTTTCCTTTCGAACCCCTCCGAGACACCCAGATGGGCACAAACACAGCACTAGCCGGGGTTTGGTGGGGGGGGGGGAAAGAGGTAGACTGATTTTTTCTTCTCTCTTCTCTTCCTTTATCGTCGTTTGCCTATACGTATCTATCGTGTTTGGGGTTTGCACTGTGGAGGAGACCCACGAGAGTAGAGGGACGAGTAAGGCAGGTAATCTGCCATAGTGTCACTGGGAGTGGAAGTGGATGCGGAGGTGGAGGTGTAGATAGTTACACAGTAGGTAGAAAGAGGTAAGGGGGTGGGACTGTCACTTTTGGAAGGGTACATAGATAGGTACATGTAGTCAATAGATATTCATACCAGGACATAAGTACCAAAGATACAGTGTAGGTGTAGATGAAGATACAGTCAGGTTCGTTCTATAGGTGCGAGGGAGTTGACCAATGACAGGAGGGGAATGTAACACGGGGAAAGCAAATCCTCCATCATTGACGAACAAAGTGCACAACCCACTTTCGGAAGAAAAGCCCATCCTGTGTCTGTGTACCTTCATTCATTCATTACCACCACTACCACTACCACCATCACCACGACTAATACCACTACCACTGTACTATTATTACAATTACTACACTAATAACTACTACTTCTTTCTCGCATCCTCCTCTCACTTATGTACACTCATCCATCACCACCGCCGTTACTCCATACTTCCTCCTCTACTAACCATCACCATCCTCTTCTTCCTCTTCCTCTTCCTCTTCCTCTTTTTCTCCACCTTCGCCTCTCTTGACCACAGACCACATCCCACATCAAATGACCTATCCTCCTCTCGTCTCTTCTTGCTCTCTTCGTCTTCGTCCTTGCGCCCTGCATTCTGCTATGCCAACAACCAACACTGGGGCTCTTCTCGACTGGGCTTGCCACTAGTCCTTTTATCGTCAACTTCCTCTTCCGACGACCCACGACTCGCTACGGTACCGTACTCTACTACTTGTACTCTAACTCAACTCTACTGCTCCTCTCGCTTTCGTTCCCGCAACTCCACCACCACCGCATCCTCCTCTACCACCACCGCTCTATACCCTGCCTGCGTGTGCGCTCCTCCTCCCTCCTCGCCATGCTCACATCCTCTCCCACAATCTCTGCGCCTTCGTCTCCTTCCGCCACCTTTCACACACACGCTCGCTCGTACCATGCCTCGCGCCGTACCTCGTCTTCAATTACCGCTCCCTCTCCGCGCTTCCTGCCCCAGGTGACGGCATCCTCACCAAGGCGCTCCGATCAGCAACAACAAAACAACACCAATAACACCAATAACAATTCCGTAGCCTCCGTCCACATCTTGACCCGATCGCCGAGAATAAGGAAGAGGGAATACGAATATACAGACTCCGGCACCCAATATACACCTCCCGATTACCCACCTACATATCGGCCGCAAGCTGCCCAAAAGCTTCCCGCCATAGATTTGCCCGCTGCGCCCACTTCTGTCCCCTCTCCGCGAACGCAAGCCGAGATTATCCCCGCAACCGCTGAGCAGAGGGCTTCCTCTGCGCAAGCCGAAGTCACGGAGCCCCCAGAGCCTCAATTGCGGATAGATCCGCAGCCCCCAGCTACCCCGCAACAACAGCAACAGCAGACGAGTCGATCCGCTAGGAAAACACCAAAGGAAATCCCCAGATCGAATGACTTGTCGGATGATGCGCAGGACGAGCCGGAACGAGGTGTCGAGACGCCATTGTCCCCTGCTAAGAGGTCACGGCCTCAAAATCCTAATGTGAAGGTCATGCCACTGAAGTACGAAACCTGCGATGTCAAGGATTTGGGTATTTTGATATCGGATATGTTAATGGAACTGGTCCGCCTAAATGACGGCTTTCCGCTTCGCGATGGGCAGCTCACCAGGTTTCATTCAAGGTTAGTATAGCAAAATGTCAAGCATGCATTTTTTCCCCAGACATGACGCTAACCATGCGACCTATGCAGGGCTCCCCCAGGCATCTCCGTCCGCGATTATCTCTTCCGTCTCATTGCACATGCGACTCTTTCCCCTCCGATTTTGCTCTCAATGGTGTTCTATGTCGATAAACTCTGTACCATGTACCCCGCCTTCACCATCAGCAGCCTTACGGTTCATCGCTTCTTGATCACCGCCGCTACCGTGGCTGCCAAAGGGCTCAGCGACAGCTTTTGGACCAACAGTCTATATGCGAAGGTGGGAGGCGTCAGTCTACGAGAACTCGCTTTGCTCGAATTGGAGTTCCTCCGGAAGCTCGATTGGCGCATAGTCCCAAAACCCGAGACTCTGGTGGATTATTACAAAGGGCTAGTCGAGAGAGGAGAAGGATACGTGATGGAGAAGGAATCAGAAAGTTCGCCAGCGAGCAGTCCGACTTTACCGAGTCAACAACAAACAAACCTCCCTTCGGACGGTTCGAAGGTTGCAGATCCATTGAACCCAGCTTAATCCCGGAAGAAACACGAGAGATCGACAAATAATTATCCCTGCATACAATACGGCGCCGGCACCGAGTCCGCTGCCCACATGTTCAACGAGGGGCTAGCTTGCAGAAGACTCACCTGCCAAAGGTGTTCAGATATAGTCCAGAGACCAAGCTGTGGTATTGAGCAACCTCTGCAGCCTGTCGGAGAAAGCAATAGCAGTCTCAATGTTGGATTTGCTTGACTTCACAACATTGCGAGCTCAGTCATCAAAGTGCAGCACTGGCACCAACACCAGCACTCAGCTCAGTGGTGCAAGAGCAATGTCCGATAGAAGCTTTTGATAACATGCTGCTACGTGGTATATCTATATCAAATTCCGCCATTCCTGTAGCATACGGATACTCTTCAACGTGCACAGAGTTGATGCGTTGGCGAAAGTCCTAGATAGCCAAACACCAATAAGGTGGAAGGCGTAGAGAGGAACATTGTTCAAACAGACCTTCGTCGGCGAATGACTCGAGGCTCCACGTGTCGTTCACGACCGCAGCCTCTCATTAGTCGTTGTCATGCAGTTATGACGATGCGGATTGTATAGAAGACAGGCGTTCAGCAGGGCGTTTGGGGATGGGTTGCGGCCTGATGGAACCGCATCAAGCAACATCGTCAGGTTCTGGTGTTGGGAGTATTTTTCCTTCTGGCTGCTTACGGCCATGTCTTGGGCATATGCATAGTTTTGGCGTTGGTGCGGATGTGGTTGCATCATTCCGAGCAATATCATTCGAGTGTTCATAGGGATAGGATTGCTTCTGTTGTGGTAGGATCCACACTGCACACCTATCGGCAGCATTGCAGGAGACGCAGTACATAGTAACTAAGGCATGTATTGTATGTAGAGTGCAGGAGAGGGGCACGCATGGTGGTCTGAAAGTGGTATATTGGTAATGATTGGGTACATGTCCCTAGCAACGTGACAATTGGAATCGGACTAGATATTACAGCCCCCTTGGAAGATGTGCTCTTGAGTGCTTCGAATGCTGCGAGTGCTTCCCAGCGTTGATGTGCTGGACAAATCATATCCATGCAGGCCTGACGATAAACAAACCAACCCCTCCCCCGCTAAAGAGCAAGTCTGGGTTATCCGGACGTCCACGTCTTTCACGAAGAGTAACTGAAGACAGTCTTACCACTTTCTCTGGCTAATTCTATGCGTTCTTCGAGAAATCAACGCCCTGCAGGTCGCAAGCCGGACAGCAGCGATCAGGGCCAGCTCCCAAGTTGTAGGGAGAGCATGGGAGACGTCGGTGGTCCATGACTCCATCATAGCAACTTATGGTGGAGGATGCGCCAGCCATGATCACCGAGCGATCCCACCTTTGGGCCTCTGGGAATCGCATCGCATCGCTTCCAACTCTCAGTCCCTCTATTGTATCCCTCTATTCTCTTCTGAGTCTCCACTCTACACTAATACTCCACCCCCACGACCCCTCCGCGCCTGTGGATTGAACTTGGGAAAGCCGTCTTCACTACAGACTACTCTATCACACACTCCAAAGGTCGTGTGAGCCATCTCTACCCGTGGTCGTTGCCAATCCGGACTAGAACAGACATCCTCTCAACACCATCCCCAAAGCGCACGTGGTTGCCCATCTCATCGGCGGCTCCAGCGTCAAGTATCATGAAAGTGAGTTGCGCTCCTCCCCCTCGACTGTGTCGTCCGCTTCATTCAAAAGATGCCCCACGCCGTTGCCCGAGTTTCCTCGTACAATATACCCACCTGGTCTTGCTTCCAAGATCCACCGGCGGTCCCCAAACGTTGCACACATCGGCGCTTGCTGTTCGCGCTCTACACTCCGCGCGCAGTCTGCCCCTCATGTTGCTCACATCGCTAATATGACAACAACATCCAGTTTCGTCCACGACCGGTATGATTATAGAGACATGAACTCGGAGATTGCCCGTTGGGAACCCCTCAACCGGCACCAGCACCAGAACGATGGGAATTGGCCCCATCTACATCCAGCGCCGGCAGCCATAGAGGTACGCGCAGCCCTTCCTTTCCCTTTGTCCCCTCCGACGTCAACAAACCTCCCCGGACACGCTTCCCCCCGCAACGCAACACAACGCCACGAACTGACAAGAGCAATCAATGGAGCAGCAGGCGCAATTGCCAAAACCCCACAAGACGAGGACCACCCCCGTAACCACCCGCACAAAGATTACCCGCCATGGCTCGCAACCACGCCCCAGCCCGCAACGCCCCACGTCGAGCGGCGGCGAGATCATGCTACCGTATCGCGGAGTCACGCGACGAGCGGATTCCTACTCACAGCCCACGCCGCTCGAGGAGTTCCGGAAATTGAGACGCTGGCCGCCGAACTACTTCCGCCTGGATGGTGAACTGAATCAGAAGCAGGCAGACGACTTGATTTGTGCGGGCGCATCTACCTTTAAGGGATACTGGGATGAGATCACGAATGCCCCGCCGGGTTATAACCGCTACTATGCCGTCATGAGCTCCGAGCATCAGGGTCGGACGGATCGAGCGACCTTCAAACACGCTGCGTACAAGGACATCTCACTGAACCTGACGGGGGCCGCCGAGAGCCAATTCCCATGGCTTTCGCTCGACCAGCCTTGTATGGGATATGCGTTCGGCAAGAGTGCAGGCACGATAACGTTCAACTACTGGGTCAGCAAGGCCGGGAGCAGCGATCCCCCGACGAAGTTTGCGGGCGAAGTGAAGCCGCGGAAGCTGAAGCTGCTGCAGATCCTGGACCGCCTGCAGCAGCTCGAAAGTGGCCTTGATGAAGTCAGTCGAGACCCCTTGCGCTTGACCGTGTGATTGATTTCTTGCTACATTATTTGGACCATTTGACCTAACGTTTGGTGTCACAGAACCCCGACGAGCTGTACCGATATCTCTACAGCACGCTCATAGAGGATCCGGACCGATATAGTACGAAGGCGCACTTCGGAATGGAACAGCAGATTTCCGACCTCATCGCAGTCCTGACGCATCCAATGTGGATAGATTTCTCCAATCCAAAGAACCAGGTCGTGGCCAAGTTCTTCGATTCCCCGGATCAGCAAAAGAAGCAGGAATTCCTCCACCAACTGTTGCTCTCCGTCGAGCTCTACCTCCGGATTCATTCGAACAAGCACTCGGAGAAGGCCAAACGGAAACTAATGCTACAGCTCCCTCCACCCATCGCCTGGAACTTAGCCGTCGCGCAGAGATGGCTAGAGCACATGACGGTGACGAAATCACGCACGTCGCCGGGCCAGAGCACATTCAGCTTTGACATGAAGAGCAAGAAGCGGCAAAAGGATGCGCTCCACCACTTCGCCGAGGTCCTGAAGTGGCCCAACATGGACGAGATCGAATACGTGCTAGAGGAGCTCGACAGACACGAGAAGCCGCTCGAGGACCGCTCCGCCGACGCAATGTCCTGGTTCTCAGGCCTCGTCCTTCCAGGCAGGACACTGCCCTGGCTCATCATGAACAGTCTGATCGATTGCGACCGAGACACTGGGGATGCCCTCAAATACCTGACCCACATGCAGCCCGCGACAGGATTCCAATATCGAGCAAACACCTACTGGTCCTCGCAATCCATCGTGGGAAAGGTTCTAGGCGCCGCCCGCGGCGTCCAACAGATAGCAGGCTGGATCGGCCCCTGCATCTACACGCCAGATCTGAAGCGCACCGAATGTGTCCGCCTCCGGCAGTACCAAAGCCTGGATCCGCGGCTCCTCCCCAAGGACGTAGAGAGCATGGACATACGGACCAATCCTCTGGGACCCGAAGACGTCGCATATCCGATCGCCGACTACGAGGTCCCCATCCCAGACACAGAAGACGTAACAGACCTGATCCGCATGGAGAAGCTGAGCTTCGTGCCCACCAAGGAACAACCAACGAGCCGTCAGGGCCCCGGTGCTCCCTTGCTCTTCGATGCCGCGATCTGGTTCGCTTGCGGCGGCGAGAGCTGGCCCATGAAGCTGAAGTACGATGTCGAATTCATCAATGCGTTCCCCTGCCACCAGGGTCCTCACGGTACGTCTCTCCACCTCCCCAAATAAACCCAACAGCAGAACAATAAAACTAAACCCAACCCCGCAGTCCTCTTCTACGACTTCCAATACACCGCCATAAAGATCGACTCAGGCCTCGTCGACATCCACGACTGGGCCACCCAATCGGGCCTCTCTCCGCACCGCCTCCCCTCCCTCCGCTCCTCCCCGCCCTCCAAGAAAGCCTCCTCGGCCCTCACCCTCCTCTCGTCCCCCAACGCCCCCCACAGTTCCGACCCCAATGACCCCGAGTCCTCGTCGCCCGACGAGCTCGCGCACATGCAGGTCAAGAAAGTCCTGACCATCGAGGCCCTCGGCGTATCCGACAACGAGGTCTTCGCCCGCGCCTGGTGCGCCGACAGGGGCCACTCCGCCGTCGTGGCCAACGTCAACCAGACGTGCATGGCGTGCGCCATCCGCGAAGCCTACGCCGCCTGCGTCAGCGTCGTCATTCTCACCGAGGGCGGCAAGGCGAAGGAGAAGGACGATGACGTTGGGGTGCTGCTTGACGACGACGATGACTGATGACTGATGTATGTCTCACATTACAGCACATCAGTGGGTTTGGGATTGGACCTTGTTCGCTTTCTTTCTGTCTCATCCTGTTTCGAAAGGGAGTGGGCGTTCACATGGAATGGGAATGGGAATGGGGATATCGGTCGGTGTATGTTGGCGTTCCTTTCTAATTCTATTCTATCGTTTACCATGGGGATAGTGGAGTCAGTCACTTTTGGTTTTCGGGTCTCTTTTCTCACGTCACGGATGAGGGGAAGTGTGTTTTCCTTGTTTTTTCTTTTAAACAAAAAAACGTTTGCATATGCATACATACATGATAAACGAAGATAAAGATGAGATGAGGTAGGCGTATCATAGCATCATCAATCACATCACTGAACGAGCTGTAAAGGAAAGGAACGGAACGGAACGAATTATACGAATATAAACGAATTGCATGAATTAACTCTATATTATTTCTCGTCTGTATGTGCTTTGTTTCTCTTTTGTATTTTGTGTCAATAGCTTTTGGTATATGCATATATATATATATATATATATCATCACTAAGGTGGCTGACTGGGTATCATCAAACAGAAAAAGATAAAACCCTCACATCGAGTCCCCACCACTCAACGCGCTCTCAGAACGACGCCGCGACCCATCTCGCCGCCGCTGCTTCTCCGCCAGAATCTCCTTAGCCTCGCGCTCATGCAGGAACTCAATCTCGCCGTCGTCAGCGAGCTCGATGCCCCAGTGAATGTCGTCGTGCCTCGCGTCCTTGGATCGGAACCAGCCGAGGCGCGTTCGGAACGTCTTGTCGGCCCTTAGCCCGGACGCGCCTTTCTGCTGCGCAAGGCTTAGAAAGCGGTCGCTGCTCGCTAGCATGATGGCTACGTCTGCGAGGGTGTCTACGCCGCGGAGGAGGGGCGAGAAGTAGCGGTGCTTGTAGACGAGGATGAGGATGCTTGTGACGATGAGCCAGGCGAGAATCGCTATGCATGTCCACACGGCGAAGGCGGACATGCGGAGGGTTTCGATTTCGGTGGATATGGTGAGGGTGGCTTTTGGGTCGTGCATTGGAGACGCCTTGGAGGGTGCGCTGACGGTGTTGTCGTTACTGGGGCGAGGGACGTCTGATGGAAGTGTCTCGTCGGGCAACTGGAAGACACGATTGCCTAGTTGATACAAGTTGACGTTGCTGCTTGCAAAGTGCTGGAAGAAGGTTGTGAACGTCTTTTGCGCGGCATCTTCGAGCACCGTATGGTCAAGGAGGGCTTCGGGATTGTTTCCCGACTGTGAAAGCATGGCGTAGGACATGTAGTCGAGATTGAGACCCGGCCTCTTGATGTTGAATGTCTCGTCGGTGGACTTTTCTTCGCATTTGTAATGTCCTCCCAATGAACCCTGACAACCTCCGATCATGTCGAGTTGCGCAGCGTTCAGAAGAGATTCCACGAATATGTGTCCAAAGCTGGTTGTGTAGTTGTAGGTATAATCGTACTTATTTGGGTGGTCTGGGTGTCTAGATTGCTTGAAGTGGTCCGCCCATGCCAGGGCATAAGGCTTTGGCTCGTCTTTAATCGTGTAATTCTCCACACGGTCGGTGAAGGGATCGAGTACAATGCTAGCATTCGCTGCTTCTATCAACGGTTTACATGTCAATATCGACATTTTCGGTGGCTCTGGCCAGACGATCACATCGGTGGTCGTGTTTGTTGGAAACTTTTCGGGAGATGACCCATGAACCCATTTGATCGTAAAGTTCCGTGTATCCTCATATCGTACATGGTGAATGGGAGACCAGTAACCAACGGAAGCAAAGCCTGGCCGCAAGTCTGAACTGCCAGTACAGCATTTTTCAGGAAAGCCAGCAGGCAGCAGAGAGGTATACCAATCCAAAGGCTCACAAGGATCCAGACTGGACGTATTGAGGCGGAAGTTGATGGGAGAACCGTAACGGTCGCTGCTGCAACCAATCGTGTAACCCTGTTTCCAGGCCTTGGTAAGATCTGTCTGGTTCCATATGCCGTCAGTCATATTTTGCCTCGTGAGCCAGTTAGACTGGTCTAATTGTTGTCCGAGGGCCGAGCAATCCATTCTGGCACGGATGGCCGGGACATCGACAGAAACCTTCGATCCTGATTGAAGCGAGTCTGAGCCATTCTTGCGTACTCGATTCTTATTGTTGTGGGTTGCGTTCCAGGTTGTGACTGGAACAAAGCTCCAACCATCTTTGCTCCACACCGGCTCGGACGCGTTGAGCGACAGTTGGAGAGTAGCACTGTACATCCAGTTTGTCGTTAGATTCTCAAAGGTAGTTCCTACTATGATAGTCTTGAAACCTGAACCCTTGTAGCTGTCTCCGGAACTAAGATGAGGGACTTCTCGTAGTTGAAGTGTTCGCGCCACCTCTATACTGTCGAATTTGAGATCTGTTTCTCTTTGCCAGATAGCAGACATTGTGACAGTGACTTCTTCATTATAAGCTAGTTGCAGTCAATGGGAGGCAGATGCAGTACTCACATATCTGGGATAGCGAAGCCCCAATACAAACGAGGCCAAGCAGCCAATGTTTTCTGTGGATCGCCCTTGTAGCCGCCCAGGCCAAGTATGAGGACTGGTAGGAAAGCCCGCTACCTCTGGCGCTGGTAGTAGGTCGCTCGGCCATAGCAACGAACGGTTGTGCCATCCTAAAAACCGTTTCCAATGCCCCCCACCACAGTCCAATCAAAACAGCGAGAAGAGTCGGTATGACCGAATACGGAGCGAACCTGGCGAGTGGATCCTCTTCGTTACCAATGGTAACTTGGGTCATGAAGGAGCCGAAAAGTCCATATTTCTGCGAGTGATAGAAAAGTACAGCCATAGCAACTATGAAGATTCCGAGTACAATTGTCAAAAGTCCAGTCATGGGGGTAGATAGCATCATTGGCCTCCATCGTGCTTCAGAGTCTATGTTCGAGGCAACATGTTTGTGCGGGACGGCTTCCTCGCTCTTCGAATTATCGGCACTATTTTGGAGCAATCCAGTGGCTACTTTGAATCTCAAGTGGCTTAGCTCTGTCGAGAGTTGTTGTGAAACGGCACCAGGAACGCTTTGTAGTATTGCCTTTGTCTTTTCCTGGGTAGCAATGAGAGAAGCCACTGTATTCGTGAATGCCGGGTCCTCTGCTAGGCCGAGAGGTCGCCGATGGGAACGAGAGAACCAGAAGACCACGACCAAGAGACACACTATTGAACCTAGAACCACTTCTAAGGTTAGTGCGACTGCTTCGTTGACCACTATGCGGCGCCGAACCGTGAAGACACGACCGTCAATTTGAGCTGTTGTCGATATTCCATCCAACGAGGATAGCAGTGCTTGCCCAAAAGCACGCTGCTTGAGTCTTGATGCTTTCTCTATCATCCCGGTATCCCTGAGTACCTCAGACGCGTTGAAGCCATATTGGGCGGCGAGGAGACGTGCGGGACCACCCAGTAGCGGTCGCGTCTGAGCAAATTTCGAAACCGACTTCAGGTGAGCGTCCCATGTGGAATTCAAAAATTCGCTTTGGAAAGTCGAGATGTTCGCTATATCATATCCAATAGGGCTTCTGGCCTGGAGAAATGATGCTTCGTCGAAGGTGAATACAGTGGCAGTATTGTCAATGGAGACAGTGACGGGCAAAGTCGCTACGTAAAAGTGCGGTCGGCATAATTGGCCAGCGATCTTCGTTCTTGGATTTGTCGAGTTAGCCGTCATCATGAACATAACTTCGCCAGGTGTGCATTCGCTCGTATGGTTCAATAACTGGGACTTTTGAGCCGATTTACATTCGTTAGTGTATATGCATCCGGAACTCATAGACTCAACGTTCATCCTTGCAACGTCAGTCCAGAAAACACTTCCGGGATAGGAGTCTATGCTATCGAATCGAGGATACGAGAAGCCAAATTTGCAGCCCGAGTCGGTTTCCAGTAGTAGGGAAACTAAATCTTGGCTCATGGTGAAGTTCGTGTTCAGGGTTTTATTTTCGAAATAATACTCGACATAGTGCGTATAATTCATCATCAACGGGCCACTGGTCAGCTTGAGATCCTCGCAAACAAGATCAGATTGAAAGACTAGGCTTTCTGCCTCCCAGGTCTCCCTCAGATCAGGGAATCTGGACCCAGAAGGACGATCAATTTCGATGGGCCAGAATGGTAAGACTGAGTATTCGTCCGATATCCATGGGGAGGTAGTGACATTCTGGAGCATGTGCCCAATAGTATGGAGGTACTCTACGGTATCAAGTCTGGGCTCAACAGTAGACCCTGAACCGAGGCGTACCCGCTTGAATGATCTTGCTTCTGATAGAGCGACGTTTTTAGGTGCAAGCAATGCCGCAGAAAACGGCGATAGAACCAGAAGACCGACTAAGTAAGCAATTGTAGCACACATCATGGTTGGGCTGAAGTGGTGATCGTTTGCTTTGCGCGGAAAGCTGTCCACTAGAGTGGTCCACCATGGACCAGGAGACCGAAGTATCGTTGCATCTGCTGTGGAATTGGTGTTGCTGGACAGACGTGCAAAGGGTTCGGTTCTTTTGACTGCATCAAGAAGGACCATGAGCATCGTGACAAATAGCACGGCTAACATTGTTGGCGCAAACCGCCAGCCAAAATACAATGAAGTTGCTCCTGAATCGTCCGCCAATCCAGAAGACTTTACCGAACAAGAGTGCAATGCCACCACGACAATCAATAGAGATATCCCCGATGATATCGTGAGCGCCATCCATGGCCACTGAAGGGCGTATGGCAACCATGAAAAGCCTTTGGTAGCTTTTCCATTGGTTCCCTCGCCTCCGGAAAGGGAACCTCGGTGTACTGTGGAATAGGCATTCTTCGATGGGTACATTCGCTCATCTCGATCGTCCGAGTCTCTCTGGGGCAACTCCGCATACGAAGCATTTCGTCGGTCTTCGGTCTCGGTTGAGTCGGATTTTGGTGCAGTGTGGCGATGGAGAAAGTTGGCTGCTGTAGCGGGCAATGATGTGGTTTGTTGTGGGGATTTTAGGGGTATCAATGGTACCTGCTCTTTGGTGTCATGGCTCGTTGGAGCAGGAGCCATTGCAGGTATCCGTCGAAGTCGTTATCCCCTTATTGAGGCGGCTTTGAATCGTATATCCCGTCTACACTTTGTAGTGTCCTGGTCAACCCAACGAGAGAGACTTGCGATATTAGTAGTAACCGTGGGCGTATCCATTGACGGTAAAGTGGATGGCTGCACAGCCTTATAGCCTTACGGTTAACAAGTTTTTAAATGTGAGATGTGACCAGGATGAGTGGGCACCTTAAAGTTTAAGCTGAGATGATGGTTACCTAGGGACATAACTATTTTTCGTTGAGCCCCAAAAAGGCAGGTTGTGTGAGTTTGGGGGCCGAATGTTTCATATTATCAGTTATCGGTGGCATTGGCTATGGACAACCGGCAAGGGGCTCTTTTCACTTTTGGATCCCGTTGGACGGGGCTTTTGTACAGAGTAGATGGCGTTGTATCACAATACGATAGATCGAAGTTGTAGGCTGTACCCTGTAGGCATTGTACTTTAGCATGGATGCTAATTGCGCAATACAGCGAGCTTCGAGATTCACCATGGTCCTCGGTGCACACAACAGGCAGCGCGTGCATCCATTCGTCTGAGACTAGAGACACGGCGTAAATTTGGAGCATTCATATATTACGAGTTGGACCAGATCCTCTGTGTATGGATTACTACAATTCATAACTCGGTTGCATACGAACTTTTATCGTGAGGTCAGGGGATGATTTATATCACGTGATGATCCATCTGACCTCAAATCGGTTAGCATAAACTACGAGTACCTACCCATCGGATTGACGAGGACCGGGCCTGGCTGGTATGTTTACGGTTTGACGATTTAGAAGAATGTCAAGAACAGAATATACTTCTTTGACTATAGCAAATCTCTAGTGTTTTCATTTGTACATTCATCTTTTGTTACCTCTGGTTGCCATTGCATTGTCTAAGCCAGTATCCTTCTCCATTCTGACATCTGACACCGCGTGCGTTCACTCACTCCATACACCTCTCCCCGCCCGCTGTAGATACTCTACGTTACATACAAACAAACACATCACCATCTCAATAACCTCGCTTCTTACTTCTTCATATTTGCAAGTCGGCGTACCTCCATTCCATGACCGCGTCCAAAACACGGCACTACCGTACATAGACCACTTTATTGTGCACTTACCTCTACTCTTTGGTCCGCTTGCTTTGCGCGGAGCCTCATTCCTTCCCTCCACCCAGCGCGAACTACGTAACCGCAACCCTCAATCCGCAACCCTCGACCTACAAACACGCCACAACCTCCTCCAATCCACCGATCCGCCAGTCAACCTCCTCGGATCCCGCTAATTCGTACAGTCATACAGAAGCAATTAGAAACCGCGGATCAATTGCTAGCCCCCAGTCATGGGTCGGTCCACCATGCCGAGCGCCCTCGACGAACTCTCCAATCCCACATCTCCCGAAGCACAAGTGAACGCGCTACGGAATCTCAGGAACGAAGTGGTCGGTCACGACCAGCGCAAGCAACTCGCCATCATACACGGCATCGTCAAGCCCCTCGCCACCGTTCTACGTACAGAAGCCAGAAAGGGAGGAAAGAAGAGGAGAGGCAATACGCTGAATGGGAATTCTAGTAATGCGCCGAGCTTGTCCACAGCGCATGGGGGTCTTTCGGCATCAGGTGCAAGGAACAGCAGTAACAATAACCAGGAATGGACGACAGAGGACGAGCTGAGGTTTCAGGCTACACAAGTGGTTGGGAGCTTGGTCAATGGTGAGTGGACGTAGAAAACCTGACGGCTGTAAATCACCTCTGAGGTGTCATGGCTATTGCAGATAGTTCATGGCATGGGCTAATGTTTTATATCTGTCTTAAAGGTGGCCCCGCGTTCGTTGCGCCACTGTTTGCTGGGAGGATCCTACATCCATTGTTAGCATCGCTGTCTCCGAGTGAATCACCGCCGAAGCTCGTACTAGCTACCCTACGAACGCTCAACCAGATCGCCGACTCGATTCTACTTGAGAAGCCATGGCAGATCTCAACGACGGAACAACTCGCGGGCCCCTCGATGTCGAGTGCATTCTGCCACGAGCTGTCTACAAGGGAGGTCGTCGACAGCCTCGCCGAGATACTGGTGCAGCCGGCAAAATCATACGTCACGCAACAACAGATATCGCTTGTCACAAAGCTCATAGTGAAGACTTGCACCGCGGAGGCTGAAAGGAAGGTTCTCCTTGATGCAGGAATACTTGATATACTGGCCATGAAGCTTGCCGCCATGGCTGAGGTAGATGCCCAGGTCCTACAAACGGACACGCGACCACCATCGCGTGATGAACTTCCCATCGTCTATCTTCCCGATATCTTAGAAGCTATATCTACCATCATCAAAGATTCACATTATCGAACTGCTCGGCTTCTCTACTCCCAATCGATACAGCAATTGTTCGGGACAAGTAAAGAAAAGTCAGTGTCAGAAGGGGGACAAGCGTCAAACCATGCCAGCACCGCCTGGGAACGACTGACACCTCGACTACAAACCGTACAAAGCAACAAATCAGATGCATATACGAAGTCATGGCCGGCTCTAGGTACTGCACACTTTGCAGCCGGCAGCGACAGCTACCCACGGCTATCGAGCATGGACACATTGCAGCCATCGGGTCGGACAGTCATCATAGACGAGTCCGAGAACTCGTTCATGATTTGGCTGATGTTTGTGGCCCGCCGCGGCGAAGAGAGGACACGACTGTCGGCTTGCTGGCTCCTGGCTTGGCTAAAGAAATTTGGAGAGAAGTGGCCCTTGAATGATCCTTCGAAAACGACTCGAGAGCGCCACTTTTCATGCTTGATCTTACCGCTTGTTATGAAAATGATCGAAGAATCAAGTCCTGAATCTGAGCAGTCGAAAGCTCTCAATAATGCCAATCCTCAGGCTGTAGAGGAACATAGGTTTGTGCTTGAGCGAGCGCCCCTTGTGCTCGCGGAAATTGTAGGCGGCAACAAGGCGTTGCAAAACGTTGTGACGGAGACGAAATTCTTAACACTGCTGGTGAAGATCCTGAAGAGGTCGTTCGATCCTGTGACTACGTCTACCAAGCCTTTATGGTCGTCGGACCCGGGGTCTATCCACACCCGTGATCCATCGATAGATGCCCCTTCGTCGGCATTAGGTGTATCGGGATTTGCCCCGGATGTCCTTCATGCATTCAAGTATCGAGAGAGCGCCCTACTTGCCCTAGCTGCTATAACCGATACCCAAGATTCCTTGAGGAAGGAGATCATCCAGCTTGGAGCGGTGACACACATCATAGATTCGCTTGTGCCGTATGCGGAACCCGTCAGCGACCCTTCGTCTTCTTCATCAGGAAATTCGGGAAATATTTCGAACACGAAATGTGGCAACCCCCCGGCTGTGCTGATAGCTGCTTGCAAACTCACTCGTTCTTTGTCACGGTCAATTGGTGTCATGAGGACCAGCCTAATCGACCATGGCATCGCCCAGCCTTCATTCGAGTTATTGAGGCACCCAGATGTTCAAGTACAGATCGCGGCCACGGAGGTCATTACCAATCTAGTGTTGGAAGTGTCTCCAATGAGAAATGTAAGTAAAGGGCATCCCACAGCGAGAGAAGACGAAAGCCTAACCTGCGAACAGCATATACTCGAGGCAGGGGCAATAAAGTCACTCTGTGAGCATTGTCGTTCAGCTAACTTTGACCTTCGATATGGAAGTCTTTGGGCTTTAAAGCATCTATGCCTTGGCCTGCCATATACAGAGAAATTGAAATGCCTGGATGAACTAGGCGTTGGCTGGCTCGCGCAGACACTCAACGGCGAACCATCCAGAGGCAGCATCTCGACACCACTCGGCATGGGAACACCAAATGCGGCAGGCGAGCAAGTCGATATACTCAACGCCATTGATAATTCGCACATGGACGTTGATGATGAGGCAATATCAGACGAAGACGATGGCTCCTCGACGACGGACAGTGCCCCATCTGTGCGCCAGCAGCATCGACGCAACTTATCATACACCAGTGCAGCGAACATCCGAGACCGCTTACAGCAGATCAAGACTGAAGAATTGGACCCCCGGCTCATCAATGAGCGAGACGAGATCCGCATTCAAGAGCAAGCTCTCGACTTCATCCGTAACTTCATCAGCGACGAAAAGGACAGCGGTGTTACCATCGACCATTGCTTGAAGTCGTTCGGCCATAGTAGATTCTTCGAACTTCTCGACGCGAAGATACGTGCCAAAGGGACACCAACCTCCACTACATCTCATCCCATGCAATCATCAACCCCATCCTACTGGCACAACACATCCACCACCCAGCAGCAGCAACAGCAGCACCGCAGCGGCTTCACCACCTCCACCACTGCACCCCCCCAACCCCAAAACTGGGCCCTCTTCCCGCCCACCGAACTCATAATCGGCACCCTCTACATCCTCGTGCACCTCGCCAACGGCCCGCCCCGCCACCGCTCCCAGCTCATCTCCCAAACCGCCCTCATGCAGCACGTCCTGCCCCTCTTCACGCACCCGAGCCGCGACGTCCGCCTCCCCTGCGCCTGGTTCCTCAACAACCTCCTCTGGGTCGAAAACATCACCGACGAGGCCGCGACCCGCGACCGCGCCCAGTCCCTCCAAGCCCTCGGCTTCGAAGAAGGTGCCCGCAGCCTCGGACGGGACACCGACCTCGACGTGCGCGAGCGCGCGAAGACCGCCATCGAACAGATGAACAAACTCCTCGGCATATCCGTCAGCGGTGGGATTAGCGAGCGCTCCACGGCTGTCCCAGGATACCACACCACCACCGGCCCTGGCGGCGGTCCCTTCGGCGGAGGCAGCGGCAGCGGAGGCGCTGGTGCTGGTGCCGGCGACAGTAGCAGCGGGTTAGGCAGAGTGGGAAGCGGATTCGGAGGCTTGCATTCGCATCAGCAGCAGCGATGGAGTCGAGAGTAGAAGACAACGACGAAGACGAAGACGCACAGTATGCCGTTTGTTTCCGGTTTCGTCAAAGCGTGATGGGTATGAGGCTTGAGGTGTTGTACGTCTGTCTTCAGGCCTGTGTCTAGCTATGTGTGTGTATAACTTGTGATGAGTCGTATTATTATCAATCAATCAATCATTTCGGATAGTCTATATGCTTGGCTGCTCACTTGCTTTACTGATGTATCTGTTTGTCAATGTATGATGTGTGTGTGTATGTGTTTGTTAAAATTATGATTTTAGTTGTGGTGAGCATGGTAAGAATTGAGTGAGAATCAAGCTTTTGGGTTTGAATGTTGTTACACATCATGTACACATTCGATGTTTGCAACGCCATCCGTTATGACGATGGGTGAGTGAGTTTAACAAAGGTATTCATGGTGTGACGTACGGACATAGACTTGTGGGTTGAGGTTCACATCATCGTATGGCCAGGCAATGGGAGACAAGACAACTAGAGAGTAGTCACATTCATGTCACGAAGCAAATCAAGCAGTGGGTCAAGGTGGAACAAGTAAGAAACGGGATCTTTGCATGCAAGATGGAGGAGATAAGATTACACAAGGAAGAAGCCATTCATGTCCCTCTCAAGCACCCGCCAGCCAGATAACTCTCCATGATTAATTCCTCCCCGGAGAGATTGAAAAATTTTGTTTTTTTCCATTTCCCCCCGCAGAAGATTGGCCGTAAGTTTTTGTACAAGGTTTTTCTCATAGGAGACTGCTGGCGGATGCCGTCGACACCGTATGGCCGGTTCTCTTTTTATCGCGCGTCTATGACTTCTCGAGCTCTGCAAGAATCTTCTCACCCTTAGCCCGTGCGGACTCGAAGTCGCCAACCATGTAGAAAGCACCTGGATAATTGTTAGTCGTCAAGTTACAGAACGGGACTGAAGTTGGAACTTACCCTCGGGAAGGTTGTCACCCTCACCATCCATGATGGCCTTGAAGGAGCGGATAGTCTCCTTGAGGTCGACGAGCTTACCCTCGATACCAGTGAAGACCTGAGCGACAGTGAAAGGCTGGCTCAAGAACCTCTGGAGCTTACGGGCACGCTCGACGGTGAGCTTGTCGGCTTCCGACAACTCGTCCATACCCAAAATGGCGATGATGTCCTGGAGGGACTTGTACTCCTGGAGCATCTGCTGGACACGGGTGGCGGTGTTGTAGTGGTCCTCACCAACGACACGGGGGTCCAACATACGGGACTTGGAGTCGAGAGGGTCGACAGCGGGGTAGATACCCAACTCGGAGATACCACGGGACAAGACAGTGGTGGCGTCCAAATGGGCGAAGGTGGTGGCGGGGGCAGGATCAGTCAAATCGTCAGCGGGCACGTAGACGGCCTGGACGGAGGTGATGGATCCCTTCTGGGTGGTGGTAATACGCTCCTGCATAGTACCCATGTCGACGGCGAGAGTGGGCTGGTAACCGACGGCAGAGGGGATACGACCGAGAAGAGCAGACACCTCGGAACCGGCCTGGGTGAAACGGAAAATGTTGTCAATGAAGAGCAACACATCCTGACCCTCCTCGTCACGGAAGTACTCTAGAAGAACGTAAGTCAGTATGTCGTTATGAGTGTTGAATAGAAAAGGTCAAGAAGATCAAGTCAAGAGACCACAAATGCGTATCAGAAGGGAGCTCTCGCATCGGCGGTGAGAGACACCTTGCCGCCTTCATGACATTGTCGAAGGATTTGTTGGAAATGTCGAAGTGGTGCTCGTTGTTCGTCTTGATATCGAAAAGGCCCAACCTGTACAGGCGGCGAAGAACAGGGTATACGAGAGAAAGAAAAGGCACTCATGGTTATTTACTTACCAGCGACGGTCAAACCTAAAGAAGAAGAATTGTTAGCATGCTATTGTAATTGATTTGCATTTAGACCAGTTGAGGGATTGCTTACCAGTAAGGGCGACACGGGCACGGGCACCTGGGGGCTCGTTCATCTGACCGAAGACAAGGGCGACCTTGGACTCGCCATCAAGCTGAATGACGGAGGTCTCCTGCATTTCGTGGTACAAATCGTTACCCTCACGAGTACGCTCGCCGACACCGGTGAAGACGGAGAAACCACCGTGAGCCTTGGCGATGTTGTTCTGTGCCGAAGTATCAGTATTTCATCTCAGAAGTCCTGTATGCCAATTCTTACAATCAACTCCTGGATGAACACAGTCTTGCCGACACCAGCACCTCCGAAGAGACCAATCTTTCCACCACGAGCGTAAGGGGCCAACAAGTCGACGACCTTGATACCGGTAACAAGGACCTCGGCGCTGGTGGACTGCTCAGTGAACTCTGGGGGATCGGCGTGAATGGGAAGGTGCTTGGCAGCCTTGATGGGACCACGCTCGTCAATGGGGTCACCAGTGACGTTCATGATACGGCCAAGGGTTCCGGGACCGACGGGAATCTTGATGGGAGATCCAGTGTCGACGGCCTTAGCACCACGGACGAGACCCTCGGTACCTAAAAGTCATCTCAATTAGCATTGTCCATCATGTCAATTGATTGTGGAGATGACCTACCGTCCATAGCAATGCATCGGACGACGTTCTCACCCAAATGTTGCTGTTGTGCCCATTAGCTCATGTTGTTCCAGCTGTCCGGTGCTTGGCATCCTTACCGCGACCTCGAGGACCAACTTCTGTCCGCCATTGTCGGTCGTCAAGGCGTTAAGAATGGCAGGGAGCTGCTCACCCTCGAATTTGACTGCATTGACAGTTAGCGCCGATTCTATAGATGCCAATTGAGATGGTTGTGCCAGAGCTTCGATGCCGAGCGGAGCAATTGAAAACTTTTCTCCAGCGACAACCACGACCGGAATCAACGAGGGTAGGGCAACTTGCCATCAACGACGGCACCGATGACGGAGTGAATCTTTCCATCCTTCGAAGCCTCGGTGGATGCGAAGCGGGTTGAGAGTGCGGGAGCGAAGCTGCGCTTGATGGGCTGGAAGGCCGACTGGGGGCGTCGCAGGGTGGAGGACGCTCCCCGGAAGAGCGACCTCTGGATGCCGCTAATTTCATCGAGTTAGCGATTCCTGCATCATCAATTGATTTCTTCGAGGCCGTAGCATACCTCTTAAGCATTGTGCGAGATGGAAACGGCGGGTTGTAGGAGTGGAGAGAGGTGGTGGATGAGGAAGAAGAGCTCGAAGAATCGGGAGAAAGAGGATGTCCTTTCTCGGCACGCTTAGACCAGCACTAACCCACAATTGGCCATTCACAACTCGCAACCGGTTCAACATAGCTATATATCATCTTCATGTTCCTCAACAGACGCTCATTTTATCAATTGCATTTATTCGAACTTATTCAGATGATAATAAGTTCATTGACATGGACTTTTGATCTGCCATTGGCAGTTTGACGATTTGCCCGACGCTCTGTTAGCTTCAAAGGCGCGATGCGACTCTCATATGAAAATCTCTACTGACGTCGACCAGCCTATACAATCAAGGTTCCAAAAATCTATTTTTCTGTCCTCTGAATTGTTCTACGCATATGCACTCATGATGATATCAATTTTAATACAGAACTAATGTGATACTGTGTCATCGAATAGATACAGCAATGACACGCTGCGGCATAGAATGTGATCAATCATGTATCCCCATCGACTTTAACAGCTTCCAACAGCACATACAACAAGGCAACTTCGGGACACCTGGATTGCATGACTACATATCATTTCTATCAAAAGTAGTCAAAGGTCGGCACTGTCATACTCCTCGAACAAATTCCACCTAGCTATAGCTTTCATATAATCCATCTCGACTTCCCACTGTCCCCAAACATATCACAGCAGCCATTCATCCATACTGGTTTGAAAACCATGGATGCATCTTAATTTCGATGCAGTACATTACTAAACAGAATGATTACGTTATAGCAATGCCAGAGATGAGTTTGTTGAGACATGCGCCCAGCGAGGGCGAGCAATTGTCTAGTCATTTTGATCGAATCAGTAGTATTTTGCTAGTTAGCCAGCACATGCAAACACAAAATCACAGGTCGGGCAGCCATCATTGCTGCCACAGAGAGAGAGAGAGAGTGTGTGTGTGTGTGTGGGAAAAGACATTTCTTTCATTTCATTCTTTGTGTTCTACAAAACTGGAGGGAAATCTAGCATAACGAAAAGGGAGGGAGGGGTTATATAGCTTTTTTTTCTCCTCCTCCATGTGATCGGCCGTGGTGATTAAATCAATGGAAAAAATCGCTTCAGTGTAAAACTGGTGATAGATCGATTATGGTAACGGTGCGCTTACAAAGTGCTTTCCAGAGCCAGAACCTGCATTGCGAGTAAGTACGTGGCTCAAAGTATAAGGGGCAAGATGTATGGGAAGGAAACTTACAATAGCTGTCCTGGACGGGATATAAACCTGAATGAAGTTCTTCCTTTCGTTCCAGGCGAAAGGAGTCGTGAAGAAACGCGTGCTCTCATCGATGTTGCCGTGGCCGCCGAATTGCTTGCTGTCGGTGCTGATGACAATCTTGTAGGTGCCCTCCTGCTCGACGCCGACGCGGTAGTCGGTGAAGCTGCTCTGAGGGTGCCAGTTAAAGATCCAGAGGAGGCCAGCTCGCTCGAAGACGATGACCTTGTCGCCCTCGTGCTTCAGACTGACGTACGCTTGTGGGGAGTGTAGCCATCCATACTTCTCCTCTGTCCACTGCATCTTGCTGTCGAACTCGTTCAGGAACCGGTAGCGGAGAAGGTCGTCATCGACCAAGTTGAACTGGCGACGGGCGTAATGGAAGCTGTTTCCGTTGCCCTCACGTGGGAAGTCGAGCCACTCGGGGTGACCAAACTCGTTACCTTCAAAGTTGAGGTATCCCTCACCGCCGAGACCGTGCGTGATCAGTCGGATCATCTTGTGCATGGAGAGACCACGGTCGATGACAGGTGTTAGTTCCGATAGAACTGACATATTGGTATACATCTCAGCATCGCAGAGCCACATCAGTAGGGACTTGTCGCCAACAAGACTGGAGGTTGTCAGCTTGGTCAGGTGATCGAAATTGTAGAATACTCACGCTTGATCGTGACTCTCCGCATAAGCGATAGTCTTCTCACCGTGACGGCGGTTGGTAAGGGTGAACACGAGGTTACCCATGTCCCAGTCAATATCCTGCTTCTCCTTCAACCACTTGATGTAGAGGTCAGGGAGTGCCATGGCGAGTCTGTAGTCGAATCCGATACCACCGAGGGAAAGCGAAACGCAAAGACCTGGCATGCCGGATACGTCTTCGGCGATGGTGATGACGCCTGGGTATAGTTTGTGTAGCATCTCATTGGCAACCATAAGGTAAACAACACCTTCCTCGTCAACTCCCGGACCGAAGTACTCATGGTAACCACCTGAGAAGCCCCTATTTGAAATGAGTTTATGTCGAGCTGAAAATGAAAAGTAGTTGTGTAGCTTACGTTCCAATACCGTGGTGGGTGTAAATCATGCTCGTGACACCATCGAAGCGGAAACCATCGAACTGGTACTCATCCATCCAGAAGCGAAGGTTGCTCAGAAGGAAGCGCAACACCTCGTGGTGGCCATAGTTGAACAACCGGCTGTCCCACAGCTCATGCCGACCCTTTGCACCTTCGTGGAAGTATAGGTGGTCGCTGCCATCAAACATGTTCAATCCGTCCAGTACGTTCTTGGAGGCATGGCTGTGGACCACGTCGAGCAACACAGTGATGCCCAGTCCGTGAGCAGTATCAATGAGCTCCTTCAAATCATCTGGCAGTCCGTAACGGCTGCTAGCAGCGAAGAAGCTGTTGATCTGGTAGCCGAAGCTAGCGTAGTATGCGTGTTCCATGATAGCCATCAACTGGATCACGTTGTATCCCAAGTGCTTGATCCGAGGAAGCACATTCTGTGTGAATTCCTTGTACGTTGTGACCTTGGCTTCAGGGGACGAGATTCCGACGTGGGCTTCGTAGATTCGTGCGCTCTCGGGCTTCGGGGGACGCTGGTTCTTGAAAACGTATCGCTCCTCCTTCGGAGGGTTCCAAAAGCGAGCATCGTAGACGGGAGATACGCTGAGCTCTTGTGTGACGCGAGTTATCCACGCAGGTATGCGCTCTTGTCTCGCGTGATCGTTAGGAACGACGAATGAGACCTGCACGTGGAATTAGTGGTGTGATTTTCCAATGCGCATGTGTAAAACAAACCTTCAATTTCGAATCATGGGGTATGGTTGCTTTGCCATCCTTGCCCGGTATCGTCACCTCGAATACTCCGAACTCGTTCTTCGTCATTGGGGTGGCATCACGGTCCCAATTGTTGAAGTCGCCGATGAGGTATGCTCGTAGCGCGTTTGGGGCCCATTCTCGGTATACTACGTCGCCGTTTTCTTGAACGTTGAAGCCAAACTTCTCAAAGCCCTACTTTCGTTAGAACGAGGTCCACATAGTTGTTATTGCGTCATGCCACCGACCCTTGAGAACTTCTCAAGACCACCTTCTGTGTCCTCGATGGTCTTCAACCATTCTTGCGCTTTGGAATAGCGGCTACGGAGACTGTCTTTGAACGGCGATAGATACGGGTCAAGCTCGACGATTCCTGGCGTTGTTAGTGGGGCTCGATTGTCTTGTCACTAGAACCCTTGCAGCTTCTTACCAGTGCCATCGTTTGCGACGTTCCCAGCAGGTTTGTCGGTAACAGAATTACCAGACGCGTCGTTGAGGCTCATGTTGGAGGTGGTTGGGAGTAAGAGAGCGCAATCAGCGAAGGTAGTAATAGGTAGGTGGAGCTTATGGACTTTCCGATAAGGCGACCCAGAGTGTATCAGAAAGTGGGCGCAGTAGGCACAGGAGAGGGAGAGGAATTAGGAATTGGTAAGAGAGTAGAGAGACAGAGAATAAAAAAGCTCAGGAGAGCTTAGAAGGGATTATATGGGCGAAGTTCATTGCGGGGTTTGACCCAATTGATGCAGGGTGAGGTAGGTAGAGTTACTAGAGTAACTTGCAGTGCATACTAAGGACCTGAGAGTCTCAACCAAAAGGGCCAACCCTTGTCCGTCGCCTCAACGTCATTGCACGCTATCTCCACGAGAGGAATCGCCTCCCGCGCCACGGACGCCGGTTCTCTGCCAGTGACTGCTCAACTGTTCGCCACACAACCTGTGTGTCAATCTCGTATCTTCAACATCAATCTCGCATAGGTCAACAATTCCGTAGCGGCGGGAAAAAAATAAATCAATGAAAACAAAAACACCCCAGCCCCCGCTGAATCACGATCGGAGCTTTTACACAATACGGTTCTATGCAGGTGCACATTCTGCAACTTTCCGATATGTTATGCAATCATTACTGTGGGTACTGATTGATTTATGCGGCGAATTCTACTCCACACGTCAAGAGAGATCACCCTACATGCCTCAGTCGCGTTAGAGAGGGTGGCAGAGATGATACATGAGAAATTGAAAAGAAGCGACAGGGTGCAGATGTTATCTAAACATTTTTTATAGTATGTTGCTTTTTCTTTCTGACCTATAGCTTTATGAAAGACTTTATTTCTAGGATAAGACATAAATGGACAAGTATATGTTTTTCGAAAGGGTTATGACAATAGAAAAAAAGCATTCATAGCAATGTTAAAAGTCTATACTATATGTTTACAAATGCATCTTTGGCCTATCAATGCTGTTCGAAATAATTTACATTCGTCTGCCCCAGACAGCCAAGGTGCACGACCTCTGAATGTGTTCTGAAATTTGAAGTAGGATAAGTCTCTTGTGGGAGAGACACGTACCTGTTCTTGTTCTCAGTTAATGGGCTGAAGCCCTAAAAATATATTCAACGTAAAAAGCATATCATTTCGTGCTGTTCCATTAATCTGCATTCAGTGAGGTTTGGGACATATTCGAGGACAGAAACATATTTAATGGTATAGATCCGAAGACTGGCCATTATGAGAACCGCATCCATCTTGCCAGTACAGATGATCTTCTAGGAAGTCTTCCCATTGAAATCCTTTAGCGAGGCGAGTTCGGTTTTGCGTATTTCGACGATGAAAGTAAGCATGTAGTTCTTCAAGGGTGTTAGTATGATCCAGTTAGTTTTGCATTGCCAGGCAATTGGATGTGTGCAATTCCCGTGGTATCCACGACCTAGGAAGAATACCAAGGGAATCTATGCTCATTATCAGAAACCAACGAGATATCTGGTTTACCATATCCTTCGTGATGTAATTTGCTTATCTACTGAGCATTTGAAGTAGGTATAGAATAGCAAGTTGTACTCCATATTTGATATCAATCATCGTTAACTGGAAAATAACTAATTTAAGCCTAAAAGCATATAAGAGTCCCACAACAACAGCAAAATCCTATAAATATATTTCACTTTGTTTTCAATACTCTTACGAAATATGTATTCGTACCTAGGTAGGTAACTAGGGTGAACCAGATTAGTTCTAGTTTGATGCCTTTCCCCCTCTAAAGCTATGCGGCTATCCTGCCCCGCCCCGTGCTCGCCCCCGGCCATGCATGATATGCGGAGCGCAAGCACGACATCACCATTCACGATCCACCGTCCCTACTGCATCTTTCCATAACCTTTATACCGTGTGTCTCGACGTGTAATAGGACCTTACCAATCTCATACCTTCATTCGAGCGATGTGAAACCTCAATCCCGCCCCTACCACTCACCTTAACCTTCTAGACTACCCATCAGCTATGACGCTTATCATCACCATCTCTCCGCAAGCGCGTATCTCGTATCTGACTCTGGCAAGCATTGGTCGTCGCACATTCTCCACCTGCTGCTCCAAAAAGTCCAGCCAATACTCTCGATCAGACTTCACGACTCAAGGATTCACCGGAATCTACGAACCAGGTCAGCCGACCAGCGGCCCGCTGGGAGGCGCATCCATTGCTGGAGCTCCCCGCGTGACGCCCAAGGCTTTGAAACAACATCTTGACCAGTTCGTCGTCGGGCAAGAACGTGCGAAGAAGGTCCTGAGTGTTGCCGTCTATAACCATTACCAGAGGGTGCAGGAGCTTCAGAGACAGGAAGATGAACAGGCCGAGCTCGAGGCGCAGGCGCAGAGGCGGGAAATGGCCCATCGGCATCCCGTTGAAGGTACTTGAAGCTTTTGATCTATAGCACACGTACCTGATCAGCTACTCCGTCATCATCACAATTCATTCCGAATCAATTCTTGGCTAACTGCAGTATGAAGACGAGTTCCCAGGCCAACAACCGACCATGAAAGTCTACCCTCCGCCGCCCCCGTCGCAAGCTCCACCTCCCACACCCCCGAATGAAACCTCACCAATACTAGACTCCACACCACTTCAGATAGAGAAGTCCAATGTGCTTCTGCTGGGTCCGTCGGGTGTGGGTAAGACACTGATGGCTAAGACGCTTGCCCGCGTGCTTGACGTCCCTTTCAGCATGTCGGACTGCACCCCGTTCACACAGGCTGGATACATTGGCGAGGATGCTGAGGTGTGCGTACAAAGGCTACTTGCAGCTGCCAATTACGATGTCGCCGCTGCTGAGCACGGTATCATCTGTCTGGATGAGATAGACAAGATTGCCACTGCTAAGGTCTCGCACGGCAAGGACGTCAGTGGCGAGGGCGTGCAGCAAGCACTATTGAAAATAATTGAGGGTACAACGCTACAGATTCAAGCAAAGCCAGAAAGGGGAAACCCTGGAAGAGGGCCGGGCAGTCAAGGGAACGCATTCCCCTCCAATAATCCTTTGGATGGTTCGCGCAGCCCAGGCTCGGGTGCTGGTCCACCCAATGCTGGCGGGAAGGGTGAGGTCTTTAATGTTCGCACCGACAATATCCTGTTCATTTTTACTGGCGCCTTTGTCGGTCTCCATAAGGTGATCATGGATCGCATCTCGAAAGGTAGTATAGGGTTTGGCGCGCCCGTGAGGTCTTCAAATCAAGACTCCGGAGCCAACGAGACAATGTTGAAGGGCGAGCAGGAGCTCTTCAAGAAACACTTACCGTTCTTCATCCCAGTAGAACGCGAGAAACCGAATCCTTTCGGTCCCACTCCACAACCAAAGCCGGCAGAACAACTATTCAATACGCTCGACTTGGTCGAGCCAGCAGACCTACAGAAGTACGGCATGATACCTGAACTAGTGGGAAGAATTCCAATATCATGTGCCCTTGCCGCATTGGACGAGAAAGCACTCGTCCGCGTTCTCACAGAGCCGAGGAACAGTCTCCTCAAACAGTATGAACAACTGTTCCAATTGTCCGGCATCGAATTACGCCTCACGAGCGGCGCACTGCGGGAGGTCGCAAAAGGCGCGATGGGAATGCGGACGGGGGCACGAGGTTTACGAACAGTGCTCGAGCGCCTGCTGGGCGAGTGCATGTTCGAGACACCAGGTCAGTAACCAGAATCCGTCGTTGTATCCTCGAGCAAGACTAACATGAAACCTCTCTACAGGCTCCCACGTCAAACACATTCTCATCACACAAGACGTTGCCCAGCTCAAGTGTGCACCCCTCTACTTCCAACGCGGACAGTCCCACAGCTTCCACTCGGCCATCGCACACGAGGAGGAGAAGTGGGAAGATGAACTGCGCAAGGAGGAGGACAGCGGACACGTCAGCTCGTTCGAGCAGTATCGTAAGCAAGGATTGGTCGCCGGCGCTGGGGGTTTCATGTAAGATGGCGATGATGATATATGCAGAGCCGATCTAGCGTTTTTGGCCCTCCGCAAGCCGATGATTTATTCCGAACGCCTTTCGCCTATGTATATTCTTCCTGTTTGAAGCGTTGCACATGAAGCTCACGTTTTAATCGATCCTGTAACGAAATGAAATGCCATTCATACGCAATTATCAATTAATTATAGTCCTAGCTACTCATCAAACTCTACATCAAATATCACAAACCAAAACACATCCATCACATCTTCAAGCCTCACCACTGCACACATTTATATTCCAACACCTGTACCCCATCCCCAAAAACCCCAAACCTGACCACACATGAGAGCCCTTCGAATCCCTCAACACCACCACTACCCCATCCCCTCACCACAATTCCGACAGCCACACTCACTGGAGAGAGTGCATGATGCCAGTGCCACCAACAATTTGACCAACAGCCCTCATATCCCTACCTCGACCCTTCGATGTACGCGATCAGGATGTCATATAAGTATTCAAAGCCGCTTATGTCTGATCAAAAACAGCTATCAGGAAGGATTCTTAGATCCGATGTCCTTACCTCCCCACAGCTAGAGGTGACATATCGGTTCTGTAGATGAAAGCTGCAGTCTGTAGCTTTTTGTAGCATCTTGCTGTGGGGTTTGAGAAGTGTACATGATCACTGCAGTAGAATAGGTGGCCGCTGTCATAGGTATTTTTGAAGTGGCGATTAATTGCTTGTGTATATATGCATCTATATAGGAAATGTCGACATGCCTAGAAGTATACTGGGACCATTTCTCATGCATTTATCAATAAATCATACACTTGGGGCACGGAAGAGATTGTGTAAAAAAACAGACAAGGGAGCTAGAAACATTCTTTTCGATCTATCTACTTACCCAAGAAGGAAGTGAGATGATTCGAAATGTCAGGTCAGCCAAGCCTAATCTTCAGCATGTCCATTACGTAGGTAGCTGGCGTATTGGTTGAATAGCAGATCCATAGTGAGTAAAGTATCCTTGCCCCACGGACATGAAATCAAGTGAGAGGCATGGTATTGAATTTGTCCTGGCTAGTTATGTACTCTCATGAAGGATACATGCTACTATATCTATCCTCTTTTGAGTGTCTCTTGCACATTATCTCTATCACGACAGTCAAAGTCAGAATTCGCACTCCATCACTACCACCTCTTTAAGTACGCAGTAGCCTACTTCCAAGCCATGAGCCAGTTCCGCTGATGGTAAGAATAGCGAACTAGAAATGCCCTGAAAATATTGTAAGGCCTCCACAGGCCTATTGCGATGACAGACAGCCAAGCATTGCAGCATGTCAGATTTCCCATCTGGGAAGGTCTCGGGAAAAGGTGTCGATGACGGTGGTTTTAACACTGCTTCTCAGCCAGTCGTTCTCTCTTGGCCATGGGAGCGGGACTGCGTGAGAGGTGGTTGTGAGTCTTGTGACTTTTATGGACGCCTAACAGAGGAATGGTTGTAAGGACGTGTTGCTGACTTGCCAAGCGTATCTTCAAGTTTCTATGAATTATTATATCTTGCTTCACTTTATGGTTGATTCGATGGATTTAGAATGTGATGAACTTTGAATGAAGCTTTATACGTCCCTTTGGTCGCGATGTATCAGAAGATACCATCACGTTTCATCTCGGGAAACCATCCATTCGTCTCTAAAGCGGAAAGAATTTCATTGACAAACTTCCACACTGCATACTGGATCAGTGTTTGCAGGATGTATGAAAAGCTGCTGTGTGATGTTGTTGGATTTGACCATACAGGATTGAAGTCAAATGAATTGTTGTTTTCGTTGCCATTATTATAAATGAAACACTGCGTAGACATTCCTAGTATATCAGCAATTGGATAGCCCATAACAGATATGTCTCCAGCAGGGGTACTTTCTGTTCATCAGACATGTATAAACACACATACAAATACATATATCCATACCCCTACTAGATAACTACCACACCTCCACCCTTCACAAGAAAAACATCCACTTATAGATGAACATCCGGAATGTACAACTAAATTAGTATTTAACTTACACATTCGTCCATGCTATAACACGCCCCAGACGTCACAAGAAAACATCAACAGTACTCCATCACAGCATGTCTCAGGTTCAACTATGACATACCCATCGACACCCTCTCCTCTTCCCCAAGAAGCCTCCAACCCACCCCAGCCCAGATCACAACCACGTCTTCAATCGCCCATCCTTCCAACCACTCAAATCCTACAACATCAACGGGCGGTGTAAACCCAAGCACTTCAACCAGTCATTCCGAATCCAGTCATCCTACCGCACCTTGGCATCTACAATATCCCATCTAGACACTTCGTATCTTCATCCTCCACCCTTACCAACCATCCACCATCCACGCAGGGCAAATACCCGAACCGGGAACCATACCATTATCGAAATCCAAGGGGTCCCAAGGTAAACGTATTCACGAAACCTTACCAAGCACGCTGCACCGTAGGGAAACCATACCATCATACGTACATACATGGTCCAAGTGCGTCGTGCGTACACGGGACGGGCATGGTATGTAGACGAGGGTACCTATGTCGTGCATACCACTACCATCACCTACTTACCAACCCACCCCTTCACGATACCCACCATGTCCCGTGAAGTCGGTGAAGTATGCTTTCCTACCCATCCTGTGTAGGTGGTGTAGGTTTACGATATCTCTTGGCATCCACATCTCCCACCCAGGTATGTAGCCCAGAAATCGAAGCTAACGGAACGAGTCGCCATCTATTCCGGCAGCAGCTCCCTATCTCTCTCCAAAGGGACCGCCGCCGACACCGACACCGACACCGACGCCGACGCCGTGTTCGTGCAGCATGCGCGCAGCATGCGAATAGGAACTCATGGGCGTGCGTGCCGTCCATTCGGTCGACAGCTCCGATCATCTTCGCAGGATTCATGAGAATCCTAACGGTATACTGTGTAGCATTAGGACAAAACCCCCTCTAATACAGCATGCATGTTCACACGCAGGCAACGCAAACGCACGGCTCCCTCCCTCCCTCTCCCGCTCGCGCCCGTGCGATAAAAAAGTGGGAAGGAGGAATTGGGCAGGCAGGCATGGAAATTCGATATTTCGTATCGTGGATGACCATCGTAATCGAACGGGCATGGGCATGGGAAGGATTCACTGGCTTTTGCGGTAAGTTTGTGCGTTGCGTGCGTGGGAGGTAGTTAGCGGCGTGGGTGTCTGTGAGCATAGCATAGGTAGGCGCGTGGGGTGTCCGTTCGAACATTCGACGTTCAGGTCTTCAGGTCACCGTGGAAGGATCCGGGGCATCAATCACCAATAACTAATTGATGCATTTTTCAAAAGGGTCCAAAAGGGTTCACGACCTAGTTAGTTCGATATGATATGTATGGATTTGTTGGTGGTGGTGGTGATGTGTTCAGTTTTATTTATATCCAAAGAAAATAGATAGATACTAGAGAATAACGGCCATCTACTCGGCGATTTTTCCATGGCTAATGCACGTTTGTATGCATGTACTGTGTATGTGTATGTGTATGTGTATGTGTATGCAGTAGGGTGACTACTCGCGTTGTTCTAGGTAGTCGTGGAAGAGTAGGAGGATGAGGATGATAGCTAGGTAGGTAGGTAGGTATGTAACTACCGGGACGGGAAGGACAGGGTAGGAATTAGGATTCTGATTCGTACCGTACATACCGTGATCGTATCGTATGCTAGAGACAGCTGCGCGGCCGAAACGAGCGATTATTTTTTCTTTGCTTAAGAGATGGATGGATGGCCATCAGTCTCTTTGACGCCGGTTCGCAGGGCCGAGCCAACCAACTAGGGCACGCACCATTGACCGCCCAGTGGCCATCTACTGGTAGGAGAGTGCGCTGTCGAGGCTCGATTTCCATCATGGGCGTTCGGAATAATCAGCACACACACACAAAAGCGCCATTAACCCCCATGAGTGATCGTCGTGCGGCACTTTCCTCACTCATATGGACCAGCGGAGATTTTATTGATAATGTTTTTTATTCATTTCATTTGTTTGCACTCGCGCTCAAAGCTGCAAGTGCAAGTGTTGTAGTCTATTACGAGCCCTCTATCCATGAATAGGCCCAAGCCTATGTTCCAAATCCGTTAATACCCAGAAAACCCTCCGATTTGGGTGTGCGGACCCCAGTGGTCCAATCAAACAATAGAATCGGACTCGGATATATGATAATATTGTGCCATCGGCAGCACGCGGTCGAACGTCGTCGGTATTACAATCATGTCTAAACAGTAAGGCGGGCCTTTTCGACCCTGGCGAAGAAATTCGCCTCGCCGAAGCGAGACGGAAGAAATGAAACATAAGAGTGAAGATCTCCAAGAAACATCAGGTTCAACACAAGAGAAAATAATAGTCATGGCTGAACATCGTCAATCGATGGTCAGATCATGTTCGCCGCGCGTGCTGCCGGGCCCAAGAAATCGGGCGTCTATCAACCGTTCCCAGCGCCCGATGATTGGGGAATGAGGTAGTAAGCCCACTCGGCGCCAAAACGCCGTCCAATGTAGGGCCCTGCCTCGTGAAAAATGTGTCTTTTTTGCGTTGTCGTTCCAGTGTCATAAAGTCGTAGCGTCGAGCTTGCCGTGCAGCAACCTCTTCTAGATGATGAATTTCTTCCTCTGGCCTTGCTGCTCCCAATTCGGTGACGCGGGCCTTGACAGGTTGTGCGGGGTGCCGGCCACCGAACCCGGGGCAGAGGAGAACCCATTCTGTTGGTACGCGAATGCGTTGCTGTACTGGTTGCCGAAGTTGAAGTTCTCCATCGACGTCGGTCGAGACATGAGATAGGGCGCCTCCGAGGGATACTGGTTGGTCGGGCTCGTGAACGGCACGTCGTAACGTGCGTGAGGTTGTGGTCGTGGGAATTGGGGTGCAGTCACCGAAGTAGTCGAAGCCGAGAAGCTGGGCGTCTGTCTGCTGTGGATGGGCCCCGTCGGAGCGACCATTTGAGGAAAGTGGGTGTCGAGGGGTGAGATGGCCATTGGCGACGTGTAGCTCGACAGGAGCGGCGGGGTGGGGGGTTGCGAATGTGTGAATGCACCCATGCCACCGCCAGACTGCGGCATGTGGGCGAACTGTTGCGGGTCGTAGGGATACTGGGGAACAATGATGGGAGCGGGATACGCTGCCTGTGTCTGAGCGAAGTGCTGCTGTGGTTGCGGTGCGTGCAGAGGGCGTGCAGGCGCCTCGGGGACCGGCGTCTCCTTGTTCTTGTGGTCATCGGTGATCTGGAAGATCTCGGAAACGTGCTGGGCAATCAAGCTGCCGGCAGCGTCCTTGAAGGTGAAGATGACACGATAGCCGACGGGGGATTTCTCCTCCTGGTGGCGACAATAGCAGGCGATCCTCATGGCGAAGTCGACCTGCTTCGCGCGGGGGGAGTACTTGCTCGGATCATCAACAGTACTGGCGTCTACCTCTTTCAACTTCTTGTACTCCTTCTCGTTGATCATGATGACGCGATCACCCTCGTAACTGAACCATTCCGACTCGTCGTCGGCCTTCTTCTTCTTGCGGTCGTAGCGCTTGCGCTCTCGCTCTCTGCAGCCATCACAGATGAGAACCTCACCCCCGTTCTGGGGGTGGGCGGGGTCGTCCTTCTCGATCTCGGAAATGGACTGGCCCTCTTGTCGCCGGGGAACAGGCTCCTCTCCTCGGGCACGCCTGAGGGCCTGTTCTCTGCGGTCGTCCTTCTCTATCGCGGTGGAGCAGACAAGCAGCATGTCCATGTACACAGCTTCGTGCCGGGCTTCGATCTCGGTCCTCTCCTCCGGACTGGCGAGGAGTTTGGGCTTGGCGAGCGTCTTCCTTGGGAAGCGGATGTTCTCGAACCTGTCTTCGAGGGGATCTAACACGAGGACGACCTTGATCTGGGTCTCCGCCCTCGTCTTGGTCTTGTCAGGGAAGAGATGAACGGAGGCAGTCTCGATGGCGGGAGCGGGGCTCTTGGGGATAAACATGGCTCCAGGGTGGGCGGCGGGTCCGTTCATCGCGAAGAAGTTATCGAGACGTTCCAGGATTGAACTTTCGTCAACCTTGGGGATGACGTCTGTTGAAGCTTCGCGCGAGGTAGGTTGGCTCCTCTCGCGGAGGAAGTCGCCCGGTGAGTTTCCCTGGCTGAAGATGGGGTCGTTGGCTGGGGAAGGCGTGCTGCTAGGCTGAGAGTTGGAGCCTTCAGCCAGGTCTCCCATGTCTATGAGGCTGTTGAAGGCATTGTCATGTGCCTCGTCGGTGGCAGATTGGTTCCACGAGTCGTTATCTGCCAATCGCATGGTCGTTAGGTCGACCGCGGAATCAAAGGAGGAGAGGTGAGGAGGGTTTTGGGTATCTTCAAACGCACAGAATTGACTTGGGAGAAATGAATTGCTGGCATATGGATTTGTGAAGACATCAGCGGGGTTGACGGTTTTGGTTTGCTTTAGCAGGGAGTTTGTGTCGTCGAAAAAGAAATTGTCGTCCATGCTGCCGGATGGAGGTGAAGACTATTTGGCCAAAGTGGATGCCAATGCAGATAGTGATGATAGTGATGGTGACAACAGTGGCAATGTCAGTATTGTGCCTTTCTGTGTCGTCGGTGTTGGTGATATGAAGGAGTATGTGGATGTGGGTGTGGGAGTTGCGAGTTGTGGACGGAGATGGTATGGGCGAAGGGCGAAGGGCGATGTCGTAAGGTTATGGGCACAGGAGCGGGGAAAGCGAGTGCCTGAGACTGAGACTCCCACGCCGAGAGGGGAGAAGGTAGCGAACGTCAAGAATGGAAAGGAAAGGGCGAAATTGGACGGGACAGCCAGTCGGAAGGAATATGAGGTTCGACGGAGACTTGGGTGGGAGAAGGTCGGAGGGTGCGTGTGAAACCAAAACTTTTTGAGACAGTGAGCAATTGAGCCAATGGTGGTGAATGGATTGGAGGAATTGGAGGAAGTGTTTGGTGTGGGAAGGACGTACCGATGGTCGAGGTTGAAGGGGTTAATGGTTGACGGGTAATGAGGAGATCGTTCGTGGTGATCCGGAGGGATGGGAGGGATTATTGAAGGAGGAGGGATGTTGGACTGTATGTAGTCACTGGAGTAGTGGTAGTGGTAGTGGTAGTGGTTCTGACAGGCAGGCGGGGCCCGTGATGATGTGCGGTATGGCGCAGACGGCGGGTCTCCGGGACCGGGGTGGGGGAGGGAAGGAGAGAGGGAGAGAGGAAGGAAGGAAGGAAGGGGAAAATAATGGGAAGAATGAGGAGGAGGAGGCGATTGAATGATAATCAAAAAAGGATATGATTATCGTTCGTTTGTGTAGAGTTGGAAAAGAGGAGAGGAGGAAGAGGAGGAATAGTAATAGAAGTAGATGGTGAGGAGAAGGAGGAGAGACTGGAACGGAGGTGGAGGTGGATGCGTGGTGTTTTGTATGGAATGGTTATGGTATGAGGGGGAGTAGTAGTGGTGGTAGTGGTGGTGGTAGTGGTAGTAGTGGGAGGAGATGGGGACGGGGAAGGGGGAAGGAGGGATGGAGGGGGGAGGGATGTGGGCTGTGGGCTACTAATGAAGCATGAGTAGCAACAGCAGCAGCAGCAGCAGTACAAAGTACATGTACCAGTACCAGTACCAGCAAACAGGTAGAGGCAGCCAGCCGGTAAGGAAAAGGTGGAGGTGGTGGTAGGTGACAGGGTAGGTGTGTATGTGTATGAGTATGATATGAAGCTGAATGAATGTACGGAGTAGCTACTAAGTATCTTATGGATTTCTTATGTACGGAGTAGAATACCTTGTATGCCTACACAATTACAGTATAGCTAGGCATGTATTTTAGTATCTCTTGACTAGAAATGCGATGGAGTGACGACTGGCGACTGACGACTGACGACTGACGACTGACGAGGCGAGACGAGACGAGACGAAGAGAGGCCAAACGTTTAGGGCATGGGGGTTAGCGGCGGCGGCGACGACGGCGGCGGCGGGCGGTCTTCCTCTGTAGTCGGTAGTCTGTAGTCTCAGATCTCTGTGTACACCAGTAATCCAATATGGTAGTCGGAACAGTTCTCTTTTTTTCATATTCTACTGCACGTACATACACCCTCGACTCTTTCGTCTTATTTGGTATAGTGTATTTACCATTGAGTAATTGATAACACGAACATATGCAATGATTTCTATTAGAGAGATAGAGGATTAGAGGGGGATACCACTGACCACTGACCAGCCAGTCGAGTCAAGTTCAGGCATAGAATGTCCGATGGCCAAGGCTTCCCTCTCCCATACGAGTACCGTATTTGGCCTCAGTTCCTCGTCTTCAGGTCGGGCTGGCACCTGGGCTCGTTTCTCGTTTCTCATCTTGGAATCGCTGGGTTGGCTAGGTTCGCGGGATATCGAGATCACTTTTGTGAACCTAGATGTCGTTCGTTCGATGGTTAGTCTTAGTCCTGACCTTGTTACATGCTACGTCTCTCCTCTTAAACCTAATACGCTCTCATGGGCTGCTACTAAACCACTACTTACCACTACATACCTACTACCACTACGTCCACTACTACCACTACCACCGCTACCACCACTGCTAACTAGTTAACTACAGTCCACAAGGTAACTACTACCTCCTACTGTGTACGAATCTGTTTCATGCCTTGTTAGACACACACGCACACACACACGCGTACAAACACTTTCTAATTTTCACTCTCGCGCCTCGCTTTCTCTTTTACTACCCTTCTGGGCCTCTAGCTCATCCTGAGGCCTGTCCTGTTACAATTACAAGTAAAAACCTCGTCTCGTCTATTCGCTCGCCTGCACAGATTCAGGTAGGGCAGGGTTGGTTGCAAAGGGCTAACTGGGATGGCCCATTAGCGGAATCCGTCGCGCGCACATCCTTCGCACCATCGATGCATCCCCTCGTCGTCTTTCCCTCACTGGACTGGACTGGCTTCACTCACTCACTCACTCACTCACACAATGCACACACACTACACTACCACCGCCATGACTATTACTGCAACCTCTACTGACAACCCCACCCGGCTTCCATCGCCGCGCTCCTGGCATCAACCCTGCCCATATCCTCCCAAGACCTGACAGAGTGGAGTTCAAAGGAAACCGAGCTTGCTACGACGGACCTCTTGGATGCTGATAACCACACGCTACTATACTACATCACATCTACTATTCCATTCACTGCAATACACTACGCTACGCTACACCACACCACCACAGCGAAGACATTGTTTAAAATCATTCGAGGTACCGGTACTTTCAGATCTCTGTATGTACCTGTACATACCTCCATCTATGCCTTCGCCTTCGCCTTCGCCTTCGCCTATGCCTATGCCTATGCCTATACCCACAGTTATACCTATACTGACCGTGAATTATACCCTCTCTCACGCTCTATCAGTGCCACACGATACACAAGATCGTTACAATTCGCTCGCCTTCAAATTTTGCATTATTGCATGCGCACACATACGCATGTTGTTCTGTACAACCTTTACACCGAGATGGACACACATATTACCAATGCACCTTCCAGTTCCGCGGATTACTCGTCTCCCCTCCCCCCCACGTCCGAGCCGACAAGAGTGCTTGCACGAATACCGTTATGAAGGTCCATGTGTGCGTATACGGAGTATGTTGTTTGCATTATTGACGATGCGGATGCCTTTGCTACTCTTGGGAATGGAATGCAGAGATTTTTCTAGGATCATTGGCAACCAGGCCAGGGCAAGCTCAGTGGGCTGAAGAAGAGCAAGCCCATGATGCTGTTCTTGCACTACGTCCAGAGCGGGAGATGTACTGCACATCTGCACATCTGCACATCTGCAGAGTACAAGGTACCTGACCTTGTCCTGTCCTTGCCCTGCCCTTGCCCTGCCCTGCCTGTCCGTCTGGTGGCTTGGGGCGCACGAGCCGCCAACGGTTAGATGCAGATTCTGCTTTCTCCTCCTCTCTTGAGTCTTGTCGCGGCGTTTACGGCTTCCTACCAGAGTGCTCCGTCGTCTCCTCTGTCCTCTCTTTCTCTGTGAGTACCTACGGCGTGCCGTTTCCTTGTACTGTTACAAGCGACCCTCGTCGTCTTCCGTCTACCGCCATACGTCCGCCTTCTATCCTTACTCCCGCGCCCCTTGGATATGACAGATGCAGCCGGAAACAGTCGGCTTGCTTGCGTCGCTTCGTCCTTCTTCCCTGGCCATTCGCCATCTGCCATTGGCCATGCTCCGCTGTTTGCCATGCCGTGAACACTCTGCCCTAATTACCCTTTTCTTCCCTTGGAACCACCCTCAACTCAATCATTGACCAGGGCCTCGATGAAGGCCAATATTCAGGGCGTTCCATCTGCAATCCATGCTGCATCACCGCCCGAGAGGCGCCGACATGGCCATGCGTGTATGATGTATGATAAGTATGGATTGTGTGCTCATCCCCTGTCGCACCGTCTGCAAATCATCGTGCGCATGTTCAGCTAGATGCTGAGCGAACCACCAGCACAGTGCACACTGAGCACAGTCCTGTCAGTACAGCTCACCTCACCACCAAGACTGAGCCAAAACCAAAGAAATACACATCAAGACGCACACCGTCGCCGCCGCCGTTGCTGGCTCAGGCCACCACCTTCGGCTCGATATGCCCACATCGCTCAAAGATGACCAAAATCAACTACCTAAAATCTTCCAATCCTCTGATCCGCTAATCCTCCTACCCTTCAAACGATTCTTCGCTGCAACCAATATGACGGAGTTGAATCCGCCACACCGTCTACGCCGTCTGCCTCTAACGACCTCCTAACCATCGTAGCCCGCAACCCGCAATTGCAACCATTGCGTCAAAGCATTTTACCTGTCGCAAGGCTGAGCGCTGATCTATGGACTCCTCGCACCGACTTTGAACCAAGTACTGTTGTTTATTCGCAAAATTCCTGTCTTTGTAGACATAACAAATGCGTAATTCGAGATATCCCACGCCAACTGCGACACCGTGCTCGCGCGCTGCGTGAGATAGATAATAATGATGCTTGCTCTAGATTTGACCAGACGGGGGAGAAAGAAAAGTTTTTCTTCCGCCTACACGGCTTCACGGCCACCGTTTTGCGCTTTTCGCTGGCGTAACAGAAACTCACGCCGCAGAGCTGCGCGTTACTTGCAATCGATTCGTGCTGCTACTTCGTATCTGACCAGCCAAGTCGGTCCACGCAAAAGCCCAAATCCCCGGATGTCCAACCTTTAGTTTCCGCTTTAGTACGGGTGGCAATCCAGTCCACTTCCAAGTTCCACCTCCACCTCCATCTCTCCTTCACTGGGGAGATTTTCGGAGAGCTACGAGTAAGTAATAGCCATGGCATGATTTTAATCCCGTCGCTCGCGCGGCTCTTCATGCACGAACTTCATTTTAAAGTGAGCGAAAAAGAGATCTACTTTCAGCCTCCATCTCGCTCATTACGTGAGCGATTCAGCAGGCAATTCTCCTAGTGTGGGAGATTTATATTATTT